TCTAATAGCCCATAGTGGTTTTACTCCTGCTTGCATTCTTGAGATGTGGTGAAGTTTTTTAGCCAACTTCGCAAACCTTCCGACAAAGCCCTTACGAGCCAAAATGCCGTAAAGTACACTACTTTTCGGTTTTGGGAATGTGCCAAAACGCAGGGCGGCAGGTCAGCCGGTTACCTTGTCATGATTATTATTACTATTACTATCATCATTATTATCATTATTATCATTATTATCATTATTTTTCACTATTATCACTATTATCATTATTATCATTATTATCATTATTATCATTATTATCATTATTATCATTATTATCATTATTATCATTATTATCATTATTATCAGTATTATCATTATTATCCTTATTATCACTATTATCATTTTTATCATTATTATCATTATTATCATTGTTATCACGATTATCATCACAATCATCACTATCATTACAATCATTACAACCATGATCATCATTATCATCTTTATTATCATTATTATCATTATTATCATTATTTTCATTATTATCATTATTATCATTATTATCATTATTATCATTATTATCATTATTATGATTATTATCATTATTATCATTATTATCATTATTATCATCACAATCATCACAACCATCACAATCATTACAATCATTATCATCATTATCATTATCATCATTTTTATCATGAGTATCATTATTACCATTTTTATATCATTGTCATTATTATCATTATTATCATTATTATCATTATTATCATTATTATCATTATTATCATTATTATCGTTATTATCACTATTATCATCACAATCATTACAATCATTACAATCATTACAATCATTACAATCATTATCATCATTATCATCATTATCATCATTATTATCATTATTCTCATTATTACCATTATTATCATTATCATCATTATTATCATTAGTATCGTTAATATCATTATTATACGACTTCGATGATGATGATGATGAAAATGATTATGAATATGATTATGATTACGATTAGTACTAGCAAATAGTAGTGGTAGTGTTATCTATTATTGTATTCGTCCTGCACCGCATCGACCAGGCCATTGTAGAAGCCCTCCTCCAAGCGTGTTCCCACGGAGTCGCAAACTTCGTAAAGGCATTGCGGCACACTCTGCCTTCCACACGTTTTGCCCATGAGTCCTTTCAGAACACGATGCGAGACTTCGATACTGTTGGGCGCATACGTAGTGTAGCCCAGCGGAGTTGTTCCGTAACCAGACATCCACGGGGCGTCAAAGAGTCCTCTGGCATGCTCGTTTTCACATGCTTTTATTATCAGGGAAACAGGTTTATCAGGGTACCGCACACCGTAAACCCTGACTGTGTGCAGACATGCCTCGACTTACATAGACCTTTTGGCTACCGCGGAAGCAGACGTAGCCTTGCAGAAATGCCTCGATTTACATAGACCTTTAGGAAACCTATTCCAGTCAAAACCCTACTGAGAGGATCATGGGACTTAGTAAGTAGGTTATAATTGGGGTTATAAGTCCCCTAAGTGGGGTTATCCTAATTATAACCCACTTATAACCTTACTTACTGAGTCCCATGAGCCTTTAAGTAACCCCTGAGCCCTAAACTCCAAACCCTAAACCCTGAACCCTAAACCCTAAACCCGCCTGGACTCTGAAGAATGTGCTCTTCCAGGTATCTTGCCATAGCGGGCTCAGCAAAATCCGTTTCAGAGGCAGAGCTCTTCATTCGATCGAGAATGGACGTCCAAAAAGCGGAGAATTCTGCACCAGGCGGGAGGGAAGCGCTGAACTCAATCCATTCTATGATGTTGGCGAGCAGCTCCTTCCGCCCCAAGCGCGTCGTGCCAGTTGTGGAGTCCTGGCCCATCAAGCTTTGGGTGGGTAGAGAATGCTACATGCAACTGGTCTTAATTTGGAGATAGTGTCCTTCCGACTGGCTTCTGCTTTGATGTTCGTTTTCACGTGTTGAAGACACCGGTGGAGGTTCAGACCCAGATCTTGCTCTTCACAAAGGGCCGCCACCCCGTGATAGCAGGAGCAGTCCAGGAAGCAATCCGTTGGCACAATGCCCATTGCTCTCACATGCTCAACATACCTGCGCATCAGGGCTTGCTGAGCAGCACTGTCCTCGGCAGTGCAGAGCAAAAAAAACGTGGGAATGAACCGCATGGTCACCCCGCACTTCGCATCCACATGGAGGCCAACAGGGCCTACGGCCCCAAGAAGGAGCCCTTCGCGGTTCGTCTGGAAAGTGAAATCCATGAGGACCTTCGTGAGGCCAGATGCTCGTAGCACCTCATCCACGTCGGGATAACTAAATGGAATTCGCACACATCCTGGCCCAAGCTCCAACATGTCCTCCACGAGCTGAACACCTGAACAACATCCGTCAAACAGCTAGGAAACCAATCAAGAGAACCCAAGCGGGAGGAAAACGCCGACTATCTTCCAAGGAGGATTCTTTGGGAAAGCTGAGGCGCCCGGTGGCGGTTTGTCCAAGAACTCGCGGAGCTCACCAATGCAAGCCAGGCTGTAATGCGCGACCCCGCCCTTCACAGGAGAGCTTCGCACATTCTGGATCTGCCTGACAGGTGGAAGACAGGGGAGACTCTAGATCTGCCCAGCAAAATCCTTCCCAGAAGAAACTTCCTGCTCAACTATAGAGGCTTTAGTCTTTCGTCTGGAATAAAGGCCTACGTGTGGGACGTTGCGCCGAAGGAACGCCGGCAGACCGCATCTTCTTCAGTGCTCGCAAAGGACTGTCTTGGCTGAATTGGCGGGCATTGCGGCGCCTGATCCGATCCACCCGTTTGTCCCCTTCAGTGCATTCGCCAACCCGTTCTACACGAAGCTCCGACCCCGACTGTCTGAAGCACCACTGTCTTGTACAACTCTGGCATTCACCACACTTGGCCAGCAGTGTCCGTACCCCTGCATCACTGGAATGCTGCAAGGTTTCATGGAGAATGTCGTGCTGCTTCAACCATCTCTGAGCAGCTTGTCTCAGGTTCTCCGAGGCCAGCATCTCCTCTGAACCAACGCTCTGCCAGCCCTGCTTGCGCTTGCGACCTGCTGCGGATCGCATTGCCACCACAGCATCCTCGCCAGCCCTGCCACCTTCATCAGCAGCCTCCCTGACGAGCTGCCCTTCTTCTGCAGCCATGGCTGCTAGGAAAAACACAAAACTGCCAAGCCAGAAGACTGCAGATTTGCCAAAGTTCTGACCATTCTTGCAGGGTTTCTTGGGCCTTTTCGAGGCCCCGAATTGAGTTCTGAAGGAACTACCTTCACAAACGTAGGGGTTGGGGTTAAGGCTTAGGGTTTCGGGTTTAGGGTTTAGGGTTAAGGGTTAAGGGTTAAGGGTTAAGGGTTAAAGGTTAAGGGTGAAGGGTTAAGGGTTTAGGGTTTAGGGTTTCGGGTTACACTGGGGCTACAGGCAAACCCTCAAAACCCCAAATCCCCAAGCCCTGAAGCTCTACTTGGGGGTTCATGGGACTTAGTAAGTACAGTTATAAGTACCTGAACTGGGGTTATAACCATTTTTAAGTCTAGTTACCTTATTTAGAACCACAGTTACTAAGTCCCATGAACCTCCAAGTATAGCACCTGGGTACGAAAGCCTAGATCACGAAACCGTAGGGTTGCTATCGCACCCTTAATGCTTTAAACGGGCCCAAGTTCTGTCATCCAGGTGTACAAATGCGTCCCAAACCAATTAAAATCGATTTTAATACCCTGTGCAGGGGTCCCAATAGCCAAATCAATTAAAATCGATTCCAAGAGTTGTCACGAAGCGGACCAATTAAAATCGATTTTAATACCCTGTGCAGGGGTCCCAATAGCCAAATCAATTAAAATCGATTCCAAGAGTTGTCACGAAGCGGACCAATTAAAATCGATTTTAATACCCTGTGCAGGGGTCCCAATAGCCAAATCAATTAAAATCGATTCCAAGAGTTGTCACGAAGCGGACCAATTAAAATCGATTTTAATACCCTGTGCAGGGGTCCCAATAGCCAAATCAATTAAAATCGATTCCAAGCGTTTCCGAACCCAGAACCTCTGGACCAGGGTATTAAAATTGATTTCAAGTCATTGGCAAGAGAAAAATTGCGAAGGTATTAACATCGATTTTAATTGTTTCTCGAAGCTAATCCCTAAAACCCGCAATGAGGTATTAGAATCGGTTTTAATACATAATTGGAATTGAAATCCAGACTTATTTATTACACCCTAATTAATACTTTAGTATTTAATTACTTAGCTAAGCACCGAAACCTACTAAACCCCCCCAAACCCTTCTAATTAAGGCCCACAAACCCCAAATCAACCGAAGCCCCCAAGAAACCCTCCTATTTAATTAAAACCAAAGCAAACCACCCCAAAGCTCCCGAAACCTACAGAACCCTCTTAAGCCCGAGTACTTAATTAATTAATTAATTAATTAAGCACCAAACCCTACAAAACCCCCCAAACCCTTCTACTTAGGCGCCCAAACCCCGAGACTCCCGATTCCCTCTAATTGTTTAATTAATTATTAATTGTCTTAATTAATTAATCAAAGCCACCCAGACCCTGAGCCCCACTCAGACCCCTGACCGGCTACCGGTTCCGTATTAAATAGAATTTTTTATTTTGGTCGGGGGGGGGGTACCCCACTATTAATCCGACCGCCACATTAGGCTCTATGGACTCATAGTTTAAGGCTTTTGGGCCCACAGACCATACTACATAGGGGCGGTATGCGCACATGGACCCTTAAGGCAAGGTTTCAGAGCCTCAGAGCCGCGAAGCCGAATCCCAAAGTAATATGACTCTACGATGCCCTCCGTCATCCTGATTGGGCTTGGGGTTTAGGGGTTGAAGGTTTAGGGTGTAGGTTTTAGGGCTCAGGGGTTTAGGGTTCAGGCGTTTAGGGTCTAGGGGATAGTTTAGAAAGACTGCCAAGTCTACTAGTACAGCTACCAAGGCAAGTCTATGCGAAATTGACAGCCGAGACTCTTCTCACAGGCACTGATGGCTGCGTTGAAGGTGATTGCATTAGGAGGCAAGCCCCTTGCAAAGGATTCAAACATCACTTGCAAGGCTAGCTGCCATGCGCCGGTGTGGCAGGTGCTGATGAACGAGCTGAGGCTCACTTCGTTGGGTGCAACTTTGGCTGCAGGCATGTTGGAAAGCAGTGCCAGCGCCACCTGCCAGGCGCCCTCTTCCGCACACGCGCCGATGCATGCGCTGAAACTGATCACATCTGGGACGCAGTGCTGCAGTCTCATGGCTGCCAGGACATCGACAGCCGCCTGCCAGAGTCCGGCCTTTTCACAAGCACTGATGCCTGCGTTGAAGCTGATCTCATTGGGAGCTACTTCTGCTTCCAACATGCCGAATAAGAGGAACAGGGCCATCTGCCACTGCTGGCCTTTCGCACAAGCGCTGACGCCTGCATTGAAGCTGACCGTGTCAGGAAGAGCTCCTTCAACCTGCATGTCCAGCAACAGCCGGAGAGCCATCTGCCACTGCCCTGCTTTTTCGCAGGCACTGATAGTTGAATTGAAGGTGACCTCGTTGGGCCTTACAGCAAATGATGGCATCTCCACCAACATCTGAAGGGCCAACTGCCACAGGCCGTGTTTTTCACAGGCACTGATGCTGGCACTAAAGCTGATTACATCGCAGGGCAGTTTCAATGAGTGCATCTCTGAGAATAAGGCCAAAGCCATCTGCCATTGACCGCCTTTGGCACAAGCACTGATGCTGGCATTACAGCTGATCTCATCCGGAACAGCTCTTCGGGCAGGCATTGAAGCAAGGAGGTAGAGTGCATGCTGCCACTGCCTTGCTTTTTCACAGGCACTCATGCAAGTGTTGAAGGTGATCTCATCAGGAACTATCCACATGGCTGGCATCATGGACAAAAGGTCGAGAGCTGTTGTCCACCTCCGACCCACTTCACAAGCCTTCAACACGGTGTTGAAGCTGATGACGTCGGGTGAGAGCTTTCTGCTTGGCATCTCTGCCAACAACTGGACAGACCATTGCCACACAAGGGCCCGCTCACAGGCACTAATTGCGGCATTAAAGCTGAATACGTTCGGCACGGCCCTGGCGACGGGCATCTGAGACAGCAGCAGCAGAGCCTCCTCCCATTGCTGGCCCTTGCCGCAGGCAGTGATTGCTGCACTGAAGCTGTAAACCTGACTTGCCAACTCTCTCGTGACAGAAACATACCATAGGGCCTTAATCATCAGAATCGGGTTTGGCGGGTATAATATTCTGTATTTACAGTGAGGAACCACCAAAACCCTATTCTACTTATCAAGGTTCTTAATATGTCCCACAGGCAAGTATAACAAAAAGTTAACTATCCCAAAGCCCTCAGCCTGCAAAAGAGTTGATAGCACAGAAAGTGAACACCTAAAAGCTCAAAGGGTCCAAAGTACCTTTGTAGTACAATGTAGGGTTCTTATGTTAGGAAACTATTATGGTTCGGGGAAGTATCCCCCAGAACTGTTCCTCGGACCCTTTGGGAAGGGGCCTAGAGGTGCCTCCTTCCTCGAATTCGCGTAGTCTTCATGTCTAGTGTAGGAACCTGTCTTAGTCGAAAGCTTGGGCCGTTAATTATTATAGGGTTTAGGGTTTAGAGTTCTTTACATTGGCGGTTATAGGACCAGGGATTCGTAATCAGGTTCCTACATTAGTAATCAGGGGAATCTTCAAACGATCTTCTATGCGCCTTCCTGGGAACCCCCACTTGGGTTGCATAGGGCTTTTAAGAAAAGCCATCACGGCATAACCCAAACGGGCCTAGGTACTGTCATGGGGGATAGCCTGAATCCTCAAACTCTTGACCCTCAGCCGTGATCCTCGAGGGATCTTCCGGACAAAGAAGCAGTCGGAACGGCCAGTGCGGCTTTGATCTCCGCCAGCACACGTAGTGCAGGATGCCACTGTTGGAGCCGGCCGCAACAGGAAATGACCTGCTTTGGGTTTTTGTGTGCGTACTATGGGCTAAGAGGTGTAGGTTTCGGGTTAGGGTTGAGGGCTCCGGGACTCGCTGCATTTTATCTGTGATACGGCTGATGGACAGAATCCTGCATTACCCATAGGAAAGAATATACCATAATTCCCATATGTAGTTTAGGGTCCTTGGGGTAATGCAGGAATTTGTCCATCAGCGGTAGTTCATATGATAGATGCAAACATGCATTACGTGTTGTCTTGCTCTGTGTTGTTCTCGTCATAGCAACTCCAGTTGGTGTACTGTTGACTCTCCCATTTGTGAGATATGAAGCATGGCTTGCATATCAAGTATTCCTACCTGGAAAGCCGAAAGAGGATCCGAACCCTATACTGTATACACTGACCAAGAAATACAAACACCATCAAATACAAGCCAGAACCTTTGCATTACCCTCTTAGATAACTAAACTTTATAGACCTCCTCGAAAAGCCCTTGTACACCAATGTGGTAAACCAACGTCACACCCCAAAGCCTAAAGCCTAAGCCCAACCCCTACTGCAATCTAAGCCAACCATCTGTGTCGACTTCATGCATCTCTCGTCGCAACCCTAAACCCAAACCCTAAACGTCCCTAAACCCCGAACCGTCAGCCCTCAGCTCCAACAGCCATACTGAGCTTAGAACCCTAGCAAAAATCATAATCTTAGCTGTTTCTTAGGGATTAGGGTTTAGGGGTTTAAGGGTTTGGGCCTGGGGGTTTGGGGGTTTAGAGTTTCTCAGGGATTATAATAACCCAAAATGAAAATTATTTCTAAGTACCCCTAAGCATACCCATGCAAAACGAACCACGACTTTCTACTCAAGACATCACGGGACTTGGTAAGGAGGTTCGTTGGATTTACAGTAGAAGCCAGAAAGTTGGAACGTCATTATCCTCATGCCCTCAGGGTAAACACTAATCATCCTGAATCTATGTTCCAACCCTCCGGGGTTCACTGTAGGCTTTAGGTTTGAAGGTAAGGCGATACAAACCTTCAAAATCCCCTATGACCGACCAGCCACTCTCCGGACAACCTATGTACACGGTCCCCTAAGCTTGTGCCTAGTACCATAAACCAGGCTGCAATCGTTTCAGGGACTACAAAAAGGGAATAAGGGTACTACTGGGCATCCTAGGAACATACCTCGATAATCTGCTCCGAGTACTGAAACCTCCCTGGGTGAAAAGTTCCAACCTCGCGGCAAGTTCTTTGATCGCCGAGGTCATCAAATGCCACAAGGTGGAGAGCAAGTTGCCAGTCCTGCCTGAAGCCCAAAAGGGCTGGTTGCAGTTCGGGGCTTTAGAACTAGAAGGGTAACTACAACAGTTATTTAGGGTTGAGGGTTTAGGCTTTAGGTTCAAGGTGCCTGGTTCAGGGTTTGGGATTTAGGGCCCATGGGCTTCGGGTTCTAGGTTTTAAAATTTAGGCGTTGTAGGATTTTAGGACTCAGAGTAATCATTGCGGAAACCCCAGACCCTAAACCCTAAACTACGAAGCCCCAAACCCGCAACCGTAGACTCTCTTCTTCAACAACAGGGCCCCAAAAAGTTCAAACTTTCTAAGATAGAGCTCATATATAAGGCAAAAAAGTTTAAAGTTCCCCTGTTCACTATCTAAGTAGACCCTGAAACCGGCTGATCCTGCCTCTTGCAAGCTGACACGACGGCCATGATGCCAAGACATCAGAAAGGACCATGAAGCCCATCACAGCCATGTGGGGGTTTCCGAAAATTGGGGGTACCTTATTTGGGGGTCCTTATAATAAGGATCCTACTATTTAGGGTACTATATTAGGGTCCCCTATTTTCGGAAACTCCCATGTGCTTATGGGTATTCGACGTTACCCAGAGGGTCCAAAGATACTACCGTTGCGGAGTTTGACCCTCAAAGACCATTCTTATCATGGCTTTGGCAGACCTAATTCTCTGATGGTAGTGTGTGGGTAGTTGATAAGTTCGGCTCACTTTTTAGGTCCCCAATATAGTACCGCACCCTCATAAATTGGACCCCCAAAGGGACCCTGGTTTAGAGAACTGCCCAAAACGACCCTCTTGGATTTGCTCATGGGGGTTCGACCTTACAGAACTAACTAAGCACCGCCCGTAACCTGCTTTGAGAAAGCCCTGCATTATGTTTGCATCTAGGGCACAGGGCTAGCGGTTTCGGGTTTTTGTGGGGGTTAGGGGTTTAGGGGTTTTAGGGTTTTAGGGCTTTCGAGCTTCAAGTTTCAGGCTCTGTTTTTGGGGTTAGGGCTTAGGGTTTTAGGCTTTAGGGCTTAGGATTTACGGTTCTGTGTTTGGGGTTAGGCATAGGGCTTTGGGCTTTAGGGTTTTGTGCTTGGGCTTCGGTTGAGCCATGTCGGAAGCAGACTTTAGCGACTCTGGGTGCTAAATTCTGACCAGCCACATACCCGGTTTAGGGTTTTAGGATTTTGGGGCTTTAGGGTTTTAGGGTTTAGGGTTAACGGCTTAAGGTTTTGTCGTTTTAGGGTTTAGGGTTTAAGGTTTTAGGGTTTTGGGGTTTTGGGTTTTGGAGTTTGGGGTTAAGGTTTTAGGGCTTGCCTAGGGCTTCAGGGTTTAGGGTTTTGGGGTCCAGGGATTTGGGGTCCGGCGCTCAGGTTTCGGCACCCTAGGTCCTAAACCTCAACACCCTTGAATAGGAATCCTTGTAGTTGAGGGAACTATGGAAGTTGAATGAGTTCCCTAAAGGCTCCAGATACAGTACCATTATGGAATTAGGTCCCCAAAGCCATGATATGGATGGTCTTTTGAGACCTAATTCCATAATGGTACTATATATGGAGCCTCTGGGTTCTAGACTCTAAACCCTCGACCTCAGTACCCTTGAATGGGAAGCCCTCCGTAGTTTGAAGCAAGATGTGGCAGTTGGTTGAATTCTATAGGTGATTGCATAAGTAGGCATCATGACTTGAAACAACCGCATATGCCCAAACATTCATCTTCTTGTGCTGAACTGTGCAGCAAAAGTTTCGGCCGCTGTTGCTTCTGCCGGAAGTGTCTATGCTGTGGTTCTAGGCCCCATTGACGTGCCCTCAAACCTGAGTCTTCTTACCACGGCGTTTGCACTACCCCAAGTCTCTTAAGTAGTCCTTATTTTTACGTACCTAAAAAGGCCTGCAAGTCTCATAATATTGAGTCCTTGGCCCCTTAGGGTTCTGAGGGGGCAGCGTTTAGGACCTTTTATGTCGGCTAGGTTTGGAGTCTCGCTTGCAAGCTTTTGTTCAGGGCCTGGGCTCGGGGGTTTGAAGGTCGAGCTCATCTAGTCAGCTACTTCCCGTAGCCTAGTAGGGTTTTAGGGTTTAGGGTTTAGGATTTTAGGGTTTAGGGTTTCGGATTTTAGGGTTTAGGGTTTTAAATAGAAGCTACCTACAGGCTCTATAGTAGTTCCCTTTTGGGGCACATATCTTAGAACCCTATAAAGTATTCCCAGAAAGGAACTACTATGGAGCCTATGGGTAAGCAGAATACCATGCTTCAACGGGATGCCTAGAGTCCTTACTTAGAAAACGATCCACAACCCCAAAAGGGAACCGGCCCCAAAAGCACACAAGAGCAGAGCCGGCTAATGACATGTTGCTTCAAACTTCTGTCTGTATTTCTTCTAAGAGGAATCACTGGGTCATAATTGGATCCGCGAGCAGGATCGACGTGCTAGGCACCTCGTCTTGCCACCGATACCCTCCGCTGTGTCCATCACCCAGCAGAGGCAAGACTATACAGAACGAGACCACCCAATCTGGAAAACCCACTCGTCGAGCGAGCTTCCGAGATTGGGTACAGCTGGATCAGACGAAACTGCACAGAAGATGACGCAAAGTTCAGGCTTAAACACGTACGACTTAAGCAAAGGATCGTCTTTAGGACATCCTTGATGTCTCTCTGGAAGTTTCGCTGCATTACAGCGGCATTTTGCCATAGATTTACACTAGAGACTGGGCACCGGAACCACCTAAACCCCAAGCCCTAAATAAGCCAAAAACCCTAAACCTGGCACCTCAGCCCACACCAAGCCAGAAATTTTAGCCTGCCCAAGACCTAGACCCTAAGCCCTAAACCCGATTGCTGTCCCGTTCATGTGGACTTACCTCCTTCCTCATTGAAAGCCCATAACCACGCAAATGAACCGGAAGAACACAGAAGCTACATCCAGGAGGCGGAAGCCAACCGGGCTTTTTGGAAGGAGAGCCCTACTCGTTGAAAATGGAAACCCTCCTAACCACTCCCAAGAAATAAATGAGCACCCATTCTGGCTTCCGTTGATTGCTTCAAGCACAAAACCGTACTACGGCGTCATGTTCATCGCGCAGAGCCCAGGCTTTCGCAAGTTGGTGGCTAAGACTTCAGGGCTTTGGAGTCATGTGGTTCAGGGCTCAGGGTTAAGATCTTAAAGTTTTTGGAGTTAGAGCTTCTGAATTTAGGCAGTTAGGGTTTCAGGGCGTTGCTTGCAGTTAGGGTTTAGGAGTCAGGGACTTCATTCGTGTCGGGCTGAGGGTTAAAGGCCCAAAAGGGTCCTAAGTCCTAAGTACCAAAAAAGTAGAGTGGAGAGTTTCTGTATTCGGCATGGCCACTACGGCTTGGGGAAGTGTCCCCTAGAACACGACCTCGGACCCTTAGACCCTAAACCCTTATAGAACCCTGTTAGGAACCCTTGCGGAACCCTTAAAGGGGACCCTTCTCATTACCCATAATCATTGCAAAAAAAACCCAAAATTCCCATAGTATAGTTTCCTTAAGGTAATGCAGGATTTACATCATCAACAGTAGTACCTACTGCTGATGGACAAAATCCTGCATGACCCTAAGGACTCTGAACTATGGGAACTATGGTATATTCCTTATAAAGGGTAATGAAGGATTTTGTCCATCAGCAGTGGGACCCTTTGTAAAAGTTGGACTGCGTTCAGGTTGTACCAGTAGGGATTGGTGCCGGGCTTTAGGCTGAGAAGCCTTTCGGGGTTGAGGACTTTAGGGTTTAAGGGGTTAGGGGTTAAGGGTTTAAGGGTTTAGGGGTTAAGGGTTTAGGGGTTTAGGGGTTGAGGAGTTTAGGGTTTAAGGGTTTAGAGGTTTAGGGGTCTAGGGGTTTAGGAGTTTAAGGGTTTAGGGGTTTAGGGTTTAGCGTTTAAGGGTTTAGGGGTTTACGGCTTAGGGGTTTAGGGGTTTGAGGTTTAGGGTTGGAGGAAGTAGCTAACCAACCAAAACTAGCATTTTGTAGGTTCGAACTCTTGAACCCTAATATGGAAAGTAGAGGGGTCCTACAAACATGTGAGTGGTTGTCAAAACTGTGGTCCCTTTTGGCCTTTTGGGCTCTCTATGATAATGTGGCACCTACCATTTAGGGTACCCAAAAAGGGACCCATATACGTTCTGGTAGGTTAAGGTACGGCTTAGGGAATGTAGGTTTCACTTATCAACACTTGCAGGGAGTACATGGTATGGGGATCCATTGTCCTCTACCATCTACCTTAACCTACCAAAACTTACTTTTTTGTAGGGCTCCTTAAAATACCACAGTAGGGTTGGGTAGGTTAAGGTACATCTTCCCCTCAGTCGATATATTTTTGAGGGAACCTCTCGACATCGCTGAAAGAAAAAGAACGTAAACCTTAGCAGGTTAGGGCTTAAGGAATGGTATCAGCTTGAACTTGCTGTATTAATGGGATTCCGTTCGGGTCTTCTTATACATTGGGGCTTGTTCATGCTTTCTCCGTAGGGTTTAGTAATAGTTTATTATGCAAAGCGTCTTCTGGGGCGTCTTGGAACGGGTTGTCAAGCTTGCAACACCGTAGTATTCTACATACTAAATATTATATCGCTGATTCTGAAAGCGCATATGTTGCAATGAGCATGCCGGAATCTGCTGGGAACCTCCATGCAAAGGGTCCTAAGTACTGTTATAGGGGATACTTCCCCAAATCATAATTAATCGTATCTCCTTAATTATCACCCTAATCTAGAAACCCTACATTCTCCTATCTCGGTACTTAGGACCCATTGGGCACTGCCCTAGACTGCTCTACACAGCCCCCTCGATGATGCTCTTGCCACAGGCGCTGATGCCCGCACCTCAAGATATAACGAGTATACACATATGAATAGAAGGGTCAGACTAGAATAGAGCAGAATAGACTGTAATATGTCTATATGTTTCATTTGTATCTACATATAGAGATAGATAGGCGAAAAGAAGCATGTTGTGACGGCATTGTGGTTGGCCATAGGAAGTGTGTACCTTCTGAAACCTGCGAGCCTCACAGGCCTACGGTCGAGAGGACTCGACATAGTACAGTTCAGCCACATCTTACATTCAAGACTGTACCGTGACTAGGCTCTGCTGCCAAAGAGATCCGGTAGCTATCAGAAAACCCGAGGCAAGCCAATCCTAAACTATAACTTTATGGGGGGTGTCGGTTACAGGGTGCAGGATTTCAACAGCTCATGCTGCAACAGAAAGGGCCTGAAATTTGAGACCTGGTGTTTAGGGTTGAGGGTTGACTAAATCTCTCAGGGTTTGTGAATCCGAAGCTTGCGATAAGGATTGGGAGGCGTTTCGTGCAACCGGCTCAGCACAGAACCATGGCTTCACAATAGAGACTCAAACCCCAACAGTCCTATTGCACACCTTGCTTGTTGGTCAGTCAGTCCTATTGTAGCCCTAAACCCCTCAACCCCGAACCCTAAACCCATTCCTGAAACCCTAAACCCGTAACCCCCCAAACCCCTAACCCCTAAATCCCGCAAGAGCTGCGACCCCTGCAGTCTGCAACCTCAAAGCCGTCTTAGACCTCGAGGCCTCACATTTGCCACTATAAATCCTGGCGTTCCCTTAAACGGATCTATAAGGGCGCCTTTAAGGGGTTCCTTTAAGGGATCTACAGGGCTTTAGGGTTTAGGGCTTAGGTTGATGATATAAATCTTGCATTACCGTTGTGACCCCAGACTATGGGAGTTTTGGTATATTCCTCATTACGGGTAATGCAGGATTTAGATCATCAGCCGTATGTCATGCATGCCCTAAGCAGCAGGGTCGTTATTGTGAGTATCCTTCTATAAAGGAACCTATACACCATTTGTAGAACCAGCGAGGTTCAATACTCACCAAACCCTAAACTTCAAACCGCTAAACCCTGCGGCCTAAACCCTCAACCCTTTCAAGGGTGCCGGGACGCTGAAGCTGATATCATCGGGGAGAAGCTGGGCTGCAGGCATCTTGGACAAAGCCTGAAGGGTTTTGCAGCTTTTAGGCTTAGGCTTTTGGTCTCCGGGCTTAACGTTTAGGGCTGACGTTTTAGGGCTTAGGGATTTCAGGGTTTCGCGGACTCAGGGTTCAGGATTTAGGGTTTCCGGAGTCCTGTTTCAAGGGTTCAGTGTTCCAGGGGAGCATTAGAACTCGTGGGTTACTGCGGGCTTGGCTTGGGCTTGATGTTGCGAGCTACGACAACTTTTGGGTTTAAGGCCATTTAGAGTTTGGGGTTTAGGGTCGAGGGTTTAGGACAAAGCCTGGATGGCCCACTCCCACTGGGCCCCCTTCTCACATGCACTGATAGACGCGTTGAAGCTGATCTCCGTGAAGGCCACAGTTGCCAGAGGGATTTCCTTTTCTGAAGTAGCCATGCAACGGCTTAGGGCTTATAGGGTAAGAGCAAGAGACTAAATTTTTCTTCAGATCACAACAGACAACTCCAGAACCCCCACACACCCCCCGCAAACACAAACAAAAAAAAAAATATATATATATATATATATGTGTATATGTATATATATATATATACAATCCTAACCCCCGAGCAAAGTCCAGTTTCAGCCAACACCCCAATCGCTTGTTGCCATTCACCGGCCTTCTCACAGGCGCTGATGCCAGCACTCATCGAGAATTCATTGCGTGCAATCCTGGCCTGCGGCATGCCTGAGAGGAAGGGTTCCGGCTTAAGAGATTATATGAGGGGTTGTTTAGGGTTTATATAGGGTTTAGAGATTATATGAGGGGTTACAGGGTTTGGTCTTTTAGGCCGTTGAGGGCTTGGGGTATAGGGCATAAAAGTTTAGTGCAGGGGGCTGACAGGGTTGAGTGTATAGGGCTTTATGGGTTTGGGGTCTCGTTCGCTGTGGGCTTGGGGCTTATGGCGTGCCTGAGAGAAGGTGCAGAGCCAGCTGCCATTCCCCGCCCTTTTCACAGGCACTGATGCAAGCATCCAGGCTGAATTCGTTCGGTTGAAGCTGGGCTTCACAGAGCCCTTCGAGCAGTTGCAGAGCCATCTCCCAATGTCCGACCTTCTCACAGGCACTGATGCCTGCACTGAAGCTGATGACATCGGGCTTCACCTTCTCCTTGTGCATCTGCTCCAGGAGCGACAAGGCGATCCGCCATTGTTCTCCTTTCCTTGGTAGCTGAGTTCATAAGCCCCCGAAAAGAGGGTCTATAGTGGATAATATTATCCCAAAAAGTGTAAAGTGTATCCACTCAGCTACTAAGTTTCTCGCATGCACTGATGCCAGCATTGAAGCTGATACGAGTGGGCACAGCACTTGCAGCAGGCATTACCTAAACTGATCTTGGGACCCTTGCAATCATTGCAGTTTACGCTGACTCTTACGGATCATAGTAACCAAAAGTTAAAACAGATGTCCAAGTAGACCAAAGTGGCTGATAGAAGGTGCAAAGCAAACTGCCATCGTCCGCTTCTCTCGCAGGCGCTGATTCCTGCATTGAAGCTCACGGCATCAGCGGCAACGCGAAAGGCGGGCATGCTCGACAAGAGATGTAGGGCCTCGGGGTCTGGATACCTGACTAGGTTAGCCTTTTCAATTATGGTAGGGTTAGAAAAATTATGGTAGGGTTAGAAAAACCACAAAAACTAGCTTTTCTACTCAGCTACTAAGGAGCTCTCTGCCATTGGCCACCTTTGGCACAGGCACTGATGGCCGCACTGAAACTAAACACCGTGGGCTGAAGCCTGGCTGATGAAAGCCAGGAGAAGAGCTGCAGGGCTAGTTCCCACCTTACTCGGCTTAGGGTTTAGGGTTTACGGCCACAGAAATAAAAAGTCCAAAATTTCCGGTTCCTGCTGAACTATAAGAAACCAAAAAGTGTGAAGGTTAGGTATTGGGGATCAAAGCCACTCACCCGATGCCTCGCAGGCACTGATGGCAGCATTGTAAGTGATCTCATTCGGAACAGCTGCTGCTTGGGACATCTCCCATAGAAAATCCAAAGCTATCTGCCAAAGGCCATCAGAGGCACACGCACTGACGGCAGCACTGTAGCTGATTACATCCGGTTGAAGCCTCCTGGCCTTCATTTCGGCCAAGAGCTGCAGTGCAAAATTCCAGTGGCCACCTGTTTCCTGGGCTCTTGTTAGGGGATTTGATTTAAGTTACCATAATTTAGGGTTCCTTTAAGGGTTCCATAATGGTTTAAGGTATTTTGGGTTCTATATGGGCTCTGGGGCTAAGAGACGTAATTTCAGTTACCATAATGGGGAGACCACATTAGTTACTATAGACCCGTACTATGGTAATTAATTTACATTAAGCCCCTAACAAGAACCCAGTGTCAGCTGCACTGATTCCGATGTTGAAGCTGACACGATCAGCTTCGATCATGGCAGCTGGCATCTCAGCAAACAGCTCAAGAGCCCTCTCCCACTGACCGGGTCTTTCACAGCTACTCATCACTGCATTGAAGCTGAAGACATTGGGAGTAGTACTTGCCCTCGACATCTCTGAGAATACAGCCAAGGCCAGGAGCCACTGAGCCGAACTCCCACATGCTGTGATGGCCGAGGTAAAGCTGAAAACATCGGGTACCTCGCAGCTGGGGTTAGGATTCAGGACGTGGAGTTCAGTTTTGTTTTGGTTGTTTTAGGCTTTAGGTTTGCAGGCCAAGGACAAGACTTGCAATGCTTCGGGGTATTTGAGGTACTGCTTGATGGTCTCCAGTAGCAGACCAGGCTGAAACCTACTGCATAAGCAGGGTTATAAGTGCCCGAACTGGGTGATTTCGTACTTGTAGTAGCTGCTCTTGTAACCTACTTACTAACAAGTACACTAACTGTGTGATATCGTACTTGTGGTAATTGCTCTCGTAGACTACTTCGTAGGTGCCCTGACCTTCTAAGTAGGTCAACTCCGGCTTATGTACCACTATATCCCCTTAGAGCCATCATAAACATAGTAGTTTTGCTATTCACTTGGGTTTTATATGAACGAACATAACAATCAAAGGAGACTAGAGACCAAGGCTGTGGAATTGTGCAATTGGCCTTGAACATGAGACCGACACTGAAAATCGGGGAGCAACTTTCAGGTTTTTAGGGCTTGTTGATGGGGTTTAGTGTAGAAACCTGATTAAGAAACCTTGGGTCTTTATTACGGCTCTTTACATGGATCCTAATATTTTGGGGCCATAGGACCAGAGTTGCTTAATCAGGTTCCCACATTACCCTAGGGGTCCAAAGGATAGTAGTTTTGTAGCTTACTATTTGGGAGAGTATATGATAATTAGGTACTTGGACCCTTAAAGTTAGGGTTTAGGGTTTACAGAGAGCAACTTGAAGCTTCAGAACTTCAGGCATGCCTCAGAAGCTTTTCAGGGGATGTTGGGGGGGATTTCGGGGCTTAACATAGGGGCCTATTAATAATTAGAATAGGGTTCCCTTTAAAGGATTCCTTAAAGGTCTGCCTGCAGTTCCTGGCACCACCACTGAGAGCCAGAAACAAAAGTCTTCTGCGCGGGTCAACAGAACAGCCTCGAACTTCTCCCCCGACATCCAATGTCCGTAACTCAAGCTTGAACCCCTGAACCCCAAAAACCGTGAACTCAAAACCTTCAACCCCCCCTAAACCCCGAACCCTAAACCCTAAACTCCTGAACCCCTAAATCCCTAAATCCCCAAACACTAAACTCCTAAACTCTTAGAGTCCTAAACCTCCGAACCCTAAACCACAGAAGACGCAATCTTCGAAGTTTCGAGAGCCCAGGAGTCTGGAAACGCTACACTCCTAAACTCTGATAGTCCTACCTATAGTCTCCATTGTAGTTCCTTTTTTGGGTTTAACCAATCATATATTAAGGATCCTATGAGGTAACCCAAAAAGGAACTACAATGGAGACTATAGGCAAAGCCGAGGAGCAGACTTCGAGGCAGCGATGTCCTCGAGGAGCCTCAGCGGCTCTTTTTGCTGGGGGTTTAGGGTTCAGAGTGCTTGTAAGGGTAATGCCCCTTTAGGAAGGAAGAAGCCTTATATCACAAGATTGAAGCCCATATAACTTGAGGTATGTATTCCTTCTCCTTCAGTGAAGGAGTAATGGGTTCTGTTAGGAGGGCCTAGCATGGGTGGCAAGGGGAGAAAGGATGCGAATTCTATCCTAGGAGCATCATCAAGGTTCCTATTCTGGAGGCCTAGCAAAAAATCCTGGGAGTTTCCGAAAAATTAGGGGTACCCCATTCTGGGGTCCTTATAATAAGGATCCTACAATCTGGGATACTGTACTAGGGTCCCCTAAACTGTTATAGGAGCCTAGGAACGGTTCTGTATGGGTGCCCAGTATTTGTCCCCAAGGGGCTGGAGTGACACGGTCCACTGATGCGCTCTCGAACAGCAGGTACTTACCTGTCCAGGGCGGAGGGAAAGCCAAGAGCGTCCATACACACTACCATTATGAACTAAGTTCCCAAAACAAGAATAAGCATGGTCCTTTGGGACCAACTTCCATTTATTACTGTAGTGTGTATATATATATATATATAAATAAATATAAATAAATACATGCATAAATAAATGAATAAATAGATAAATAAATAAAGAAAGAAAGAAATGAATAAATAAATAAATAAATAAATACATGCATAAATAACTAACTAAATAAATAAATAAATACATAAATAAATAAATATATAAATACATAAATGAAAATAAATAAATAAATAAATAATGTAAATGAATAAATAAATAAATAAAACTAAATAAATAAAAAAATAAATAAATATATATATATATATATATATACATATATATATATATATACATATATTGATTCTGGGGAACTTGTCGTTGCGCCAATGCGGGTCTTCGGAGAACTTCGTTCGCTTCGATGTTTCAGGGTCTGTGTTGGGATTTAGGGTTCAAGGTGCAGCGTCTAGCGTCAGGGATTCAGGCACCCTAAACCTTAAACCCTGCATCCTAGGCCCTAAACCGAATGAGTAAGGTTGAGTCTGATATATCTGCAGTACCCACGATAAGGACTGTACCATAATTCCCATAGTCTAGGGCCATTAAGGTCATGCAGGATCTATATCCTCAACCCTAAACCCTAAACCCCTGTAAATCCCTTACGGGAGCCCCTTAAAGGTACCCGTATAGATCCCTTTACAGGAATCAACCCTAGGCCCTGCCTGGCAAAACAGCTTCTGGTCAAGCAGAGGCTGTGTCGCCAGCAGATGCACAGCGGCTTGCCAGTCCTGCCTCCACGTGCCAAACCCCTACCTTTGGTTAGTAGGGAATGGAGGAATGGGGTATAATAATAACTACTATTGGTACCATTCTTCCATTCCCTACTAGCCAAAGGTAAGTACCCTTCCAAGTGCTAAATGGGTGGTTGTCAAAATTATGGACCCTTTTGGGTCCCTAATATAGTACGGCACCTATTATTGAAGGTACCCCAAAAAGGGGCCCTAATTTCAAAGTATAGGGCTTTTGAGCCTGTTTAGGTACCAAAAACCTTCAAAAAAACAAGAGGACTACTTGGACCCTTGGGGAATCACGCCGCCCTAGACCCTTTGGGGGTTTAGGGGTTTAGGGTTTGGGGGCGATGGGATTAGGGATATACAAGTTTAAGGTTTAGGGGTGTTTAAGGGGCTAGGGTTTACCTTCATCCTAAATACCTATCTGTTAAGGACCTATATGACCTATATAAGGAAATCATAAGAAGGAACCTTGACAAGGTAGGTCTTCATGCGGCCCAGCTAGGATTTACATGGTGCTTCTTTTAAAGACCCTTTGACAAAAGCATCCCACCTCGAAGAAGCCCGTATATACGTACGTTTACGCAGATGCAAGAAATTGTAGGAGCGTTTCATGAACTGTCCTACGAAATTCGGTGGACTTAGTCGGTTACAAGTACGGATAGCCCTTCAGTAGAGTTCTAGGCCAGGTACACCTAAATCAGGGTCTGTCTAACTCTGCCTCTGACCGAGTTGCTCTTACCAGACCGCAACTACACGTCCCCAAAAGCTTCAAAACCTAAACCCCTAAACCCCAAACCCTAAACCCTAAAACCCTGAACCCTAAAACCCTAAATCCCTAAAACCCTAAACACTAAAACCCTAAACCCCTAATTGAACCTTAACTCCTGAACTTCGGCCCTCGACCCCTACCAGCCCTAAACCCCCAAGCCGCAAACCCTCAAGCCAAAGGCAGATGACGGGACTCCCGCTGTCCCCTAAACCCTGCGCTGTAAAGCCTAAACCGCGTAAACGGTCTTCCGAAACCTTGAAGCCCCATAAGCCCTAGAGACTCTAAACCCTACATCCTGTAAGTTAGTTTAAATTCTGAGCCCTGAAACCCTAAACCCTGAAACTCCAAACCCCAAGCCAAGACTACAGCAGTCCTCCGACAAGCAGCGCGCACCCCGGTGACACCCGTCGAAGGGTTTCCCAGTCGAGGGTCCGCCATGGCGCGGAATCTGCTTTCACTTACCTTTGGTTAGTAGGGAATGGAAGACTGGTACTAATTTAATAGTAGTTATAATCGTACCCCATTCCTCCATTCCCTACTTACCAAAGGTAAGTTGCGGGTTCCTTGAAGTACCTCTCATTGATCCATACGACAGAGGAGTAAGGGTTTGACTTAGTCGGCAGTAGGCATCCTGCCAAAAGGTGATTTTGGTGGCTTAGGAAATGTATAGTAAGTTTGCACGGCTTGGGTAGGGTTTGGGACCTCTACGGCAGTCGCTGAAGCTAGAAGGAAAAGACAAGAAGACAGGGCCAACCGGACAACGGAGCAGCCCATGACATAGTCCAGTCCTCTAGTCGGAAACCCTGAAGATTGCAGAACCCAGCCGAAACCATCATCGGCATCGACGACCGACATCTACGAACTACAAGCGAGAGAAACACATAGTCCTCCGACCTGCCCCCATTCATCTCAAATATCTCGAAAATGTCGTAGATCACCCCAGGCCAATAGCTGTAAAACCAATCCGTCCTCATGCTACTATATTATTCTACTTCGTGTATTATGCATGTTCTATTTTCGCCTCACTAACCACCCTCGTGCCTCTCGCTACATGTGCTACTTAGCAGACCGGCTAGCAACTAAGAAAAAGAGACTGGCCATGCAAACATTGACTACGTAGAATTGAATAGCAGTACAGTGGAAGCCAGAAAGTTGGAACATCATTACCCTCGCGCCCTTCAGGTAAAGTATTGGGGATCCTAGCACTAATCCTCCTGAAGCCATGTTCCAACTTTTTGGCTTCTACTGTACATGCTAAATTCACGGCCCTTTCGGCAGGGCCCAGGCGAGAACCCGATCACCCACTTGCCATTGCGGATTCTGATCCTGAAGCCCAGGGTATGTAGAATGCGAGGTTCAAGGGTAGGTTTAGAGCTCCGTTGGTGATTCAAAGAATTACCGTTAGGCTCTAAGGACTCATATTTCCAGGCTTTTGGGCCCAAGGACCATACTATATAAGGCTTTTGGGCTATTTCGAGCCTTAGGGTTAGAGTCAGCGAAGGCCGCGGTTGGAAACGTTTTGGCGCTGCATGGTTCCTGCAGCCGTAACACCCAACACCCCAGGCTAGGATCTCAAGGTTCCAGGTTCCAGGCTGGTCATACGGTTGATGATGTAAATCCTGCATGACCCATAATAAGGAGTATACCATAATTCCCATAGTTTAGGGTCCTTAAGGTCATGCAGGATTTTGTCCATCAGCCGTAACACCCAACACCACAGGCTACGATCTCAAGGTTCCAGGCTGGTCATAGGCTCACTGGCCCAGAACCCAGTAAATTAGAAGTTGAAACTTTCAGAATCGACTACCTTATAAGAGCCTGGTCATACCTGGAATGTAAAAGTATCTAGAATAAGAGCCTTGCCTATATTATTGGACCATTATTTGGCTTACTTGGGGGCTCTAGGTAGCAGCTTGCAGCGCGAAGTTCCCGGCTGAACCCAAAAACGTCTGTGTCTGGCTATACTGCGTCCCAAAAATAACACTACACCGTAAACGCCAAACCAAATACCCAAAACCCTGAACCTGAAAAGCCTCAACTCTGAACCCTCAACTGTTTTGACTTCCCAAGGTCCAGGGCCTTCCGTTTAGGGTTTAGGGCTTAGGGTTTTGGGTTTAGGGCTTAAGGCCCTGAAACCCTAAACTTCCCTAAACTCTACACCGATTAAGACCCTTTTGTGGGGACCCCAAGAAGCACATAAGCATAAGCATTTTACCGGGATATCCCTACCTTATCGGGCTTCATTCTTTGGGGGTTTATATGAGATATCCCTATCCCAATTTTTGCTTAAGTGCTCTTTTGGGGCCCTATTATAGGGGAACTCCTGGGCTGGGGAGAACCCGTGTGCGGCTCTTGCAGAGGTCATTCGGCGCTTTGGGCTTAAGGAACTTCCTTTCATTACAGGGATCTAGACGGATTCTGTAAGGGTTTAGAGTTTAGGCTTCAGGGATATAGGGGTTCCTTAAAGGGATCCATGGGGCTTACGGTTTAGGGTTGTAATAGGCTTTAGTGTAAAGTTTGGAACAGGGTATTTTGTGGGGTTTAGTTCAGGTTCTAGTAGCATGCCTATAGTGTTCCAAAATTATAGCAGTAGGGCATCCTTGTCTTTTCCTGTGGGGTTCAGGCGACTTAGTAAGTAGCTCTGAAGTAAAGCCCCCAAACACATCTAGTCGCAGCCTCTTGTTCGCCCTAAGGCCCCAACGGGGCTTGCACACACCCCAAGAGATACGGTTGATGATATGAATCCTGCATTACCCATAACAAGGATTATACCATAATTCCCATAGTTAGGGTCCTTAATATAAGGTAATGCAGGATTCATATTTCATATCATCAACCGTAGTTACGTTATTCCTGTGCCCAGGAACTCAATGAACATATCGGTCCCTGAGTCTCTACCCTACTTGGAGGGGCAGGGGACTTAGTAGGTCGTTTCTAAGTCGGGTTATAATTGGGGTAACTCCATTTAGGGTACAAATAACTCCACCTAAAAAACCTACTTACTAAGCCCCTCCAAGTAAAGCCTTAAATCCAAAAAAAACCCTGAACCCGAGGTTCCGTAATTCCCCTTAATCCACAAAGGCCCTAGGACCCCGGAAACCCCTAAATCGCAAAACCCTGAACCCCGGCAGAATCCCCAAAGCCTTCTACTCTTCAGGATCCCTTTCAAGGAACCCTTAAAAGGATCGCCCAAATCCAAGTCTTCTGCAGAACCCTCAAAGATCCCAGCCCTGAAAGTAACCCTGCAAGGTAACCCTTAAAAGGAACCTTTTGAAAGGAACCGGACCACCTAAAAGGAGCCCCTGAAAAGGACACCTAACATCCTTTAAAGGAACCCACGAACCCCTGCATCCTGAGCCAAGACAGGAACCCTTAAAAAGAACTGTTCAACCTACCAGCCCTAAAAAGGAGAAGCCCTAAACCCCGAACCCAAAGTCCTAAACCCTCGAACCCTAAACTCTAAACTCCCTAAACCCCTAAACTCCTGAAAAGGAGCCCCCAAACCCCTAAAATCCGTAGAAGGAACTCCAAAACAAAGCCTTTGAAACCCTCCGCGTCCTGAGCCAAGCGGTTGAAGACATCGCGCCGCGAGTTTCGCCGAGGCTTGGGCCGACGCCCCGGAGCCTCTCGCGGGGTCAGGGCGTTTAGGGGCTTAGGGTTTAGGGGTTTAGGGGGTTCGGGCTTTAGGGGTTTAGGGGTTTAGGGCTTTGGGGGTTTAGGGTTTAGGGGTTTAGGGGGTTCGGGCTTTAGGGTTTAGGGTTTAGGGGTGTGTCGATGCTCCGCGCACACCACCACGCGAGACGTGTGTTGTGGCCTAGGTTCAACGCTCTCGCCCTACCCACCCACCCAGTCTATGACCTTTGTCGGGTTTCAGGGTTTTGTTCAAGTCTGGCGGTGGCCCAAAATCAGGCCAAGCAGGGCAGAGGCAGTGGGCGGGGCAGGGCAGGGCAGCACGGGGCAGGGCAGGGCAGGGCAGGGCAGGGCAGGGCAGGGCAGGGCAGGGCAGGGCAGGGCAGGGCAGGGCGGGGAGGGCAGGGTAGGGCAGGGCAGGGCAGGGCAGGGCAGGGCAGGGCAGGGCAGGGCAGGGCAGGGCAGGGCAGGTCGGAGCCAGCCTCGCTGACGCCTCGGCACGCTCGCTGCTGCTATTCGCAGCGCCCGCAGCTCGCTTCAGTTTAGGGTTTTTAGTATAGGGGTTTAGGGGGGTAGGGCTTTAGGGCTTTAGGGTTTAGGGGTTTAGGGGTTTAGGGTTTTTAGGGGTTTAGGGGGTTAGAGGTTTGGGGGTTTAGGGGGTTAGGGGTTTAGGGGTTTAGGGGTTTAGGGGTTTCGGGGTTTGGGGGTTTAGGGGTTTAGGGGTTTGGGGGTTTAGGGGTTTAGGGGTTTGGGGGTTTAGGGGTTTAGGGGTTTAGGGGCTTAGGGGTTTAGGGGTTTAGGGTTTAGGGGGTTGGGGGTTTAGGGGGTTAGGGGTTTAGGGGTTTAGGGAGTTAAGGGTTAAGGGGTTTAGGGTCTAGGAGTCAGGTCGTTACCAAGTTCAGCCAACCCCTTGCCCAGATTACGAGGAGCCTCTGAACTTCTGTACAGCTTCAGCAGCGACATCTTGACATATCCCCATCAAACATGGAAGGATTTCGGAGGCAAAGATGCTTTTCCTGGAATCGACGCGCGTCCTTCCGTTTTTGAGCCGCCATGGCCGCAGACGGCATCCTCGACCATCGCACGTTGATCAATTGGACAGCTACCGTGCTCTGCCGCAGTTCGAGGCAGCTTCAGCATCCATTGCTTCCAACTTCTGAAGCAGTGTTTGCAGTCCTGTAAAGGGTTGCTTTAAAGGTTTGAGGTTTAAGTTTTGGGGTTCAGGGCTTCAAGGCTTTCGCACTTGGGGTTTTAAGGTTTTAGGGTATATGCCTTAAGTCAAGGCTGTTGTTCCCTCCTGCGGGGGTTGGGTTCAGGGTTTAGTAAATTTAGGGGCGTAGGGTTTAGGGTTTCTGTTATGGGGGCTACTTCCCCAAGCCATAATGAGTAGTAACTCCCAATGCAGAAACCCTACTTTCTACTATATAGGTACTTTGGACCCTTTGGGTTTTTGGGGATGCTTGGTAGGTATTTTTTATGATTACTACAAGGAATCTATAGGGGTGTCATGGAGCCTCTCGCGCGTCAGACGCTTTCGCAGAGACGTTGATTCAGAGTTCATCTGTGGGGCCACAAGTAGGTATCTATGGTTCCCTAAATGCTAAAACCTAAGGCCTACGGTAACATTAAAGGTTTTATTTGTTAGATTGCTTGTAGAAGCGAGTTATAGAGCTCTTTAAGGGCTGCTCTGGGGATTTCTGGGGTGCTGGTAGGTGGGCTATAAAAGCTTGTACAGGGTTCTCCAAGTGCTTTTCGGTCTGTGGGATGAAAGCGCAGGTTCAAAGGTTATGTGGGGGTTGTTGCCGGTTGCATAGAAGTTCTATAGAGCACTGAGGTTCCACGTACCCAAATAATGTATACATTGGCCTTAAACCATCCTCTATTTAAGCACATTGAGGCCAAAGCATATACTTTGGGTGTACATGGACCCTAAGGTTTTAAGGCTTCAAGGTTTGCCTCAAGGAATCTGGTCGTGATTCAAAGCTTAGGAATGGGGTGATGGTTCCGGGTTCAGGATTGAGGTATACTGTTCTAGATTCTGGAGTATCCAGCATACCTGCGCAGAATGATATGTATCGTTATTTACGAGTTGTTTTGCCTTAAAGGCCTAAACCCTGAACCCTACACTCTAAACCCAAATCATAACCCTAAACTCTAAACCCAGATCATAGCACAGCGGCTATCTGGACGTGATGGTTCAGGGCTGTGGGCTTTGGTGGTTCGGGCCCTAGGCGGAAGTTGGGAGTTTCTGAACATAGGGGATCCTAATATAGCACCCTGAGTAGTAGGATCCTTATTATAAGGGCCCCAAAATAAGGTACCCCTAATTTTCGGAAACTCCCACTTCGGAGCTAGGGTTGTGGGGTGCTTTTTTGGTTTTAAAACCGGGGGTGGCGTCCCTTTCTTATGCCTGCAGGTTGTGGGGTCCAGGGTTTGGGGTCGAAGGCTTCGGAGTTCGGACGGAGAAACTTGGAGCTTGCGGCTTTGAAGCTTACTTGTGGGATTCTAGGGTGGGGGTACTCAGAGCCCCGCCCTGGATTCTAGGGTGCTTAGGGCGTAGGGTGTGTATGTTTTTTGGGTTTTGGGGGTTGGTGCTTGGGGTTTCTGGGGCTTTGATTGTTTGAGGCTTTTGGAGATTGCATGGTTGGGTTTGAGGCTTTCGGTTGAACCATTCCTTTAAGGCTTCCTTTGAAGGGATCTAGAACGGTTCTGTAATAAGGCTTTGGAGTCCTTTAGAGTCGAAACCTTAGGATTTCGGGGAAAACCGCTCAACCCAGTCCTTCTGCTCGGGCCAGGGACGTGGGACCCAAACGGTCCTATGTACTGTTATGGGGGAATACTTCCCCAAATCATAATAGTAACTCCTAATATATAGAAACCCTACATTCTACTATGTCGGTACTTTGGACCCTTTGGGGGAGTCTTTGCAAAGGGGCTCTCCCAGTCGTTGGAAGGAGGTTACTTGGAGGTTCATGGGTAGTTTTAAGTGGAGTCATAAGTAGGGTAACTATACGTATAACCCGCATTAGGGAACTTATAAGCCCACTTATAACTACCCATGAACCTGCAAGTAGAAGGTCTTCATAGCAACTGTGTGCTTCGGAAGATTCCCTGACGCACCCCAGGCTTGCTCAGATTGCTCCCTTTATTGAGTCCTTATCGTAGGTATTAAGGCCCACTACCCCCCTCCCCCTACCCCCCTAAGGGTCCTTGTGATACCTACATGCCGGCCTTGACTTTCTGTGAGGCATCATCGGCTTCGTCGGCGGCGGGGGCATCAGATGCCATACTCTTAAGGTTTAGGGTTTAGGATACTCAAGGATACAACTCCAGGTGTCGTTATTCAAATCTGAGGGTGCTTCTTGGAATTGAAGTCCGTATAGCAAGGGGTGTACGATGTAGTGTTCTACAAAACATATGTATATATACATATATATATATATATATTGTAATTTTTTGGTTACATATATATATATATATATGTCCCCTAATATTTCAAAGCCCGCTGCAGCTTCAAAGTTGGGTGTGGGGTGGGGTTGGGGTGGCTTGAGAGCATCGTCTTAGGAACTTGGAGTGTGCAATGCCTCGCAACAGCACAGTTGCAGGGCTTCAAGTCCGTGTCCAGGGTGCACCGGGACGGTGTGGCGTTGTTAACAGGTCATATTGACTTGTTCCATGATCATCGGGAGTGTTGGTTCTAGAGTTGATGGTGCCACCGTTCCCAACCTTGTGCAAGGTGTTCGGGATGCAGGGTAAGGGGGTTTGGTCACGGGTTCGGGGTCGTGCAAACCAATTTCCTGTCGAGTCAAGCCCGTGGCGATGGAACAAAGCTCTCAACTCGGGATCCAGAAACCACTATGTTGTAGCTATTTTGTAGGGTTACGGGATACATCTAAGTCCTAGAGTACAGTAACCCATTCACCTTCAAGCAGCTCCTGAACTGTTACAAAAAGCCACATCTTCAACCCGAAAACCCTAAAACCTAAACCCCTAAACGCTAAACCCCTAAACCTTACACCCTGAACCCGTAAACCCTAAACCCTACGCCCCAAGCCCGAATACTGCAACAACAACTAAGATGCGAAAGACTTCACCGACACTTCGAAAGACGATTCCTGTAGCAGTTGGAACCCAAAGGGTCCTTGTACACCACCCTTTAAGGGATCTAAGGGTTCCTTTAAGCCAGAGGGTCCATATACACTACCATTATGGGATTAGGTCCTGAAAGACTGTCCCTTCTATGCTATCGGGGACCTAAATTTCATAATGGTAGGGTATGAGGACCCGCTGGGGCAGCTTCGCATGATTGAAACATGCCTCAAGCCCCCAAACTCATGACGACCAAGCTGAACCAGCAAACAAGTTACCACATAAACAAGTAAACCTCAAACCCTTCCATGGTAGCGGAAACTCCTAACCAAAAACAAAGTCGCTGAGCCCAAACAACTAGCAGCCCCTAAAACCCAAAGGATGTGAAAGTCAAATCCTAAGTCTTATGCAGCGCCGTAGCTGCTGAACCGCTGTGCGATACATCGTATAGTACATACAGAGGTATACATACAAATCCTACGTCTTATCAGTGCCGTAGCTGCTGAACCGCTGTGCGATACATACGTACATACATGCATATATACATACATGCATGCCTACATACATACACCCATACCTGACGTATGCACGTCAGAAACTGTGGCGTAGAGGTGTTTCTGGGCGTATGCAGTTTGCATGTGTGTATGCAGGCATGTGGTATAAACTTGAATGCTTGTCGCAGCTATGTGAACTCTTATTGTCTTTTTTGTTGCTCAAAAATGTTTCTGCCATGTTTTCCGATGCACATGATCGTGTCGGGATTCGTTGTTATGGGCAGCGGAAGGGTTCGTTTAAGGCTTGGGTTTAGGATTTCAGAGTCCTTTTAAAGGGTGTTGGGATTCCTTCAAAGGATCTATAAGGGTCTCCTCTAAGAGTCCCCGCATAGTAGCCCTTAAGGGTTCCCTCCAGAGTTCTATAAGGGTACTGGACTGTACGTCTAGGGTTGAGGATTCGGAGGGTTAGGGGCTTTGGGTTTGGGGGTTTAGGGTTACTGGTTTATAGGAGTTTAGAGTTTTGGGGGTTGAGGGCTACTGGTTTATAGGGTTTTTAGGGTTTTGGGGTCTAGAGTTTCGAGGTTTGGGGTTCAGGGTGTGCTGCGGTTGCCTTGTTCAATTCTGGCTTTGGCTTCGAGTTGTGGGATTTCTGGCTAACAGAAAGCTGCCAAAGACCCTGCAGATCACCCACTGGCTGACATAAGCTTCTTTCATAAGGCCTTAAGGTTTCGTTTAAGGGTTCCTTTCAGGGTTCCTCTATGGGTGCTGTAAAGGCTAGTTAAGGTTCTTTCAACGGTCCCTGTAAAGGCTACTATAGGGTAAAGCCTGTCAGTTCTCCACCTAACCCCGAAACCCCAGAGTTCACCCAAACGATACCAAACCCCTTAAAACCCTGTACCTAAAAGCACCCAAACCATCCCAAACCCCCGAAAAAACCCTGTAACCCCGCAGACGAGCGTTCCTCCACTTTTTTTTGCCCGGGGGGGATGGGCTTTGGGGGTCCGAGTTTTCTCGTTAGCTCAGCCTTGCCCGGCGAGATTCCCGCTGCCTCTGGGCTTAGGTCTGACGTCTCGGGTTGCGTTTAAACGGGGACTCAAGTCCAAGGTTTATAGTAGTAGTTGTGAAAATCAGGGTCCCTTTTTGTTGGGTAGGTGCCGTATTATAATGGGGACCCAAAAAGGACCAATTTTTGACAACCACCCATATGCGTTACGGTTGAGGGTTTAAGGGTTGGAAATTTAGGGTTTGGGGGGTTAGGGTGTTTAGGGTTCAAGGTTGAGGTTGGATGGTTTAAATTCGCAGGTTCAGGGTTCAGTGCTTGGGGTTCAGGGGTTCGGTTTTGGGGTTGTGGGTTCAGGGTCTAGGCTTTAGGGGGGTTGAAGAGGTTGGGCAGAAAGGTCTAGTCTGGGGCTCGGGCTGGGGCTGTGGGGTAGGGCTTCATAGAAATTCACGGGCTGGGGCTTGGGGTTTCTCGGGTTAGGGCTAAGTAGGGCTTGCAGATCAGGGCCTAGCCCCCAAGGTTGCAGTCTAGTTTCGGGAGCTTCGGTGAGCTACACAGTGTGGTACTCTTGTACTCCTGTTGAGGTAGCAGACCTGCATCATTCAGCCTAACACTATGGTTGGCCGATTTAAGTTAAGTGTTTAAGGCCTAGGCTAGCGCAGAACTTCGTCCATCAATAGTACGTGTGTGCAGGTCAACACATTAGTTCTGATTCCAGCAAACCCCTATACATGCAGACCATGGGCTCAAGAACTAAAATTCTAACCACCTACCCTCCATGGAGCCTTGAAGCACATGGGCGCAGGTTGGAGTTCGTCCAGGGTTGACAGAGACATCAACGACGTGACTCGAGCACGGAAACTACCATTGAGTGTTCTACTCGCAAAACCCGAGACCTGAATCCCAAACCCAAAGCCCTGACTCCGTAGTTGCCCAAGGTGCTATACAGTTGTCGCTAAATGTTACTGAGCTGGATTTGATGGTGATCATGATCGTCGTCATCATCATCATCATCATCACAATTTCATCATGATCTTGTTAGCAGCTGTTAGCATTGGTACATCATCATCACAATTTTCATCATGATCTTGTCAGCAGCTGTTAGCATTGGTATTCTGATTCTCGGGTTAAGGGTCAACAGCAACAGGACTTCAGGTGCAAAGCGAGGCAAAACGAGCTGGAGAACAGCCCAAGCCAGATTGCTAGGCTTTCGAGCCAAGTAAGACACGAGGACGTCTTCTTCTGAATAAGAGCATGGCCGTGGGCAAGGCCCTGACCAATGCCAAAAACTTGCAAGTTTTTGCTCGCACTGGAACTGATCGCATTCGTGGCCTTGTCCATGGACTTGCTCTCGCTCTTGGCCGGGTCCTCGTTCGCAGGACGGTGCTTGGGCCAGCACGAGGCCACGTAATAGGCCAGGGGCCTGAACGGTCTCAAGGCCGAGGTCGAGGATGCTTGGCATCGCCAGCACGTTCCATGAATCACAGATCTGACACGTAAACTCTGTCAGCCGTTGGCACGCTTTGGAAGTCACAGGAGACTACAACAAAGTCCCGCACTCTTGCGGGTAGCTCATGGGGGAGCTGAGGGCTAACCCTTTGGGGTTATATAGGGTTTATCCTACGGCGAAGAGGTTTAAGACTATCTCTTCTACTACGCAGTTCCTCAGGCGGCTGCTAATTCGAGCCAGATCTGGTTTCTGAAACAGGTTCTTACAGGCTGCGTACAGTCTCCATTGTAGTTTCCTTCTTGGTTTAGCCAATTCTAATTCTGAATTTAGCACCGTGTAATGGGGTGGTCTTCTGCTTCTGGTCTCTGCTTGTACTGGTCAGCCTGTCACAACCATAACTAGACCGGTTAGCTTGGCCGAGATTCCTACCTGTAGACCAAATTCTTGCGTCCGCTGGACCCTTAAACCCCCCGGCGGGGCCTGTGGGGCTTGTTGTGTTTATGACGACCCCTCATTGCCCTTATTTCTAGGTAGGATAAAAACTTAAAGACCTAAACCCTAAACCCTAAACCCGAAGCCCCTAAACCCTGACACCCAGAAACACTGAAGCCCTAAACCCGTAAACCCCTAAACCCTAAACCCGAAGCCCCCAAACCCTAAACCCTGACACCCTGAAACCCTGAAGCCCTAAACCCGTAAACCCCTAAACCCTAAACCCGAAGCCCCCAAACCCTAAACCCTGACACCCTGAAACCCTGAAGCCCTAAACCCGTAAACCCTAAACCCGAAGCCCCTAAACCCTAAACCCTGACACCCTGAAACCCTGAAGCCCTAAACCCGTAAACCCCTAAACCCTAAACCCCCAAACCCTAAACCCTGACACCCTGAAACCCTGAAGCCCTAAACCCGTAAACCCCTAAACCCTAAACCCGAAGCCCCTAAACCCTAAACCCTGACACCCTGAAACCCTATAAACTCCAAAGCCTCCACGGCGCGGTCGCGCAAGGCTTGGCCTCGGACCATGGCCCCAGAGGTTTCGGTCCAAAAACATGGGAATTTTGGGACCTATATTTGGGAGATTCCGAAAATCGGGGGAGCCTAGGGTTCCTTCAAAGGGTTCCTTAAAGGGATCTATAAGGCTTCTATAATCAGGGTTTAGGGTTTGGGGTGTTTCCGAAAATCGGGGGCCCTAATATAGCGCCCCAAATGATAGGATCCTTAAAATAGGTACCGCAAAATACGGTACCCCTAATCCTCGAAATCACCCATTTGGACACTCTTCCGAAACCCCTTTTGAAACCCGGCGAAAAAAACCTACGCTCCCTCATCCCCTGAACCCTAAACCTTCATGCTTTCCCTTCTTTCGAACCTGCTGGGCCAAACCTAACATTAAATCCTAAAACCCCTAACCCCCGACCCGGCCAAACCCGAAATACACTGTTTTCCCCTTTTCATCTGCTGGGCCAAACCGTTAGGTACTTGGCCAGTATCCTAGGGAACTAAGGGAAGTTGGGAGTATATTGGAATTATACAGGGATCGAAATCCCAAAAAACTCAAAGCCCCAAGGGACCTTGCACAACATTGCCGTATGTCACTCGCCGTGATACACAGAATCCTCCAAATCGCGGATCTCGAACAAAGACGTAGGGGCTGCATCATGACCCGACAGAATGACATGCTTCCCCAGTAGAAGCGTGATCACGAGCCACAGGGCGTACAGGCAAGGCGTAGCCCCGTTGTGCGTCGGCAGCAGTTGTTGCCACAATTAAACATTTGGCAGCAGTTGTTGATACGATTCCTATCTAGGACAAAAGAGCCAGCGGCAGCGCGCCCTGCAACTCAGCAGCAGTCCTGGCTGCGGATCGTGCAGGCGGAGATTCAAGGCGGGTAGCACAAGATGGTTGCTGCAGCCATGCATCGAAATCATCCAACTAAATTGGGGACGCGAAGCCTATTTTGGACTGGTCGCCCAGACGCGTGAGACACAAATCTGGCTACACAATCTTCCGCAGGAACACATAACACGCGTACATGTCTACCACGGGACTAATTTCACGCAGATCCAGCTACGCTGGGAATTATGCTGGGAATCGTGCATGTTGAAGAACATACCCGCAGCCAGATGCACTCCGAGCCCGTAAGCAACACGTCTTCATGTATGAAACCCTGTATTACTTCACCCCCCCAAAAGCTCTGCCCTGGTTAGGATGTATCATAATTCACAACATGGTTTCAAGTAACTTCTCCTTCTGCCTGCGGGTCTCGCGGTATAATTACATATTGGCCTTCAAGTAGTCCCGATCAAGCTACTTTAGGGCCAAAGTCTATGCTAGTTGGGCACATGGACCGTTAGGGCAAGGTAATATAATCCAAAACCCTACGCCTTGGTAAAACCGCCTTCTAAAACAGGTTACCTACTCCGACAACGTCCTGTAGATCCTGCATAGGACCCCTTTGGAGGAACCCTACATATAGTGTTCCTTAGGGTCCTTATGATAAATTTACTATGAAGGAGCCCCAAACGCCCTCAGGGTCCAAGTACCTAACAATCATATACTCAACTGAAGGTTAACCTGCATAACTACTATCCTAAACCCGAGTACCTAACCATCGGGTCTTTTGGACCATTGGGGAAGCCTAAACCCTGAAGTCCCTAAGAACTCTTATAGATCACTTATAGACCCATTTAAAGGAAACCGTTAAAGGAAGCCTAGTTTACTCGTTAATTACTGGGTCCGTAAAGGACCCTTCGGGCGAGGGTTGAGCTGAGGGCCCCGGCGGCTGCGACCACGAGCCGCCTGGAAGAAGTCGCGACAGTTTGGGGCTCAGGGGGGTTCCCTTAAAGGCTACGATACGGTTCCTTCAGGGGTTCCTTTAAAGGCCCCTTTAAAAGCTACTATAGGGATCTTTTTAAATGCCGCTTTCAATGAAGAAACCTATAGGGTTCTATAGGATTCCTTTAAAGGTTCTTTAGGATTCCTTTCATGGCTACTATACGGTTCCAGAGGATTCCTGTAAAGGCTACTACAGGGCTCTTTAGTGTTCCTTCGAAGCTACTATACTATTCTTCAGGGTTCCTTTAAGGGTTCCTTTGGAACCTAGTATAGGATTCTGCAGGGTTCCTTTCAGGCTTCCTTTCGAGGGTTCCTTTAGGTCTAGGGTTTCGGGTTTAGGGCTCAGGGCTTAGGAAAGGGTTCTACAAGGGCATTGAGGCATACAGGTTTGGGTTCAGGGCTTGTTCGGGTTCTTTCCTGTCGGGTGCACGGATTAGGGCTTAAGGGCTCCTTTAGAGGATCCTGTCAGGGATTACCTTAACCCTGAATAACCTACCTTTTTAGGGTTCCTTATGATTTCCTTATATGAGTCCTTAAAAATGTGGGTTCTTCGGGGCTAAGGTAGGCCGAAGGGCTCCATAATTCAGACTGAGTTATGGACCCCTGTCAGAGGTAACTGTCAAGGATGCATAATGGGTCTGAAAAGGCTTGGGGTTTAAGGGTCCCTTCCTTGATAAGGGAGTTTCCGAAAATATGCGACACACTGATACAATACCCTAAATAGTAGGATGCCCAATATATGGACCCCAACAAGCAAGACCGCCTAAATTCCGACCCGATTGCTCTTTTCAGTCAGATTTTTGGGTTCAAGGGTACCCGAAGTCCTCTGATTAGGCGCCTCTATGATCAAAACATGCTTCAAAGTTACCAAACACAGGGCTGTTTCGACATATAATGTTTAGTTGGATTTAATTGTTCAGGGTAGGCCTCTGGCTTTGGCACTTTCGCTTGAGGGTTTTGGCGTGCTTGTCGGGCTTCAGGCCCTCCCGTCCCTGGTTCCTCGCGTGTCGCCCGCTGGTGACAAGGCCCTTCCCGAAGGCCACCTGGCTGCAGGTGAAACTTAGGAGCCTTAATAAGTAGACTAGGGTTTTTGGGATATATTATACACAACTAAATCAAGGAAGCCACAAAATAGTTTTAGCAAATATTTAGGCCCCTATGTTATTGCAGTGGGAGATGTCTAAAAAGATAGGGTACTACTACTACTACCACTACCACTACCACCACTACTACTACTACTACTACTACTACTACTACTACTACTACTACTACTACCACTACTACTACCACTACCACGACCACGACCACGACCACCACGACGACCACGACGACCACGACGACCACGACCACCACGACCACCACGACCACCACGACCACCACGACCACCACGACCACCACGACCACCACGACCACCACGACCACCACGACCACCACGACCCACGACCACCACGACCACCACGACCACCACGACCACCACGACCACCACGACCACCACGACCACCACGACCACCACGACCACCACGACCCACGACCACCACCACGACCACCACCACCACCACCACCACCACCACCACCACCACCACCACCACCACCACCACCACCACCACCACCACCACCACCACATCTGCTACGACGACGACGACGACGACGACGACGACTACTACTACTACTACGACTTTCCCCAGAAGTATAACCAACACATGCACTCACCCACCTTCCGAATGAACAAGATAAGGAACCATGCACGCACTCATTTCGTTCGAAGCTACTGAAAGACACAGAATCACAGAAAAAACCTAAAGCCCCCAATTCTATAATAGCCTTATTGAAGCCTTTAAAGCCCCCAACTCTACAATAGCCTTGTTGAAGCCTTTAAAGGACGTTGTAACGGAGCTGAGGGCCCGAACGTGCTCTCTCGCTTCCGGCGTTTGCCGCGACGTCGCCTGAGGTGGGCCCAGGAGGCTGAATTGAAGTAACGGCAAACAGTATTACCCCAAAACCCTTAAAGAACCCTCAATGCACCCCGACGCCGAACCACAAAAACCCGATAACTTATCCCTTCAAGTAACGCTTTGGAAGGAGCCCAACAGAGAAACCTAAGTCCCATCTATCAGGGCCTCCCCCCATGGCCCTTTAATGGAGCCCTTATGGTTCTTAATAGTGGGCAATTTAGGGTATATTAGAGGGTAGTTGGATCTAAGCATCTATCTATCTATCTATCTATATACCCTGCGCGCACCCTACGATCCTACATTAATGAAGCCTATGAGCCGTGCACAAACCATTTTGTTCATTTGACCTAAACCTTGAATGCTTACAGAGCCCTTACCCAAATCTTCCAGTATCCCTGAAACCAGGAAGCTACCCGAAATGATGACAGGATCGCTAACAGTATTCTTAAAGGAGTATTCCTTGACCCAAGTATATTGGAAGATCTGGGTAATGGAGCTCTTAAAGGAAACCTTAGCGGAACCCCTTTGTAGGCTCCTTTAAAAGAACCCTCAAAGTTGCCCTTAAGGGAGCCCTTAACCCTTTTAAGGAAGCCTTAAAAGAAGCCTTTCAGCCTATAAGGAACCCCTAGATGAGCCCCTTAAAAGAACCCTTAAAGGAGCCGTGAACGCCCTGTTCCGGGCTCCAGGCGGAGAGACGGATCTCCGCATGGGCCCCGGTCCACTCGGAGGCCTCCAAAACTAGGATACCCAGTAACCTAAGAATAAAAAGGCCTCTCTTTTTGGTATTGGGTAACTTTATAAGGAACCTAGGACTACAAAAAGGGAATAAGGGTACTACTGGGCATCCTAGAAAAAGACTTCGTGGGACTTTGCTTGCAAACGGTTTGGGTTTAGGGTTTAGGGGTCCAGGGTTTGGGGTTTAGGGTTGAGGGGTTTAGGGTTTGAGGGTTTAGGGTACAAGGGTCCGTTGGTAACAAAGTCCCTGTAGAGGGAAGGCTTTAAGGCCGTATGTACTGTCAATGGTTTTAATACTGCAGGGGGTTTAGGGTTTTCAGGGTTTAGGGTTTAGGGGTTAGGGTTTTTAGGGTTTAGGGCTTAGGGTTTAGGGTTTTTAGGGTTTAGGGGTTAGGGCTTAGGGTTTAGGGGTTGCGCTTGAGCGTCGAGGCCCGATAGCTTCACCCGCCAGAAGATGGTTAGCCTTAATCCTAAACGCCCTTACAGCACCCTTAAAGATGACTTCCAGAGCCCTTGTAGGACTGCGGTGGCTTTGCCGGCTGTGGCGCGAAGAAAGAATCGCGTCTGAGGCCCGAGAGCCAATCGAGGCAGAGCTGCGGCCAAGGCCGGCACGCGACCCTGAAACTCAGGCCCCATCAGTCTTTCCACCGGCACGCAAGTCTACTACCTGCCCGGGGTCGGCATTGAACAAGCCTTCAGGATAATTTTCAGCGCTGTCGGTAGGCATCAGCAGGTCCACATGTTTTGGGGTATACCATAAGGCAATGGTCTTAACCTTCCTGCTGGCCTTAAAGGTCATGATGCCGAAATTGGGGTCCCTGGGGATGACCAGTACCCAAATGTTGTACAAGCGGCTCAGAGCTTTAATTTCAAGCATGGATGCGTAGGCCGCTTCGTGCGAAGCCAGGTCCAGGAACTCCTGGAAAGCAGCCTCCCTGTCGTCGGGGTGTTTTTCAAGAAGCTTCTCCAAACCCGGTCCAAGCCCATCGAACTCATCAATGTACTGACTCGAGTGCTTTCGCAAATGTTCAATAGCTTTTGCTCGTAGGGACCTGTGGTGGAAATTGTGTTTCTTGTCGGAGTGCCATTCAAGGCCCTGGGCGATAGCACGATAGAGGCATGCCCCGTCGCCCTGGATCGTGACCAACTTGCAACCATCAGGCACCTGGCGGTGGGTGACTGCTCGGGCCTGGGCTGGCTGTCGCGTCTTGTTTCAGCCGGACCTGGGCCTGCTTAAGGACCGGGTCCTTGGGAGCCACCAGCGGGACGTGGCCCTGGCGCAGCCAGGTTTGCCAGGTCCTCGGCACCTTGGTGGGGGCAACCGTGGCCCACATGGTGGTGGTACTGTCCTTGCCATCCTCGGTCACAGTGACCGGGTATATGGACCCTTAGGGTAAGGGGCTTGAACTGGTTGTTGGACAGCATGTACAGGGCCTTCGGGTTCATGGTCTGTTTTTCTCTGTATGGGAACTTGGGGTTTCAAGGATGCTAAAGTTGACGGGTAATTGAGAAGGGGTTTCTTTCAGGGTTCTATACTGGCTTTACAGGAGTTTTGGACGGCCACTCTATGGACACTGTAAAGGGCATAAGCAATTATCATGTCATTTAAACAGTTGTCTGAAGGGTTCGGAGAGGATTCTAATGTAATTGGGTAGTGGTATATGACTTCACAGTGCTTGTATTACCGGGCAACATAATAATTGAAATTATGAAGCTATGTGGGATTTTGATTTTGAATACTACGTTTCAGCATTGGTTCTGGGTGATCCTATATCTTGACCAGATCGGGACGATAGGAGCCACTATATCTAATTGATCTTATATAACGGCTCTATCGTCTGCTGCAGAAGATGCGGTCGAGGAGCTTAGGCTCGATTTTTTGAGGTTGAACCACCCAAAGATGAGATGGGAGTTTCCGAAAATAGGGGTACCTTTTTTTGGGTTCCTTATAATAAGGATCCTACTATTTAGGGTACCATATTAGGGTCCCCTATTTTCGGAAACTCCCAGATCAATGCTGAGACAACAAGTCGGAGCCAGGGACATACTGTTCAACTGACATCCGACTACCGAGTCCTGGTTTGGGTCTCGGACGTTTCATCGTGCAAAGCAGCGGTCGTAGGTGCAAGATCAGAAAGAAATGGCCAGAGGTCAGGACTTACGGGTGTAGGGTTTAGGGAGTTGATTAGTCGTCGTGGTGGTCGTATTCGTCTTCACGAGGGGACAATGCGACGGCAAACCAGCATAAGTTCAGTACCTTCCGGTGGTCGATGAAAGATGCGAAGGATGTGTTGTTTCAATCGCACATTATATTGGTCGCCTAAACCAGCAGACCCTTAACCCAATCCTTTTGCAACAACGAAGCGTAGCCCACCTGGCCCACCACTAAACCATCAAAGAGTGGAAACATTCAATCCATCCTTGTCTTAGCCTCCATCTACCCCATTACACCCTAAAAGCCTGCTATCAGGAACAATATGCCCTGTTTCAGGGTACAAGGAGGGCGTTGGTTTCCTAGTAGACCGAGCGCACACCCTCGACTCTGTGAGGTTTAGGGGAACACTATAAACGAACTCTCTCCGACTCACAAAACCCAAGACCCTGAACCCACATGGGAGTTTCCGAAAATAGGGGACCCTAATATAGCACCCCAAATAGTGGGATCCTTATTAGAAGGACCCCCAAATAAGGTACCCCCTATTTTCGGAAACCCCCACATCATCCTAAACCATAGTCAAACCTACAAACCCCTTTAACCCTAAACCTTGAACCCTAAACCCACGCTGAGCTTGCCCCAGCGACAGCTCAAGTGATATCCAAAACCCAGAGCCCACATTTTAGTTGCTGAGTTCCTAAGACCCCAAAAGTGCACACTTTCAGTTTTATGGTGGGTAGTATTATCCCGGATTATCCCAAAAAGTGTAAAGTGTGCCCACTCAGCTATACTAAGTCATCAAGGAGCCCCGACGACTCTGAGCCCAGAAACCCTAAACTCTAAACCCTAAAAACCTAAAGCCCTAAAGCCTAAAGGAGGAGCCCCAGAAAACTCTGAGACCGAACACCGCCCGCCTCCGCCTGAGCGACAAGGACCGCCGCCTGAGCGGCCGGCCGCCACTGCGGCTCCGAAGACGTCGGTTGCCCTGTCAGGGTAGGGTTTACCCTGGGGTATTTAGTGTTCCGCAAAGGGATCTCTAGGGGTTTCTTTAAAGGGATCCATAGGGTGAGTCAGGGTAGGGGTTCCCAGGGTAGTTAGGGTTCCTTAACGGGATCTCTAGGGGTTTCTTTAAAGGGATCCATAGGGGATCTATAGGGTAAACAGGATGGGGTTTAGGGTTCAGGGTTCACGATTTCGGGTTTAGGGTTTGGGCTCGAAGGCTTTTGGGTATGAAGGCTTTATGGCCAAGTTCCAGGTTTACAGAAACCATACTGGCCTTGGAGTGTAGGTCCGGAGGTGCTTGGGCTTGAGGTTAGTTTGAGGCTGATACGCAAGTTGATATGACAGGAACATGGGATGAAAGGATAGAGGTCACAATTTGAACGTCCGCTATGGCTATGTGGCCGTTTCAGGATTGCGGTATGGTACCAGGAAACATGGTGTCACGGAGGCCGCTTGATCCCGCAAGCTCGCTTGCCTGCATTTGATCCGTATGTTGGACCCTCGAGGAATAGAAGGTCGTGCTCATTACACAGGTCAGTGTTCGCATTGCTGCAACTGGCACTGCTCCGTGCTAGCACTATGATTCATACTGTGGGGCTGAGGGGACTTTGTAAGTACGGTTTTAACTGGGGTTATACCTCCACTGAGTGGGGTTATCCTCATTGTAATCGTGCTTACAATCTTACTGACTAAGTCCCTTGGGCCTTTCTGTACCGTTGCAGAGGTGAATTCAAAGGATCATGTCAACGAAGGGAGCTCGTACGGGGATGATGATGCCTTGCCTCACACCCTAAACCTAATCCAACAACTCTACGACAAGAAGGTGTTGCTAATTCCTGCCCAAAGGGTCCAAAGTACCTTTATGGTAGAGTGTAGGGTTTCTATGTTAGGACTTACTATTATGATTTGGGGAAGTATTCCCCATGACAGTACGTGATGCAAGCTGCGACCTTCTCATGCATTGCTGCGATATCTTTGCTAGTACCCTTCTAGCCACGTCCGATTGTCGGAGTAAACCTCATCCACGCATTCTTGCATCGGCTTGGTGCATCCCTTCGGCATAAAGCCTGAACTTAAGCAGACGTGATATCTGTACATCTATAGCCGCACTAAAACCGCAAGGCCCAAAACCCTGAAGAACCTAACGAGCCTGTCGTGCAGGCGGCACGGTGATCTTGTTGTCAGGACTCAGCGACTGCTCCTGACTCCTGCCCAAAGGGTTCTATGGCCATTCCCTCCACGAGACCTTCTTCTTCCCTCCACATGGGGCCAAACGGTTTCAAATTTAGGCTTCCTTCAGGGGATCTACAGGGCCCAAACCCTGAACTGCCAAAACCGAGCTCCTACATGTTTGTGTTCTGAACGGGTCTCGGCATAATTACAAGGCTCCCAGAGTAGTATAGGGCTTCTAAAAGGGTTTAGGACAGCTCCCCGCTTCGGATCAACAGAACATGTATTTGCGCCAGTCTCAAGCCTGCTGTGCCTGTTCCCGAGAGGGTCAATAATCGGGTCTTGGGGCACAGTATACCAGAATTATAATATAGTTTTTCATTTGGGCCCCTATGGTGTATACCATTATTATGGAATTTTTAGGTCGCCCAGAAGCATTGTTAGGATGGTCTCATACATGCACACAAAGGCGTTTATTTGTACACATTGTTGATATGTGCCACCTGTGATTAGCCTTGATTCTAAAGCCATGCCAGAGTCCTCTCTCTCGCTGGCGGTGGCTGCCCAGGGGAACGGAGCCTTCCCCGGCCAAGGCCTGAAATCATTCCGAAATGCTGACTCCTAGTTCATGTTCACTGAGCCCGAATTACATAGCTTTGATTTCGGGTGAGTCTGTGAACCCTAAACCCTGAGGTGTTTGAAACTCGACTCTACTTATGGCTTATGACTACCTTCCAGGAGGGCTCCCGGCGCTTCATTGTGCGACGGTGAAACGATCATCCTAAACCTATTCAGGTGGCTTTGGTAATTTAGAACAGGCTTTGCAGTATATCATCAAAATGTATCCACAAGAAGGAAGCCTACGCAATTATAGCGACAACTATTCAGGCTTCGAATTCTCTAGTACAAACATAAGCGTCAAGTTCTTGAGGAAACATCCGTTCGAGGAGGTGGCTTTCAAAAAGTGCTTAAGTTTAGGTGCTGTCTTCGGCACCAATCTAAGCACGCCGCCCCGACACAACTGAAAATCAATAAGTTTTTCAAGTTCCAAGTGCCAATCACATACGCCCCCCAGAGGCTGGCCGACGTTAAACCCAAGCACCTAGCCTGGATCAGTAATAATCACACTAACCCTGAATAACCTACCTTTTTCGGGTTCCCTGTTATGATTTCCTTATATAAGTCCTCAAAAAGGTAGGTGCTTCAGGGTTAAGGCAAGCCCCACAAATCCTCACAGTACCCTTGACAACCCGGCCTGTAGCTACCTAGACTAAGGATCCTTTTCAGACAGGGACTTCGCGGTGGACACCACCCCAGATTGTTCAGCAACTTGCTGAGAAGTGTCAAATCATGTAAACTACTATTATGGAATGATGTCCTCCAAAACCATTATTAGGATGGTGTGTTGGGGCCTACTTCTAGAGTGGTATGTATCTGGACCTCTGCGTCATACCTGTAGGCTCATACCCTGCCCCTTTTCTCGAGTATCTACTTTCTTTAGGGGTCCTAACCATAAAACTAGGTATCCAACAAAAGGGGTAGGGTATGAGCCTCTAGATATGATAAGAGGAACCCAGAGACAACACAGCACCAGATAGGGCCCCTACTGCAAGCACCCTAAACCCTAAACCGTAGCAAACCTAATTAAACTCTAAACTCTCAACCTTAATTAAACTCTAAACTCTCAACCTCAATTAAACTCTAAACTTTAAACTCTAAACTCTCAACCTTAGTTAAACTCTAAACTGTAAACTCTAAACTCTCAACCATAGTTAAACTCCAAACTTTAAACTGTAAACAAAACCTTTCTTGGGGCCCGCACGGCGTTTTCCGCCAGGGCTGGGGGCAGCCCTCTTCCGTGCCCTGGCGTCAAGGTTGATGGTGTACACCAGAGAGCCCAATACCCCGTAATTGATCAAGGAATATGGCCTATATAAATCATAATATGAAGCCCCTTAGAGTTTAAGGAATATTCCTTAGTTAAGGGGTATTGGGGCTCTCTGGGACCTTAGTTACCCATCGGCCACTCTGAGCAACCGTAAGTTTAAGGTTTAGGGTCTGAGCAGGAACCCTGAAAATGGGAGGGTTTTGCGGGCCAAGCGTGGTTTAAGGTTCCTTCAAAAGCTCCTTTTCCTGTTCGTTTAAGGCTTGTAATTATAACTGTATAAGTAAGGTCTCTGAAAGTGTTGTTCAAGAGTTCGGGTCGCCGCACTTGGGCATTAAGCCTGTCCAGCCCCCCGCCATGCCCACAGGAACCGCAAAGCGCGCGAGACCCTCAGCACTTAGGATTTATGGCTCCGGGCTGTCGGTCCTTAAGCTTTGGGTGTTTACGATGCGCATATATAGGAGGGCGTTAAGGTCAGCGTATACTTACTCTACTCCCTTTAGGAGATAAGCAATACTTTGATTCTTGCGACCCTTCTAAACGAAACCAAAATGCTAATCAAAGAACACAGTAAAATTAAAACAACACCCAAGAGCTGGCGAGTTTTCAACCCCAGGGAATAGGGTTTAGGGTTTAGGGGTTAGGGTCATACTACATACCAGAAGCTATGCAAGCGCCTATATTACTAATCGAGGGTTTGGCCAGGCATGCCGGAACACCGTGATGAGACTACTTCATCTGCCCCTGGGTCCAAGTACTCATATGTACATATTATGGCCTGAAACTTGTCTCTGTTTCGGTACCTTTGGGCAAAATTATCCAGTATAACTATACAAGTACATGGACGCTATAAGGCTTGATCTCGGCATAGATCCAGCTAAACAGAAGGACGAGCAACCGCGACCTACCCGGAGGATCCAGTCAACCTACGTGGTTACGTAATATGCCTACCATGGAGCTATAAGGCTACATGAAGATACGAATCCCAGTAGCATCATGCAGGAAGTCTTTCCAGAACAGCGGCTGCACCTACAGAAGCAGCAGCAGGCCGAGTTCTAACGGAGTAGTGACAACGAACATGTGCGCGACATAACCCCTGTATGCTAGGATTCATATAAAGAACCCTAATAAAGACCCAAGCTTCCACATCTTGATGGAACTGGAAGAAACAGAGTCATGAACCCCAACCACAGCCTTCCTATGACACCGTCAGTGAACCTTTACCTGACAAAAGATATGTGCGTGTATATGTTTGTGTAGATGTACAAACAAATATATATATATATATATATACATATATATATACACACATAGACACATTCATGGCCAACTATTTGCCTCTGTGCTTCCCCTTCGCAGACTCTTGGCCAAGCAAACAGCCGATCTCATCACCCAGCACAGTGGCTTCAGCGAACTTGATCAGCGCGATGTGTGCCAGGAGGACATGCGTCCTGTCCGTGACTTGTTCCCGCAGCGCCTCCTCTTTTTCAGCACTGTCCTGTTTTTGCGGCTTCGAACTGGACGATCCATGATTCTTGCATACCGACTCAATGCTGGGTTTTTGTTGAGGAATTTAATTTGAGCTACCAAAATGCCGAAACCATGATATTTCCCCTATGGCCCTATAGCGATAACTCGAAGTAAACCCTATAATTACCCTGATAGGATCCCTTTTAGACCCCGTAAGGGCACCCCGGAATCATAGAGCCCTGATCTGTGGTAACGGAGAACCCTAAACCCTAAACCCCTAAACCCTAAACCCCAAAACCCTATAAACCCTAAACCAAAACCCTAAACCCTAAACCCTATAAACCCTATAAGCCCCAAACCCTATAAACCCTAAAAACCCTAAACCCTGTAAACCCTAAAACCCTAAAAACGCTAAAAACCCTAAACCCTAAACCCTATAAACCCTATAAGCCCTAAAAGCCCTAAACCCTATACCTCCCGAATCTGCGGTTACGAAGACGAAGAGCGCTGGGCCGGGCCTGGGGCTCCTGGGCCCACGGCCCGAGAGGCGGGCCTTGGCTTTGGGCCTGGGGCAGAAGGCGGGAAACCGCGGTTTAGGGGTTTTAGGGGTTAGGTTTTAGGGGTTTAGGTTTTAGCGTTTAAGGTTTAGGGTTTAGGGGTTTAGGGGTTTAGGGTTTAGGGTTTGGAGGGTGGGTTTAGGGTTGGGCCATGTGGGCTTAGGGGTCCAGGGCTCCGGGTGTCTAGGGTTTTTAGGGCTTACGGCTTACGGTAGAGATGGAGCGAGAGAGGGAGAGAGAGAGAGAGAGAGATAGATAAGAGATAAATTTGTAATTATGTATATTATGTACAGACACATCCTTATACGATGAACTCCCATATGGCACATGAACCTTAAACCCTCTCATGGTGCATATCGTCGACGAGGGAAGGACAGAGAAAGAGAGAGAGACAGAGAGAGAGAGAGAGAGAGACAGAGAGAGAGAGAGAGAGAGGGAGCGAGCGAGAGAGAGAGAGAGAGAGAGACAGAGAGAGAGAGAGAGAGCGAGCGAGCGAGCGAGCGAGCCTGCGAGAGCCGTTTAGGGGTTACGGCCAGGGGTTTGGGATCGCAAGACTGCCGTAAGGGTCCAAACAAAACCGCAAATCCTGGATCCGGAACGTAAATCGGAACTAGGTGAATGATTCTCTAACAAGTATGGGGGCCGTATTAATTGGAAACGACTTGTGAGGCATGTTAACGTGTCGTTAAGCTAAGGAACCATTGGCAATTCTTGATTCGTCTACATTACGATCATGTGAAGACTCAGAACAACTATACTGAACTTAGAACCCTAGCAAAAATTGTAATTTTAGCTGTCTCTTGGGGATTATAATAACCAAAATTAAAAATCATTTCTAAGCACCCCTAAGACAATGCCTCTCAACCCGACTTGATTCTTGGAACCCTACCGTGAGTTCTCGACCTTCAGGCCCCAAGCCAAAAGCGAACCCCGCCCCCAAAGCCGAAATCCTAACTCCCAATACATGCTAAACCATCCTAAGCCATCCTAAACCCTGCATATCTTCGAGAGACCCTGAACCCTGAAATTCTGAACACCAGAGCCCTGCTGTTTCGAAACCCAGCAACTCCAGGCTCGCAAGCCCTGCAATCCTAAAACCTCAGACCCCAAACCCCAGCAACCACCCCTCCGCTCCGCCCTCATGGGCTAATACTACTACAGCATCAAAGTTTTTTGAGGACCATATAGGAATATGATGATCCTTCTTCTTGTCAACCCCTAATTATAGTAACCCCCGCCCCCCGTCAGCCGGCCTCAAGGCGATGGGTTTGTTTTCCCGTTGCTCATTCCCGCGACTGTCGGATCGTCTCTCCGCGCGGTTGTTCTCCCGCTCCTCGCGCTGCCTCGAAGGGTGGAAGCAGGTGGGGGTTTCGGGACTGAGTGTGCAGAAGAATTGAATTGAGGGTGTTGAGGCTGAGGATTTAAGGCGTTAAGGTTCTCTGGCTCAAGGTTTAAGATGTCGGGCTGAGGGAAAAAGGAATGCTGAATGAGGATGTAGGAGTCAAGATTTATGGTTTGAGAGCTAGGGCTCGCGGTCCAACACGGTGGAAGGTTTAAGGGCTTATGACACCGGTCTAAGGACATACAAAGCCCGAGTCTCACTGTTGAGGCTCCTGTACCGTACCCCGAAACCAAACCATTAAAGAAGCCTTAGAGCAAGCCTTATAAAGGCCATAGTGCTGCAGTCTCAGGTTTCAGCTCGGTTCCAACAGGCTTGTGTTGAATGGTTCTCTAAAACTTAAAGGTTCAGGTCCAGGGTTCAAGGTTCAGGGTTCAGGTTTGGGGGGTCAAGGAATCAGAGCTTCGGGTTTACAGCTTAAACCATTGGGCTTGATTCGGCTTGAGGTATGGGATTATCAGCGCGGAATCGCTTTATAGGTTCCGTTGCAGTGTCTTATGTCGAACAAGTGGAGCCGTCACAAGGCATCTTCACTCCATGAGAATGGTCCAACGGACACACCTTGTCAAGATTGCGTCTACAGGGACAACGCCTATTTGTCAAACCACGATAATAATTCTCGAAACCCCTGAAGCCTGTGGACACAACCTCTAGACCTAACACCACAGTAAAAACACAAATCTAAATATACTAATAACAACAGCAATGACACTAACTACAACGACAATACGAAGACCAAAACCACCAGCAACCAAACTGGCAAGAAGAGAAACATCGTATATAAACCATCAAACACCACCCGTAGCATTATCAAGAAGAACGAAGGACATCCCCAAACCCCCCAAATCCCATGCCCTACTGCATACTTTGGCACCAAACGATCCACCCAGGGTCAATTTTAAGAATACCATAATCCTAAACCCTAAACCCTACGGTTGATGATGTAAAAACGGCCTTGCCCATGATGAGGAACATACAATGATTGCCAAAGTCTAGGATCATTACGGTAGTGCAGGACATATATATATATATATATCATCAACCGTAGCATAGTCAAGAACGAAGGACATTCCCAACCCGAATACCCTATTCCCTAAATCCTATCCCTATCATCCTAGAGCCTTTACCCCGTAGTAAAATCACTCCTAACGCCGCCTCTGCCGCTCTTCGGCTCTCTGCTGCTGCTTTTCGGCGCGCTCCTCTTGGATTGACACTCCGGCGAATGTGGCTCGCTTCTCCCAAGGGCCCGAACAAAATTGGCTTCTTCTAGGGGTTTCTGTATGCGCTTCGGGTTGAAACTGGACGGTGCTGGGTTAAAAAGTTTGGACCCGAAGCTTAACATTGCCCAACAGCCGTATGTGGTATCCTCTTCGGCCACGAAAGTTTTAAAATGTGAACCCTCTGAGCCTGAAGCCCAAAACCCTAAAACCTGTTGGACCCCTTGTGATATTTTGGAACCCTTTGCGTTATAATACACCCCAGAACCCTATTCATTCAGGCCCCTACTATAGAACTCTAGTTAGTAAAGATCATTTCTAGACCCCGTAAAGGACCCTTATCGATACCTTAACTGCGCGTCAATAGAGCCAGGATCGGAATCGGGCTTTAGGACTTAGAGAGATGGGTCGAGGCTCGAGGCTGCATGATTAGAACTTTATGGAGTAGGGTTTGAGGCGTTTAGGGTTTCGAGGTTTACAGTTTAGGGTTTAGGGTTCAGGGGTTTGGGGTTTATTGGGGTATGCGGGAGCGTACTTCTCACAGGGACTATTCAGATGACTCTCTTACCAATTAATGTGGGATCAGGTGTCCGGGCAAATTGTTTCCTGTCGGGCTTAGGCATACATACAATGATCTGTATACATATGTATATATATATATATAGGCATGTAGGCAGGTATGTGTAGAGAGAGAAAGAGAGCCTGATATATTTTTTGAAGCGACATGCCTTAACTGCTTGGACGACCCGGGTTTAGGGTCTGTGGTTCTCGACAAACCTGAAAACTGCAGAGCAAAACGAGTCCTGCTGTTGCTGGAGAATCTGCGCCTGCTGCTTTTGCCTGCCCGCTGTTCTTTGGGAGTTTTCGAAAATTAGGTGTACCGGGTACCTTATTTGGGGATCCTTATAATAAGGATCCTACTATTTAGGGTACTAATTAGATGGTACTAGATTAGGGTCCCCTATTTTCGGAAACCCCCAGTTGAGGGCCCAGCAGGAATGACATAATGTGGAATCGGAACAAAGCCTGGAAACACATTGCCAGGACTCTTAGTAGTTGTAAACGGTGTATGTGGGATAGGGCTGTGTATACTTGCGGCTCTTGGTTAGTTTTACCGAAAAGTCGCCATGAGCTCGCAAGTATTCAGTCGAGCTAGAAACTTGTGGAAGTAGAGCTGTGTTAGTTGGAGTACACCTTCTACCCTGACCTGCCCAGAACCTACCATGGAACCCCCAACCACACATAAACAGTCGTCTATATTGTACCCCCTTGCAAGTGAAGAAATAGTTTCCGGGGAACGTGGAGGTAATCCTACACCGTCAACACCAACGAGCATCTGCCGTTCTAGCTCAAGCACCAGTGCTGCTGGCATGCTCGTAAAAGCATATCCTCTTGAAGCCCATATAATGTATACTTGTAGCATAATATGCCCTGACATCCATTATTGCTTCAATTCCCTCAACAGTGTTTTGGCTCAGAACGACTCTTGCAAATCCATATGCCTGAAAGCTCGCCTGCAAAACTTCAAACTGCAAGCCTGAAACCAAGCCTTGAAAGCCAAGCCTTTGTCACTTTTCCGCTCAGCCTGAACACCCTAACTCCTCTATCTTATCCTCTAGACATGACTATGGAGTTTAGGGTGTATAGGGCCAAGCCCCAAAGCTAGAAACCCACGGCAAGTTTGCCACCGAAACCTCCAAGCCCCGGGACCTTAAACTCTACACCCTAAACCCTGGACCCTACTCCCTAAATCATGGACCCTGAACTCGACCACAAGCGCAATCTAAACCCTAACCATGGATCCTAAGCCCGGAACCATGGACCCGAAATCCTCGTCCCTTGTCCCGAAACCCCGAGCGCCTGCATACTGAATCCCGACAAGCCTATGCCTTGCCCTAGTTTCGAGAGCTCAATCCCCCGACCTGGGGATCCAAAAACCTACCGTTTGAAGGGTTAGACCCTATAATTAAGGGGTCATAACCTACTGTTTTGTAGGGTTTGGGGTCACAGGGACAAACTCTAGCACCCCAAAACATTCACCAATACTGTGAAGCAGCACCATATGCACATCAGCATCCGCAATATCTGCCCTACTTCCTGTCACATCGCATCTTCTGGCCTCCGCGAGGCTTAAGCACAGCTCCTTCCAAACATTCTAGGGTCTGAGGTCTGGGTTCCTAAGGCCCTTGACCCCACAACCCTAGAGCCCGAAAGCCCAAAACACAAGTCTACGTCTTGGCAACCAACAAACCGGCGCCTCTGCCAAGCATCGCCACGAACCTTCACGAGGTCACCCACCTGCAGCGAGATTATGGAGGGACTTGGGCTTTTCCCATAGGCCCCAAAGTAGTTCCTTTGCGGATTACCTTATAGGATTCTATATATGTGGTTGTCAAAATTAAGGTCCCTTCTGGGGTACCCTGAAAATTAGGTGCCGTATTATAATAGGGAAAAGGGACCATCATATTGACAACCACACATATATGAACCCCAAAAAGGACCTACTTTGGCGCCTTAGGGTTAGAGCCCCGGATCTTCCATTTATCACTGAAGTACGGAATAGTTAAACCTTTACACCAGCATAGGATCCCTACTATGGCTCATGATAGGATCCCTAACATGGTCTAGACTGGACCTTAAGTTCTACTGCGATCCCAAATCTGATCTAAGGGTATATTCCAGAATTAACCGGCCTTGGTGGCTTGTAGGGTTGGAGTAGTTCAGGACTTAGGGCGAGGGAGCTTCTCAAGCAGACTTTGCTAAACATATAGGCCGTAAAACGGGTCTGCGTTAAAGGCTGCATTGCACGGGCGTCGACACCTTCAGCAATAGCACCAACATGAGAACGAAGCAAGCCCTGGATCCAGAACGGCTTCTGGTGATTACGGTGTCTGGCATCGGCTCTAGACGACAGAGCGATGGTACACCTACACAGTTCAATCTAGCTAGTACTATGGCGACAGTGCCGTCGCTCCAGCACGACGACAACCACCAACGACTGCTGCTGGTACCACTGCTGCCACCACCACCACCACCACCACCACCACCACCACGACTACTACTACTACTACTACTACTACTACTACTACTACTACTACTGCGTTGCCGGGATGAGGGCGGCTTGCACATCCGCCCAGTTCATCAGGTCTAGGGTTTGGGCTTGGGGGTTCGTTTCTTTGAACCTGTCGCCGCTTCTGAAACATTTCGGGCTCTGAGGACTCACATTTGCAAACTATATACAACGTTTTCGTGCTATTTTGAGCCTTAGGGAAAGTCTCCGATTTCATTTCACGAGAAAGAGGGGTTGTAAGCCTCAAGCATCTGTGGCTCTCACGGTGTTCTAATGAAGGGGATACATGGGCCAGCAAAGGAGCCGCCCGACACAGGATCATCCGAAACGACACGTTGCCAGCTGACGGTTTCCATGCACTAGGACGACCATGCCAACCTCAGTCTCAGCGTTTCTAGGAGCGAAACTCCCAATGCTTCCGGTGTAGCATCTGAATCTATCCTTAGGCCCAACCCCCTTCGTAAACCATCGCCAATCTTCAGTCACGTGCCATGATTCCTGCCTGGATCGGATTTACCTTGCTGCTCCAGGGAAAGTAGACTTCGTCGATCAGAGAGCTTCTCAGGGCTGTGCCCTTGCAGTGGACTTCCTGCCGCTGAGGGTGGAGGGTTTAGCGTTCCGGGAGCATCCATTCCGAATAACCCGCGTAACTACAACCACAGGATGCCTATGAAAAGGAGGATGTGTATGTTCACTGTGGGCTCTTGACTCTTGGCCCTCTAGTTGCCCAAAAGTCCTAACCCAAAACCCTAAACTCAACACCCTTCAACACCAAAGCCCGAACCCCCAAAGTCGTCAACCTGTGATCTGTTACCCTGAACAAGAGAACTTTCACAACACTTGTCCTTAGGGGTTAGGGTCTGACTAGCCGGCATAGATATGATAATCGAAACGTGCGGCAAGCTCCGGTAGGAATTGATTGACATGAAAATTCATGATCACTGTTATCGGTTGCAGGAGCAGTAATTTGGGGTGCACATCCCGCTACTGGTTGTCTGGATGCCGAACGCCTTTGACACTTGAAGTGCAAGGCAGTTCGTCGTCTGCTTTTGTTTTGGCAGATATCGCAAGTTGGACGGACTTAATCCTGGCGACGGGGTCTCAACAGCAAGTTGAAGTGTCTCTAAACCCTAAACCCCTTCCCCAAAGGGTCCAAGTACCAATATAGTAAGTAATACATTTGGGGCCCCAAAGTATATCCTATACTACTACTTGGACCCTTTGGGTTCTCTCCTCTTTTGTCACCCTATGCCTTGCGGGATCCTAGCGGCCCGTAGGGCCCGTGTCCTCAAATTCGACAGCAGGTGGAGGCTTGCCACCCGACCTCTGCCTTTCTCACAGGCGCCACAAGCAGCGGTAAAACTGACCACATCGGGCAGCAAACTCTTCCGAGGCAGCTGGGAGAACAAAAGAAGAGCCTTCTGCCAGGCATCTCCGATCTCACAGGCTGAAATGCCAGCGCTGAAGCTGATGCTTTCGGGTGACATCTCGGCAGAGAGCTCGGAAAGCAGGCCGAGAGCGGCTTGCCATTTCCCCGACCTCTCACAGGCAGTAAGGCAAGCATTGAAGCTGATCACATCCCGTTGAACTCGGACTGCCGGCATGAGCGCCAAGAGACTCAAAGCCTGTGCCCAGTTGTTGCCCTTCTCACAGGCGCTGATGCCTGCATTGAAGCTGATTCCATTGGGCCGAAGCTCCGCCGAAGACATCGATTCCATTAAGCTCAAGGCCAGCTGCCATTCGCTGGATTTTGCACAGGCGCTCATGCTGGCATTGAAACTCACCCTGCTAAGCTCCAGCTTTGTTGCAGACAACTGCGACAGCAGTTGTAGTGCGAGTTGCCATTCCCCTGCTTTCTCACAGGCACTGATGGCCGCATTAAAGCTGACTTGATTGGGCGACACTTCGGCTAACGGCATCTGAGCTAGTTGGTGCAGCGCCATCTGCCACTCGCTGCCCTTCTCACATGCACTGATGCTTGCACTGAAGCTTACTACGCTGGGAACGAGCCTGCCACTAGCAATCTGTGACAACAGATGCAGCGCCCTTTGCCACTCACTGCCTTTCTCACAGGCAGTGATGCCGGCATTAAAACTGATCACATTGGCTACAACACCCGCTTCGGGCAGTTGCGACAACAACATCAGGGCTTTCTGCCATTGACCACAGCTCGCGCAAGCACTGATCGTTGCACTATAGCTGAACCTGGACTTTGAAGTGACCAGGGAGAAAAAAGTATAGACTTGTATGAACCCTAATGGTTCCTTTAAGAAACAGGTACCAAACAAAAAGTATTCAAGTATGGTACTCCAAACCCAGGGAACACATTTGGGGCAGTACGGTTCGACTTCATCTGGAACAGCAATCCAAGCGCACGTTCCCACTGCAAGCCCTTTTCACAGGCGGTGATCGCAGCACTAAAGCTTTGGACAGTGGGTACCACCTGAAGCAGGGCTTGCATCGCTCGTATATGCCTAGTAGGCTACGACTAAACTTGAACCTCTTCAACCCTATACATACCAAACCAATATACATACGCCAAATCATAAGCCCCAAAACCTAAAGGCCGTGGAGTCTTAACGCTCCAAGCCATTCCCCACTGCACCTGACTTCTCAGAATGTCTGCCAAGACTTGGACTGCAACGTGCCATTGCTGGGCATGTCCACAGCACGTGATGACCTGGGAAGTGACACAAGCTACCGTCCATGCATCTGCCCTGTGCACACTTCAGCATTTTGCGGGTTTGGAGGATGTCGTTGTTTAGTATAATTATGTCGTTTACATATTCTGTGTACATGCATGAATGTGGAAATATACATATATGATAACAACGAAAAAGGTGGCAATGTTTCAGTACCTGCGTATATGCATACAAACACGTCCCTGCATACACGTATAGACACATCCGCCATCCGACCGCTCATGCATATACCCATACATGCGTGCGTACACGCACACAGATGTGTATATCTACAACAACTACAAACTTTAGAAGCCGAGCTATCCTAACCCAGGAAAATAGAGCTGCCTGCAAACCACCAATCACAATAATCCAAGTCCCGACCCTCCAAGTAGCAGTCTTTGAGCCGATGTTTCCATTCTGGATATGTCGGCGATGCCATTTTTGCATAAGCAAGATAGCAATAGTAATAGTAATAGAAATAGTAATAGAAATAGTGATAGTAGCAGCAGTAGTAGTAGTAGTAGCAGTAGCAGTAGCAGTAGCAGTAGCAGTAGCAGTAGCAGTAGCAGTAGCAGTAGCAGTAGCAGTAGTAGTAGTAGTAGTAGTAGTAGCAGTAGCAGTAGCAGCAGTAGCAGTAGCAGTAGCAGTAGTAGCAGTAGCAGTAGCAGTAGCAGTAGTAGTAGTAGTAGCAGTAGCAGTAGCAGTAGCAGTAGCAGTAGCAGTAGCAGTAGCAGTAGCAGTAGGAGTAGGAGTAGTAGTAGTAGTAGTAGTAGTAGTAGTAGTAGTAGTAGTAGTAGTAGTAGTAGTAGTAGTCGCAAGGATGAGAGTTTGCTGCCTCTTCGCCACTGCGGTACCGCACATTGGGGAAAGCACATTTTAGAACAACCCCGTGCCTCACGGAATGCCTTCTGGTCGCCTGGGCCGGGCATGCCCTGCAGCATATGGACAGCAACCTCCCATTGGAATTCCGCAGCTGCCACACCCATTGCTGCAGCACATGCTGAAAATTCCGCCCTGGCATCAAATGCGGTCATCCTGACACGGATGGCCTGTCTGAGGCTTGAGCCCATCCAGATCCCCGAAAGCCAAAAGCAGTTCACATCCAAGCCGGCAATAAGACGGGCAGCCCATAAAGCAGCCATGGGCCCCTAGTATGGGCATCAGTCTTAGGATTCATATAATTTATACCTACTACATACCTTACATATTTCCTTAAGGGTCCCTAGACTTCCTAGGCCTCACGATCTCTCTTCGGGGCTCATACTTCTAGCCTTCCTGCATCCCCAAGCCTACAGAATGGTAAGTTATGACCCCTTAATTAGAAGGTAATTATAACCCTTAAAACACTAGAGTTTTGGATCCCCAGGTATTCCCTAAACCCTAGTCCCTAAATCTTAATTTATCCCTACACCTAATTCGGGGCCCATACTTCTAACCTTAGACCAACACCGATGCGCTTGAAACACTCCCAAACCTATAAACGCCGAAGCCAGAAGCTCTGGTTGTAGTTGAACTTCGATAGCAGTTTGGCCTTTAGGTTCATGGGTCATATGTGTGTGTGTATATATATATATATATAGATAGATACAGACACACATATGTTTGACTATATATGTGTATGTATGTATGTATGTATGTATGTATGTATGTATGTATGTACCAACACTGATATCTACATACGTACTACATCAGACTAGAAGTAACGCAGCTGCAGTTGGACTGTGCTAGTCTTTTCTATCCTGGTGCTTCTGACCTCAGAGCCCAAAACCTCAATTCAGGAACACTGCTTCAATGATCTTGGGCTTGGTCTTGCGCGACGTAATGATTTACATAAGGAACATTCCGCAAGGGGAGTTCGGCTCTCCAGGCACCCTCAAAGACTAGTCTTGTCAGCTGACTTCCGAAATAGCCCGACCGATACTCAACGCAGTACTGTTTTTAGATGACCTGTTGGTGGTGAGGATCCAACAACAAGAAGCCAAGGTGGTACTACATTGCAGGGTCTGTATGCACTGCACACAAGGTGGACCCCGAAACAGACATATACCAACTATACGGAGATACCATAAGCAACTACTCAGACCGCTATGTTCATCCTCTACTCCCGGACGACGACCCGCAGGTTTATGGCACGCAAAACGGCATCTGCTATTGTCGCAATGAACCCCAGCAACTAAAAGTGAGCAAAGGCCGAAAACCTAGAAACTGCACGGAACCCCAGGTCCGATAGGCAACCCCACAAGCCCTTAGCGCTATAAGCCCGGGAAAGCTGGACACCATCCCACACACCGAAGTCCCTAAGCCGTGCAAGCTCAAGAGCCCAAATCCACAACACGATGAACCCTGTTTCATTCTTGTAGTGAAAACCAATAGCCCCATTCGTTCGAGCAACAACGATGGACAGACAAAAAAGGATTGGACCAAACAGCTCCATTTCGTCAATTCAACACACCTAGAACATAAAGCACTATATCAATAAATCGGGAGCATTAACCAGACCCATGCTGAAGACCTCAACACCAAGGCCTGAACCCCAAACAAAATGCGAACGAACAACCATAACCTGGTTCATGGTTGGAATATGTATTAGGTATTATAACTTTCATTGCTTATTGGAATTAAGTACCCATCAACATGTAAAATGCTACCCAACTATGACAGAGCAACTATAACGGTACAACACATCCGTCAAAAGCACTGTCGAAGAGAACCCAAAACCTTCAACATCCCAGAAAACACTTCTGAGCTCTAGACAAAGCCATCGTACACAGAAACAGCCCGTATTATCACACAAACCCTAAGGCTCAAAATAGCCCAAAAGCCTTATATAGTATGGTCTTTGGGCCCAAAAGCCGTAAAATTTGAGTCCTTAGAGCCTAAGGGAAAGGGCACGCCAAGCACTGTCCTTGTGAGTCGGATTGATCAGGCCAGACTCCAGGCAACTCTTCAGGGTGGTGTCGGCCTCCGGTCTGTTTTGATGAATAGTGGTCCTTCTCAAGGTTTCCTTGAAAGGTTCCTGGATAGAGGAGCTGTCAAGGAGATCTATAATGAGGTTCATTTTACAAAAGGTTGGGTCGGACTCCCAGTACTTGATGCGGATTTGGGGTTTGGAGGTTTATAGGGTTTACGGGGCTTGAGGGGTTTAGGGTGCAGGGTCGGGGGGTTTAACCCTGAGGGTTTTGGGGATTTGGGCGATGAGGGTTTTGGTGGTTAGGGAGGCGAAGCTTAGGGCTTGGGGCTTAGGGCGCATATGTGTCAAACTGTATCTCTCCGAATGCCTTCAATCTGCGGTCCTGACGCCGACCCATCCCTCAGAGAGCAGTTCTGCCCAGGCTACTTGTAGGCTATGCTGGGCTGCTGAAGGAGGGCAGCAGCACAAGAGACCCTAAACCCCAAACCCCAGACTCAAGAGGCCAAACAAGCGGAAGCTCTGAACTAGAGAGAGGAAATCATCACATGAGGGTTTTCTAGGGTGAAGCTAAAGCGTAAACTAACTTCCCAAGCCCACAATGGTGTGTGGCTCTCGTCTCAATTGATTAGTGGATCTATGCGTCAATTTCGGACCAGTGTGGACGGATCCTCAGGCGAAATCGGGATGTCATAAGGCACCCTTCCTTTATGGTGCACGGTGTGCGTGGGATGCGCGAATTCAAAAAAGAAAAGAAACTACTGATCTGGAGCACCCACCGTTTCCCCGACAGCGATTGCAAACCAGATACCCAAAGTCGAAACCCAATCGGCCCCTTGCTAAATCCTAATTTCAAACCCTGACCCCCCTTGCAAACACAATCAGTGCGACAGTACAATGGGCCCCAAAACACTGCTCTAACTAATAAGGCCCCTATAGTAGCTCCCCTCTAAAGACAAGGGCGCCTGCACTCCCTTCAGCTGGAAGTCGCGGGGCTTGAGGGCTTTGAGCACCTGCTGACATCGGACGTTTTGGGTGTAGAAATACTTTAAACAATTGAAGCAGGGTCTTGAGGGATCCCTAAGGGTCCGAGTACCCAATAATCAGAAACTCTCCCAACTGGTAACCTACATAACTACCATCCGAAGCCTAAGGACCTAATTATTGAGTCCTTTGGACCCTTAGGGGATCCTATAGACACAATCAAAGAAAGGACGATGCTCTTACCAACGATTCAGGCCCTCGTGTTAGGGTTTCTGGGTTTGCAGGTGCCGGGATTTGATAAAGGTGTAAGGGAGGGCGTAAAGGACTTTGAAGCCGTGCCCGACATCAGCAGAACACAAGTTCACTGACAAGACACGTCTGGGCAGCATCAAAACATTGGCTGGCTTCGCATCCTAAACCCTAAACCCCAAAAACCCTAAACCCTAAAACTCTTAAACCCCTAAAACTCCTAAAGCCCTAAACCCTTAACCACCCAACAAAAAACCCAAGTCGATGTCATGTTTCCATGCACTCGAACCCAAAGGCCCAAACGCCCACCCTAAGAGTGTAAGCTTGGTAGTACCAAGAGGGTCCATACACTCCTATTGTGGAATTGGGCGCCCCCCAAAAGCAATACCAGGATGGTCTCTTGGGACCTAATAGCCTATAGGGTTACTTACTACCCACGTTATATTATATCCTGTTCAATGTCAAGGGTGCCACAACCGCTAACTACACAACATACCTTTTGCGACAAAGGTCTTCTTTGTGGGATTGATGGGTATAGCGGCCTTAACACTCAGAGTTGGTTCCTTTGAAGGCTTCGTTTTTTAGGGCTTCGGGTTTAGGGTTTAGGGTTTCGGGTTTCGGAGTGTAGGGGTTTTAGGGTTTTCTGATTTAAGGGCAGACTCGAGGATCCTTGGTCAAGGAGTGTAGGCGTAGGTCCCTGAAGTATTACCAATGTGTGCAGCTCCTTGTAAGTATACTTGCACACGAAACTAGTCCCAAAGCCTAAACCCCTGAGGCGTAAACCGCTGAAAACTATATTTGAAGTTTGAACATCTAAACCCCTAACCCCTAAATACCTAAAGCACTAAGCCCTAAATCCATAAATCCTAAACCCCTAAACACTTAACTCCTAAACGCTAAGTCCCAAACCCTGCGGATTCCGATTTCAGGGGAGGCCTTCTTGAGCTCGTTGCCCAAGGGGCAAATGCAGCAATGCCACTCCTGTGGCTTTGGCTGTACGGTTCCTTTTAAGGCTTTGGTATAAGGTTAGGGCCTAAGGTCTAAGGGTTCCTTTAAAGGCTTTGGTGTACAAGGGTTTAGGGTTGAGGGTTTCGTGTATAAGGGTTCCTTTGAGGCCTTTGAAGTACTTTAGGCCTCCAGAAGAGCGAGGGTTCATGGAGGGTTCCTTCAAGGGGTATAGGGTTCGGGACGGACGATGGGCTCTATCCTGACTGGGGTTTGTTCAAGGATTCCTTTAAGGCATCGGGATTTTGAGCTTAGGGTTTGAGGGTTTGGGGGTTTAATTGGTGTTCGGGTGTAGGGTCTAGCATTGGGTCAAGTTTGGGGTTTGAAGGTTTTAGGGTGTAGGGCCTATTTTTTGGAGCAGTTTCAGACAGAAATCTTGTCCACTGGCATCAAGCCTAATGCCCTAATGTAGGCTCAACAACAAAACGACATTTTAGAAACACAGTAGACACTCGGAGCCAGGTGGATCAACAATAACAGGTGATTTCGAGAAACCCCATGACGTCTTGTGTTCCAGGAACCAAATGCTGCTGTGCAAACAGAGTTTATCTTGCATTGGAGGAGGTATCCTAAACCCTAAAGCCCTAAGATGCGAAGCGGAGTTCGTGTCATGCACAGCAGTTTAGGACTAAGTGCTTGGATTCTCAATCCTGAAAACGTTTAACCGCCAACTGTGAAGCCCTGAACGGTCCTAAGCCCTCCAACAACCAAACCCGGACATCGAACTCTAAGACTCCAAGACCCTGCGCCCCTGGAAAGCCCCCAAAACTCCACACCCCTTTGGAAACGAACCCCCTCAGCAAACATTTTATACGTATATCTACAGCCTGTACACCTACAACAGCTCATATGTGCATATCACATATGCATACACACATATATATATATATATATATATATGTGTGCAAGCAGCCTGCAGCCTGGCTACCTCAAACACAAATGAAAGCAGATGCAATCAAGTCCTGCTCGGTGTCTTCCGTGCGGAGCTTCTCCTCCTCGTCCTCGTCCGGTGCGCCTCTCCACACAAAGGGTCATATACACCACCCTTCAAGGGATCTCAGGGTTCCTTTAAGGGATCTATAAGGTTGTCTTAAGGGATCTAAGGTTTCCTTTAAAGGATCTAACGGTTCCTTAAGCCTCATGGTCCATATACACTACCATTACCCTTGTGGAACTGGGTCCCCAAATACTATATCTCTTTTATGGGCTTAGGATTCATAGTTTAATGTCTAAGGAATTACAGGGTAAGGGCCTTGCTTCACGAACTAGGGCTTGCGGGTTTAGGATTAAAGCTTACCTGAGGGTTTCGGCTGAGAATTCCGAACTTTTCAACTCGGACGGGATCTTGCTGCACCTCGCTTCTTCCCTTCAGGGTTAAGTGCCTAGGGTAAGCGAATGCTCCCAACACTGGGTCCTAACCTCAGGGTGGGTGATCAGACAGATCTCAGACAAAAAGTGCTCAATTCTAGGTTCCAGGTAAGGTTTGGGTTTAACGCTTCGGGGGAGACTGATGGCAGAGATATTAAAACCGCCTACCTTCTGTTTCAGGGTTCCCTGAGGGAAGATTCTGCACTAAGCATGCGTAGGTGCGCAGATGCAGAATGTATGGGTCGTACACCCAGGGTTCTGAATCCTACATGCAGGCCCAGGGGACCTCGTCCGTGCCTATTTAGAGCATCATGGTACCGCTGATGGGCACGATCCTGCAACAGACTAACATTTGGACCCGAAACCGCTACCACGGGCAGGTATTCCACAGGATTTTGGCCATCAGTCCTGCTTGAAGAGTGTGGCGAGTATAGTGGTATAGGTGCTATGTTGTAATTAGCTGGTGCTGACTTCGATAGCTACAGATAGACCTATCGACCGGGTGTCCTCCAACGGGCCTACTGCCCTAAACCCTGAACCCGAAATCCTAAACAACCCTAAGCCTAAATGCTAAAGAACCCTGCATCCTGAACCCTTCCCCGAACACTAAACCCTAAACGCCTAAAGACACCTGCCCTAAGGCTCGGAATAGCGCAAAGGCCTTCTATGCCTTAAAACACAAGTCCTTAGAGCCTAAAAACACCTATGGACCGGATGCTCGCCGCGCCTTCGGCGTCTTCGTCGTGAGGGTCGTTCGCACGGCCCATGTCGGGAAAGCCGACCTTAGCCAGAGGGTCCATATATACACTCAGAGGGTTCCTTTAATTAATGACTTCAACTTCTTCGGGTATTTTGTGGGTCACACATATAGTTTATATATACATATATATATATATATATGTAGTTTTGTATATATGTATATTTGTATATATGTATATATCTATATCTGTGTGTATATATATATATATATATATATATGTAAATATACTATTAGATAAATATATACTGCTGTTTTAGAATTACGTCCACAAAGCCACAACAAGGATGGTCTTTTGGGAGACCCAATTCCACAATATGTGGACCCTCTGGGCTATGATCGCAGTCAGGGGCGCTCTTGACTCTAGGGGCTCTTGGGCTTAGGGCTTGGAGTCTGGGTTCAGATTTATAGCTTTCGGTACGTCAACGACTCAGCGATTGTAGTTTAGGGTTTAGGCCTATAGGGTTTCCATCTTGACGTTCAGAGGGTTTCGGAATTTAGGTTTAGAGTTCAGTTCCAGGCTGGGTTTAAAGTTTGGGGTTATAATGCCAGGGTGTGAGGTTCGAAGCGTCGAGTTTAGGTCCAGAGGTGTTCCTGGTCGAAGCAACGGACGCTTTTTGGCCGCCAGATCGCATCCAGACTCACTTCTTTCGGCTGGCGTCGAAGCGCCATCTGGAGTGTCAGCCAACGTGTACCTCAGCACGTTTGTGAAACTGGCAGGGGTGTTGCCGACGCCACAAGGAGCGACTGCCTCTGGCCAGCTTCTTTCTGCTGCAGCTCCTTCTGGAAGCTGCTCGAAGCTGCAGCTCAGCTGCTCGTACTTGGCACCGAAGAAGGCCAGGTGTGTCAACGGCACGTGCTGCTGCGACCACTTCTGATTCGGTCCAGCAGGTTCGGTCTTGAAGCTTAAGTTTCCCCCAAACTCACGGCCGGAATAACCTCCACCGCACGGATTGCACTGCCTCTATCCCCAAACCCTACCAAATAGTAGGCTATGACCGCTTAGTTAGAGGGAATAACCTGTAAAACAATAGGTTTTGGGGATCCCAAAAAGCCATCCCCATTATGGTTTTGGAACCATAGTAGGAGTATATACGGACCCTCTTGGCTCCCTTTCTACCGCTTGCTCTCCGGCCGATTGCCTCCAGAGGCTACCGACCAGGCACTCTGCAACCAAGACGTCCAACTCTCAGGCACCGCAACAGGCTCTTTGCATAGATATCGCATGGGGGTGAATTCAGGGCTCTCTACAAATCTAGGCTTATAACAAGTCCTGTGTTGTTTTGTACCAGATTTTTACAGCTCGCCTGTGTCCTGCTGTTTCGGGATTCGGGTTCTACACAGAGCCCTCGATACTTGCTGCTATCTTGTGTGGTGACTGACCGAATCTAGGCATAGGCATGGACGACTTACATACATTGGAGGGTATAGGCAGGGATAAGGCTTGCGATTAGGTTCGAGATACTGCGTATAAGGCGTAGGGTTCTCGTGCACCTCGACCGAAACCAGACCGATTGACAGTCCGAAGTTGACCCGACACACAACCAGCCCTGATCTCTGTATCAACACACTAAATATGTTTAGGAATACTACCGGAAGGACCCAGCAGTCCGATAAAGAACCCTAGAAAGAAGACCCACATGATTAATATAGGAGCCTTTGCAATTGCCTATACTATTTTATGGATTCCTTATGCCGCAGCATCCTCCGGGCACACGCGCCGCGTAGGCATGGAGGAAAACGCGCTGGCACCAACGCCGGTCCTGCTCAAGGCGGCAGGTGTCGGGTTTGGACCTGAATGGTTAGAATAGGGTTTTGGGGGTTCCTGATTGTAATTACAGTATAATGTACCCCCAAACCCTATTCTAATCATTAAGGGCCCTACATGAGGGTTTGGGCTTCGGGTTTAGCTTGGCTGGTTGTTTGGTTTAGGGTTAAGGGTATCAGCGTTTCAGGGTTAAGACCTTGAGTCCACTTTTCGGATGAAGGATCTTATTCGGTCGGTTGGGGTTTCGGCTTAGCTTAACTATAGGGCCCATAAACATGAAAGAAGGCTTGGGGTTATTTTGCTAAGGAACTGACAGAAATTGTATTGCAATGTTTTCGACCCCTTCAAACCGTTGTACGACCCTCATAGTAACCCTTCAAGGAACCCTCCAGTAACCTTTAAGTCATATGGTGTTTTGGGACCCCTGTATGATGTAGCCTCTTAGCCGTCTACATCTCCAGAAGCATGCGAACTAGAACTATGGGTGTCATGTGAGGTTTAAAATACTAACAATGTCTGATATTTATTTCTTACACGGCTTGCAGGTTAAAACAGGAGGCTCGGGCTTTAGGGTTTCCATATGGTCTCCACGGTAGCAGACCCTGAACCCCAAATCCTAGAACTCAAAACCTAATAAGCCGTAAAACCCTACTCCCCAAACCTGAAAAACACCAAACCTCAAACCTCAAACTTTTAACTTGCCCTGTGGCTCAAAAAGTTCTGCGGCTGATCCCATAAACTGAAGATCTCTCAGGATCCCACAAACTTAAGGCAAAAGCCAGAAAGTTGGAATATGATTATCCTAACCCTGCTATGGTAAAATATAGGGTATCCTATCATGAAACCATATTCCAACTTTCTGGAGTTTCCTATAAGAGCTCTTAGAGCCTTAGGAAAAAAACGCCCGGACCTCGATCATCTGCTTGGCTTTCCTGGGGCTGCTAACGAAGGGCCGTTGAATCGTAAAAAGAAAGGCTAGGATACCCAGTAACCTAAGAATATAAAGGCCTCTCTTTTTGGTATTGGGTAACTTTATAAGGAACCTAGGACTACAAAAAGGGAATAAGGGTACTACTGGCATCCTAGAAGGGCAGCAAAGGGGGCAAAGGGCACTACTGCGGATCCGAGAAGTCTACTGTTTTGGGGCTGACGGTTAGGGCCATTTGCTGGTCTTTGAAGTAACCAGGCCGAAAATAGAGAAATTCAATCTCTACTGACCCCGTGAAGAAAAACAGGTCCAAGATCAAAACACTCAAGCATGCTACTCCAAGGCCAGATTTAACTTGTCTACTATCTTGGGGCTTACGGCTTAGGGCTTACGTCTTTTGGGGGTTAGGGCCCGGGGTGGCTATGAGGATCCACAAATCAAAAAACTGTGTTCAGAAGTGGCCCAGGTTCTGGTAGTAAAACTCCGAGACGATCGGCGCACCCAGGGCAGCCGACCTCAGGGTCCCCACTATTGAAGGGTATAAGGAGGGACCCTTAGGACCCCCAGGTAATATAGGGGTCCCCATTAAGGGTCCCTCCTGTTCCCCTTCGACGCTAGCAACGCGAGCTGGCTGCGTTTCTCAAGGGTTTGGGACTCACGGCTTAGCTTTGAGGATTTAGGGTCGTTCGGAAGCATAAACCCAAAGCCGCAAACCCTCAAGCCTAAACTTCAGGTCAGGCTAAAGAATCTGCCTTCAAGCACTTGAGGCTCTACTCGTTTGCTGGCATTGCGGCTTTGGTATGATCAAGCATCGAATACAGGGACCTCAAAAAGGAGAATAGGTTTTTGAGGTATATTGTACTGTAGTCCAATAAGGAGTTCCCCCCCCCCTCAAAACAAAATAGTATAGACAACTGTTAAGGCCCCTGTATTAAGTGATGTTCAGGACGATTTAGGATATCTTAGGGGCGAGGCACTAGTCGTCCTAAGTCCTAAACCCTGAACCCCAACCGTGGTGGTCATGATCGTAATTGGAATTTGGGGCATGCTGGAGTATCGTCTGTCCCGTGGCCGATAATCCTATAGGGTTCCTAGGCTTTGCAGTTTCAGAGCTCCAACATCCAGGTTTCTGACTTCCGGCTTCTCTCGACACATGTCTGCACCTGTGTAGCATATACAATGGGGCTGAAGCAACCCTTTCAGGCTTAAGGCTGATCTACCATATTACAGGAAATCATAGTATTTTGGAACAGGACCCCTATTTCTAAGGGTTATTTGGTCCTTGGGGTACATTTGCTAGGCTTGCAAGTCGTAGCATGCATTCTCCACACCGTGGAGACTCTCCGTGCATCGTTTATCGTGTGCAACATAGACCTTCGTTTGGACGGTTTCTGCCGTATTTAAACCTCTTCAGCACTACCTCCTGAGTATCCAATCATAAAAAGGCTTGAGTGAATAATCAGTATTGCTGTGTCCTACCGTGTTATGTCCCTTAAAGTACATATGTATGTATATCTATACATATAGACACATACACAGTATATATATATATATAGATATGTATATATATATATATATACACATATGTATAATACATATATATATATAATATATATATACATATATATATATATACATACATACATACATACATACATACATACATACATGCATACATACATACATATATATATAAATAAATATAAATATGTATGTATGTATGTATAAGACTTGTTTGTTTGTCTATATATATATATATATATATGCACACACACCCACACACACCTACAATATATAAAGCCCACCGGCGAAAAGACAACACATTCTAACTATATAGTCGGATGAGTAAAGCCCCGATACTTACAGACACAGCTGCTAAAACTCGCCCTGGCTACCCAGCAATGCCTCTGTTCCACAGACCCTCAATCCAGAACCATCGATCCCAGCCCTGGCAACCCCAAACTCTAAACCGTATACTGCAGGAACCTGAATAATTAAGACACCCTACACCTATTACCCCCAAACAGTAGGATTCATGAAGGAACCCGAAATAAGCCCAAGGATTCTTAACTCTGAGCGCCAAAGTTTGGGCCGCCCCACATGTGCAGCCGGATTTGGTGCATTCGGCCCTCAGCGATCTCGCAGGTGCAAAGCGTGTATTCGTCCACACGCCTTAGGTGAACGAGCGGCACTTGTAAAGGTTCATGCGTAGTTCGTAAGGATATGGAGCTCTCAGTAAACAAACACTGGCTGTCACCAGCTAGTTCCGACTCGGATACTTTCAACCTTGTGGTAAAAGTGTCTGACCTACTTGTCTCCGATCAGCCGATCTGCAAAACTGCGCGAAGCTTGGACAAAAAAGCAATCCTGGTAGCTAGAGACACCCCTGAATACGAGGATTCCAAGGATTGTGGCTTAGAGTCTCGGGTTTTTCGCTACTTAGGGTTGACGGAGCTAGGATATAGGACTCGCCTACACTACTAATTACATGCAAATTCTGAGTTCCCTATGGCCCAACTGTGTTGAGTGCTTGGGGTCCGGTTGAATTAATACAAAGAAGCCCAATGTATGTGTTTTGAGGGTGACACCAGTACCACTAAAACTTCTGTTTCGAAGCCCAGCGGCTCAACCTAGTTCATCGGACTCTTTCGGAAGGAGCTTCCGTTAAAGAAAAGCCACCTGAAAACCTCAAAGCCTCTAGGAGATCGGGAGGGTTTCGTTTAGGGTCTAGGGTTTAAGGGTGAGGCCAAGGGCGCTGGGTATAGCGTTTAAGGCAAGGAAGTAAACTGCAGCTTTTGGCACAGTGTAGCATAAGCATATCAGGGACTATGACGGGACATCATATGACATTGTTAATCGGTCCTGTGACATCGATCGTAAGGTTCACTTCACGGCACAGGATACTCAGCAAGTGCTATAAGCGCTCCTCTGATTTCAATATACCCCGGAACCGCAATGAATAGCATGAGTAGGTACCCTGGCTTCTGTCTTAGGATGGAAGTGACACTCAAACAAGAATACCCAAGTCGTCAGGGGTTTTCTACAACGGGTAACCCTAAACTCTAAACCCTAACCATTGCGACCGGCAGGCCCGGATTTGTGAGTCTTGGTGAAATAGCCCAAGACCTGGAGCGGAGCTTTAGGGTTTATAGGGCTGAATTTAGGCTGCCGTCATATTAATATGGAAGCAATATTACTCGCTGTAGAACCCCATTATGATTGATTAAACTTAAACTCAGCCTCTTCTAGGAAGAACCCCGGAAGTGCAGGGTGCAGTGTAGGGCCGAAGGTCTTCGGGGAAGAATCTGAACCTAAACCCTACTGGTTTAGCTGTAAGTTGACGCAACTTGGAGGTGGGAAACCCAGAAGAAGCAACATGATAACACAGTATCACCTTTCAGTACTGACCCTTGATCACTGAACCCTTAGCCCCAAACCGTGTTGTAAAGCTTCAGCAGGCAGAACCGGCATCCTGCAGAGTAATTACATAGGCTTCTGCGTTCTCGAGCTCCGCAACCCGAGACCCTTCATTCCTAAACCCCAAACCCTAAACCTGTATGTCTTTGCCAAGGTTTCACATACTCCCCTGCTCAGGACCTGAAACCCTGAATATCGGAGTCTTTTAGCCAGAATACTCCTCAATCAAGGAACCCTGAGCCTCTAAATAGACCCAAATAGTACTGTTTGTGGACTCTTTAGACCCCAAAGTAGGTACTTCCTTATATTCTCGGAGTCTTAGAGGAATGGTACACCTCAACTCATGATAACAAGGTCTCTATCAGGTGCCATAGGCTCTGCAACTCAAGGCGGGCTCTGGGTAATGCAGGAACCTAATTAAGAAACCCTGGACCCATAACCCCAAAATAATAGTAGCCCTATAAGGAACCCTAATAAAGGCCCAAGGTTTCTTAATCAGGTTCCTACATTATTATAGTACCCTTATTATAGATCCCTTAAGCAACCTTATAGACCCCTTCAAAGGAACCCTAAAACAAGGCCCAAGGTTTCTTAATCAGGTTCCTACATTACTTAAGTCAGTTCATTCTCCCGTGGACTTCGAAGTCGCCAGAATCGGAAGTATCTCTGTGAAGATTAGGGCTGGGGGCTTCGGGGTTTAGGGGTTTCGGGGCTAGGGTTCAGGGGGTTCGAGCTTAGAAGTTTAGGGTTTAGGAGTTCATACTCGGAAAAGGTGTAGTATAAGGGCCTTCAGAATAAGACTGGGAATCTTGGGACAACTCTATTCTGGCTGAATGATTGAGATAGTAAAAGCTGTGATAGGTAAGTGTCCTGGCCCCCGGTAGTATCTCATAATACCCTCCTGCGGAAGTCAGAGACTTGGTACAGAAACAGGACAACCGAAGCTCCTGAAATATTAGGTACTCGTACGCTTAGGGCTACAAACCTTTTCTCTTGTTCAGTATCCTAGGGGAACTCAAAGTTAACCTTTGGATTTTGTGGGGGTTATGCTGATCTTCCAACGTTCTGAAGAAGCCTGACCCTAACCCGAAATTGCCTACGTCTCTAAGGATCATGGTCAGTACAAGGATTTTCTTAAAAAGGTGGGCATTGCCTTACAAAATTTATAGGGAAAGCCGAAAGTGAGAAACACAACCTGAAAATCCTTGGCCAGAGACTCTGAACGCATAAACCGCTCCGCTTGACTAGTCCTAAATCCATCGCCACCCCCGCCCCAATAGATGATGCGAGAAAACGAATGGACAAAGCAAAGGCAAAATCTCACGGTTTCACCCAGAAAACAAAAACCCACCAGAAACCTTCGAACCCGAAACCCTAAACCCTAGGAGCCCTAGCTCACAACAGCCTTGACGTGCGTGCGGGCGCGCTTGCCCCGGCGGTCCAGCTTCGCTTTTTGGCCCATTGCCTTCGGCTCAGGGGCTGGGCACCCTCACCCAAAGCGGGGACTTAGTTGCCGAGTGCATAAGCCCAAAAAAGTTTATACTTTCAGTTTTAAGAAGGCTTCATTGTCCCAACATTTTACGGTTGACAAACTCAGCTACTTAGGGTAATCTGCTTACCGATAAAGAAGTATACATAGATAGGTACATAGATAGATAATTACATAGATAGATATACAGAGATATAGGTCGATAGAAAGATAGGTGGATAGATAGACAGTTAGATAATTAATTACAGGCAGATAGATAGAGACTCATAGACAGATAGATCGTGTAAACCTCCGGGTGTGGCTTTTGATGTCCTGACGGTCCATGTACCCACATAGTATAAACCCGAGCCTAGGTTTTGAGTTTCACGAACCCCTGCAAGGCCCTTGGCCTAAGTATACACTATAGACTCTGAAAGTATGTGGACCAAACCCAACCTTGAAACAAACTATAGCCTTACGCCGAATCCCATACTGGACACATAGAACATCCAATGAGACAGCATAGGTGCAGGAAACCCGGTACCTAGTCCTATGAGGCCACAGCAAATCATGCAAGTACTGTGCACGCACCCAAAACGAGCATATATGTGGTTTGGCCCCTTTGGGTAAACCCTAAACCTGCAACCACCCAAACCCCCTTATGGGAACCCTTATGGTAGCGAAAGGAACCCATCTATAGGTACTTTGGACCCCTTGGGTTTGAAAGTTTGGACCGCCTCGAGATTACGGTCGACGGTTTGCTCCACCTTGTCGATGTAGCCTGAGAGCTCGGGCTCGGGATTTAGGAGCTTACTACCCTACCGTGCAGGGATCGATAGGGTACTTACTCAAGGAAAGGTTTCGGATGCAGGGTACCTGTCTGCAGGGTTTTGGAGTGTCAAGCTTAGGATTGCTGCGGCGTTTGGTCTTTGCAGGCTTCGGGCATAGGCTTGGTAAAAAAATAGGTTAGACACTAAGAGTCACAAGAACCCAGTTGTTGGGTATTTGGGTTTCGGGTAGACGTTATGTAGGTTTGCATTTATGAGAGTATATGACTTTCTACAGGTTCATGTGCCCGTGCATACCTGGCCAAAAACTACGTTCAGGCCAAAGTATACAATATATAATTAGGCACATGGACACTTAGGGTAAGTTTGTATGGATGAGACTATATGGTTATCAGGAATGAAAGATTCAAGATCGCTGCAAAACCGAAACCCTGAAAACTTAATGGATCCTGTCCCTGCGTGCGTAGTGCTTTATACGGTCTAGACTTAGGGCCTACGTAGTAAAGCCAGATGTAGGGATTTACAGCTCTACCTTTTCAGGGTTTAGGGCTTAGGTTTAGGGTGTTTACATGTAGGCCTTAGCAAAGCTTAATGTGAGTCTGCAGATAACTATTCTTAGGGCTTAGTAGAGCTTGATACAGTATGAGGCTAGGTGTCTAATTTTCGGGGTCACCTGTGGAGTTCCACAGGGTCTATATGCCCAAAAAGTATATACTTTATCACAGAGGCCCCGACGTAGTAGTAAATAGCCGTAGGGCCTGTCTATACGTACTATATTGGCACATGCATCCTGACTATGGGGTTTGTGACTGAGGGACGACAAGTGGTTCAGGGGCTTTCGGACTTTCGGGTTTTGCCAAATACTATGAATCAGGGTAGCTGTCGCAAACCCGAAACCCTCGAACCTACATGCAAGGCTATACCACTACGGTGATATCTTCACCTGCAAACCTCACGAGGTGATTCGGTGAGTTTAAACCCACAGTCTACACAACACATTGTGGGTCCGGGTCAGGGTCCGCCCACGGATTTAGCCTTCGTTCAGCCCCCCTTGGCTCCCGGACCATGGACCAGACAAACGTACCTGATGCAGCCGGCTACCACGATCGGCTGGGAAGTCCTAACGCTTCAGGGTTTAGGGAATCCTAAACCCAAATATTGCTGCTAGATAGCAACTCGAGCCGGGGTCCCACAGCTGCAGTAAAACAAGCATTCTATGAACGCGATATGGGGTTGCTGCTTTGAATGGCGTTGTTTCGGGATTGTATATTGCGTACCACGTGTGATACTTTACCGTTCAAAGCATGAACGACGTTGCAATCCCACGACCGCACTCGCAATCGCATAAGTAGTTCTCTAGCTCCATGTCCGATTTTGGATCTCAAAACGAATACGTCAATCCAAGGGCGAACCGAACAAAGCACCCCGCCCCCCCACCCCCCCCGAAAAAAAAAATGACGAGCCTATAAACCCTAAACCCGGTATCAAGAACAAAACAACAAAATTCACGAGTTTTGAAGCGATGATATGCCCGGCCGACGGTCTAAAACCTAAATGCCTTAACTGTAATACTGTAATACTATACCGCTGCTACGTACGAACACTGCAGATGTACACCATGAGACTACCATTGGGTTGAATTTTTCACGGCCCTCCCTGAACACTCCAGGCGCACAACTTCCGCACGTAGTGGCGATGGAAGCACTCGCGCATCTGTGTGCGTGACTTCTTCGTCACGCCGACGAGCACAGTGCCTGTCAGCGTGTTGCGGTGTATACGGTCTAAGTTTCGGCAGCGCCAGAATATAGACGGAATAGAGCTGAGCACTTATGTGGTGTTCCTTTGTGGGAGACTGCTAATACCAGCTGTGTGGGTGTGTGTGTGGGCTTTGAGATGGACGTTCCAAGCTTTTTTTCGCAGAACGCGCTGTGCTACCCAAAGTCTAGAAATCGCTGGCACAGCAATCTTTCCTAGAGGCCTAGTACACTTGTAAATTACCAGGGTTACGGCGCTTGAGAAGGGTCATCTACCCGAGGAGCTGCAACTTGGGCTCCGTACAGCCGCAGTGCCCGATCTGGTAATCCTAAACCCTGAGCCCACTCTGCTTGAATAAGCGTGCTGCAGAGATCTGGCCTGTTGCGGGAAAGCCAGATTTCAAACTAATCCTGCTCCAAGAACTCTTCCGCAATCAATTAAGTTCTCCTCATTCCGGGTTTGTGGCTTAAGTTTTAAGGTCTAGGGGGTTAAGATTAAGGTACTGGGCCTTTGGGGGTACCAAAAACTTTGAGCAAGGACTGCGTACTTTGACAGTCTGGCTCACGGCCCGATGGTCAATGTACGCACATATATAGTATATGTACTCGGGCCCACAAAACACCTATGTATGGAATACATGAATGCCAAATTATATGCTACATAAGCTCATGGACCCTCACAGGTTGGTGCGGTTCTTTCTACAGCAGCCTTCTGCTCAAGGTATCTATAGTGACCGACCAACAAGACCCCAACACAGTCTCAGATATTCAGGTCAACTCAGGGTTCTACCCAATCTTCGCCAGGCTTGAAAACTGAATCCAAAACGCTGAGCCCTAAACCCTAAACCGTAAACCCTAAACCGGCTGAGCCCTAAGCCCTCACGCAAAAGGAAACCTGTCCGACCCAGACCCGGCAGAACCCGTCACTTAACAATTGGTAAGCAGGGAATGGAGGGATGGGGTACAATTTTTACTACTACTACTACTACTACTACTACTACTACTACTACTACTACTACTACTGCTGCTGCTGCTACTACTACTACTACTACTACGACTACGACTACGACTACGACTACGACTACGACTACGACTACGACTACTACTACTACCACTACTACTACCACTACCACTACCACTACTACTACTACTACTACTACCAGTCTGCCATTCCCTACTATAACCAAAGGTATGTTCAGGGACACGTAAAGCCCTATACAGCCAGCCCAAATTGCCTGTAAACACACCGTCTTTATTGGCAAGCTTGTTTGTTCTGATGTCTTTGCATATCTAATTGGCAATTGTGCATGTAGGTGCTGGGTGATAAACATATAAACTACCTGTATCACCAAACCCCACAAAATAATGGGTTATGAGCCCTTAAAACTATCGTGTGTTACCATTAAGACAAAAAGCTTTTAAGATCCAAAACCCTAAGCGGTACACCCGGGATCCCACAACTCCCAGATCCCTGTGAAAGGCACCGCTGGTTTCTCGATCCAGTCGATGGCAGAGGCCATAGTTCTGGTCCTGGTGCGTGCCATTAAGGCTTCGGGCGGGCCATGAGGCTTTGGGCAAGAAGTCTAATTTAATTGAAGGGCCCGAGAAGACCTGAAACAGCCTATTTGGGTATAGTACAGGATACTATGCTAGTGTATGCGTGAACATGGTGCTTAAGTTGTGTAAACGACTCTTTCAGTTAAGTGTAAACGATGTAATGACATATAACCGCTTATAGTGGCTAAGAGTAACTGTTACGCATGTCATTGAAAAGATACTCATGTATATATATATATATATACATATATATATATACACATGTATGTAATCGTTAATACATAGAGTGTTGGCTTTGGTTTAGGGTGTGCCAGATTGGCTCGGGATTGGAGTTATATTTTATGGTCGAGAGTTTACAGGGACCTCGGCCTTAGGCTTAGGATATACTGTTTTGGCTTGGGTTGTGGGAGCCAGCGGCGTCTAGATGCAAGCGAGCAGGTGCCACCACATCGAACAAGTTGGGAAACTGCTCGCGGTCTGCTTCGTGCATGAGCTGGATCCACCAGTGGATGTACCTGTCGCACATCCCTAAAGCCCAAAACACTAAACCGAACCCTAACTCCAACCTTCAGTGGGGCATGGAGTATTCACTGACAACCTCAATAGTATTAAATGCGGAGCCTTCATGAACTCCAGAACCTCTCTCTAGTGATTACCTCGACCCGCAAAGCCATCTCTATTATAAGGTTTTTGTGAGGAGATTCTTTGTTGAAGTTACCCTAAGCCCTAAACCGTGCGAAGGAAGTGAGTTCTGCCAAGGAGTGAAGTGTGAAGGGCACTTCTTCTCACGCTCGGCAAACTTGAAGTCGAGCAAGTCTTTCATGACCTGATACGGTTTAGGGTTCAGGTGTTTGGGGGGAACACGGTATAAGATTTGGGGCTTCAGGCTAACACGCTAACCCAGTCGCTCATGACCTGACTTCTTTCTGGGCTGTTCCTCCAAGCCCTGAACACGAAGTCTTGCAAGTCTTGAGCATATATGTGTATTTATATAGAGAATACTGTATATACCCATACCAGTACATACTGTACAATAATGAAACACATGTTCAATAAGCTTTACAGTTTTCGACCACCCAGCTACTTTCTGTACCCCCAAAACCCTGCAAGATAGTAGGTTATGACTATGGGAGTGCTCCAGGGGTGTTAAAAGATCGGTTCGGTGAAACCAGCATTTACAGGGGTTCAGAAACACTGGTTTAAATTCAGGGTTACTTTTTTTGGGGTATGTGCTTGCGCGTGGGGTTTTGGAACATTGCATTCGGGGGACATCAAGCTCATGTACTGCGAGCTGCCGTTTTGGCAAAGAGTTTTACTTCCCACAGCCCGAGTATGCTGGTTAGCACATCTGCTGTCGCCGGCCTTGCATAACGTGAAGATGGAAACCCAGCAGCATCTGTATCCACGGAACTTGAAAGTCACTTTTGCAACAGCTCTTGTGGAGCCATGGAACATGGAGCGTCGCAGCCGAGAAAGAGACTGAAAACGTCTAAGCAGCCGTTTCAGCTGCCCACTGACGGACCAGTTCTGGTCTTGCGACCTGCATATGTTGATGGTGTGCCGCAGCCGCTGTACGACTCGTGGCATGGTTTGTTATCTGAGCCGAGTGTAAGTGCCAGGCTGAGTGTCGTTCTGGGATGAGGAAAATTGGCCTTTTGTGGTGCTGAGAGAGCGAGAGAAAGAGAGAGAGAGAGAGAGAGAGAGACAGAGACAGAGATAGAGACAGAGACAGAGACAGACAGACAGACAAACAGAGAGCGAGAGGGAGAGAGGGAGAGAGGGAGAGAGGGAGAGAGCGAGAGGGCGAGAGGGCGAGAGGGAGAGAGAGAGAGAGAGAGAGAGAACGAGAGCGAGAGTGAGAGTGCACGGGAGAGAGAGACAAGGACAGTGAAAAGGCAACGACTGCTTGCATCAACATCGCTCAGGAAGATATATTTCTGTTCGACGCAAAAACTGGTCTACAGATGCAGGGGCGATTGCAACCGAGATTGCGATCTGTTCGCCCAAATGTGCAAGAAGATATCTCCAAGGTGCGACATTTGGCTGCCTTGCCAAAACCGGATGTCAGGCTGCTAATGGACACAGCGCCGATGGTGATGTATGTAGCGGTTCCTGCGTCCCCAGACCTGGTCGGTTCAGTGGTCTCATGGGATGGTTTTCGAGCCAGGTTCCGGCTGCCTGCAGCTGACACCATGGCTTCTCCATTTCCTTTCAGACATGGGGTCAAGGGCGGAGAATTCCCGTATTGCATACCAATTTCAGCAGACGTCACCCCGCCGGGCACAGCAGAAGGAGATATTGTTCCGGCTGGCAGCTCAGCTTCTTCTTCGGGCTTGCCAGCTAGGGTGCATTTGCCGGATGGCCTTTCTCGAGCAGACAAATTGCTAGCAAACATACTCAGTGCAGCACGGTCGGGGAACTTGCAGTTGGTGGAGCATCAGTGCAATGCAGTGAGGGACATGCTCAAAGTTCCGGAACTCAGAATTTCCCGCGGCCAGACGCACAGAAGCATGACTGACGCTGTTGACACTGACGAGTCCCTCCCTAGACTCAGACTCAGACCTGGCGGGTTGATGTACCGCCCCCACGTGATGCTTCATGCAGTTCTGGCGTGCGACCACGTGACAGACCCTGCAAAGTTGCTGGAGGTGATGACATGGTTCCTTGCCACACTTGCGAGAGCTGAGCTGTTAGTTAGGTGCACCCGAAACCTTGTATGATGAATCCTTATGCCTCGCAGAGTCACCGGTTTGGAAGATAGACATTCAATACGAATTCTTGCTTGGGTCCCGAAACTCTTGTTATCTAGTTTGCTCGGTTGCCCGATCTCAGTTTTAAGCTTTCTGGTCATGGATGGATGTTGCATACAGCCCGAGACCAAGGAAACACTGAACCTCTCAATCAGTCATCAGTCATATGTCTTTTTGTAAGCTACCCGAAACCTAAATGTGTTGCTGCGGGGCTTGTTTCGTGTGCACTGAACTGAAACCCTGAATGTGGTCCAATTTCTCAAGCTAAAGGTTGAGTCTGGCCAGCCTCACCGAGTCACCGAGCCGAGCCGTAACTCACAGTTTGTTTGTTCAATAGTTCAACAGGGTTTACAGTGCACGCCTTCTGAGCTTAGTGCACGGTGCACGCCCTCTGCTTGAGCTTAAGTTCACGCACAAACCAAAGTCCGGTTTTTGTCCTCAGGTCCATCCGTATGGCTTTGGATCCAGACCTCGCGGATCACTTACTTCGGCAGGGAATCCGCGCCCCTTCCAGATGGGCTTTAAGCCGAGGCCGTTTGGAATTCGATTTTGCAAGCATGGTGTTTGCGCGCAAGTTTCTGTTCCATCCAGATCTTCAGTGGTTCATCCATCTCAGGGCGGATGCTTCGCCGAAAGGCGGCAGAGATTTTTTGGTGTCGGAGGTTGACTACTGTCATCTGCCAGCCCAGAGCCCCCAGCACATCAGCCGCCTCCTGGAGAATGGTCGCATCCAGATTCGATTGCTGCCTCTGACAACAGTTGGTGCAAAAGCGGCATCCGCCGTGCATAAAGGCTTGCTGCTACTGAAGGCCCTTGGAATGGAGTCGGCTGATCTTCGCTTGAGCATCAGTCGTACGATGACGATGCTCTTTGACTTCGGTGCGGAGTCAGGAATATGGAAGCTGTCGTCTAGCATCTTCAAACCATCTGTGGATGGACAGGGGCCGGCGCAGCCGCAGATGAGTGCGACGGCTGTAGAACAGCCGCTGGAGCGGCTGTTCCATCGCGCGTTGCCGCTGGCCGATTGCGATCATGCGTTACACCACGTGCCTCTGCTGCACTCTGCCGCTTCGCGTGAGTCATGAGCCTATTGGGTTCGTCGATAGTCGTTGGCTTGTGGCCATGATAAGGTCATGAAGGAAATTGCGCCGGCATTCGATAGACGGTGGAGTGGTTTCAAAGATACGGTTTCCGCCGTAGCGAAGTCGTTTGGCAGTTATCATCAACTGGATAGATTTCGCGACGTATGCATCCTAAACAACGACGCCGTGCCCCAGGACTGTTCAACTGAAGTGCTGAAGTGGCAGCCGGGTAGCCCCGAGAAAAAGCCCACAGGTCCATGAGGTGCCCCTTGAAAACCCACCATGTCACCTTATATCGTTGAGACTATAGACTCGATCCCCTGCCACAATAGGCTAACCGACATCAGAGTTTGGCATACATCAGGAGTACAAGCCTCAGCTGGCGAAATTGTTCCAGATAGTTTGCCCGAAATTCGTCGACAGCCGCTGGCATTATCTTTACGACACCTTGGCATGGGTGGTGCCTCGGCAGGGAGCACTGAAGTATCTGCGCCTCGACGAGCTGGAGTCACACAGTCGTGATGCCGAAGCCGGCGACACAGACTTCCAGCTATCGTCATCGCAGCTGGAGCTTTTGGCAAGCCTTTGTGGTGACCCAAACATCGAGCAGGCTCGCTTCTGGGCCATGGCAGGCCTTGTCAGGTGTCTTGCAGAATGGGGCCATCGGTTTGCATATGTTCTGCACAAGTGTCCCTGCCACAGCAAGTGGACATCCGGTGGTGAGCGCCGCAAAGAGACGTGTCCGATGGAAGGTCGCATGTGTGTGCCACTGGCTTCGGGGCTCTCGGATGATGCGCTGAGCCGGCTGAACAGCCTCAACATCACTCCACATGTGGCACAGGCTGTCTCGAAGTTGCAGGAGTTTTCTGAGACAGAGGCGAATGATTTGATGAATTGTTTCAGGACAGCGGTCGTGAGGCTGACATTTCGCGTGAAGCAGGTTTTCAGCTACTGGAAGTGTCTTCCTTGGTCACTGCTCATGATCATGAGGCCATGGGTAGAGCGCTTTGAATCTGACGAAGAAAAGGCAGACTGCCTGGCAGAAAGTCGACAAGCAGCTTTGTTGTTGATTCGGCAGCATGATGCAACGTCGAATAAGGCTGGGCTCGGAGAGTCTTGGCAGCAGCAGCAATGTGCAAGTGATCTTTCCTTCTTTCCCGCTTCCACTCCCTTCCCTCCCCAACATTCAACATTTGTGCCCAAAAGCAGGCAATTACGTTTCGTTTCATGAACCCTGCCGGCCCTTTCCGTGAGCACCTTGTGTCGTGGGCCACTGGCGAATCGGAAATGCATTTCGGTATGTTCCATGAGCTTATGGGTTACTCGACAGGGTTGTGCGTGATGCAGCGGGTGGAGGCACGCCATTCGCTGGTCAAGCGGTTTCTAGCTTTCCGGTACAGGCAACTTCCTGCAAGTTTGTCTGCGACCCTGCGGCGGCAGCAGAACGGCGATCTCCAGACAGACCTTTTCAGGCAAAACATGGAGGCTTGCTTATCTGACATTGGCCAACTCTGCCAAGCACGATACCGGAACAAGGCTGAGCTGCTCACCCGGCTGGGCCAGGAAAGCAAACACAGCGTTCATGATCCCTTGACTGATCTCAGACAGCAGCAGGCTACCTTCAACGAGGCGTTGGCAAGCGTTTGCTCGAGTCCGTCCGGTGATCTAGAGGCAACGGCTGTGCTTCGAGAGCATCTACGCACCGCGTTCGAGCGACACAGAGTGTATGCTCTCCGCGGCTGCATCGAGCCCGATAAATGGAGTATCTTCCGTGTGGTGCACATGCAAGCGGGTCTCAACACTACCCTTCAAAAGAGTTCTTACATTTCTACTGATGATCCCAAGCTGCAGATAACTGTTGCGGGCTCCAGGTTTGCTGTGGGCCGGTAGCAGGGTGCGACAGGTGCTCACCGAAAAGGCAAGCAAGATTCATAAGAGGAAATGTAATCTTCTTGGGAGTGGGTTTAGATGATTGCCGGGAGCGGGGAGTGGGTGGCAGCCCACCAAGGATTGGAAGAACTGCTTTGCTGTGGAGCTCATGAATGAGCCGACTGACGGCGACGAGCCGCCAAGCATCATGCACGTGACTTCACAGGATGTGGTCCCTTTGCCGTATGCTTCAATCTTCAAGCCCTGTTGCGAGGTGCACAAGCTTCATGTGTATGAGCATGCTCCCTGACAGTGGAAGGGTAATGATCGAGTTGGGTCAGAGTTTGCACTCGAGCCTGTGTTCGCAGGATTCAGGTTTAGCTTTTGTTGGTTCTGGTTGTTTGGTGGTCGTAAATACCAGGTAGTGATTCAACGAATGAATCTTGAAGCGGAACATCGTTCACCCCCTTAAGCCTTAGCCCCCAAACTCCTAACCCTAAGTCTTAAACCCCCAAACCCTGAAGGCTGAAACTTGAACTCACGTCAAGCCAGGTTATGTCAGCTCCGGTTTTTTGCGAAACCTTTCTCCAAGATGTGTTGGAGGATTTGGAGTGGCATCCAGACGAAGACACTCTGTGCCTGGCCCACAGATTGGCGCTAAAGTCGTGACTGTGTACCCGTAACCTTAACTGACCTTAACTGGAGATGATTAGAAGCACTTCCTGTCTGTCTGTCTGTATGTACGTAGGTGTGTGTGTGTGTGTGTGTGTATATGTATGTATGCATGTATGTATGTACGTATACTTGGAAGTCTACGATATACAAAGGCGCTCTGTGAAAGAGATTGCGCAAGCCTCCATAAAAACGGGGGAGGCGCTGGCGGTTGCATCTGTGGACAGTGGCCAGCATGCAGCAGCACTTCATTGGATGGAACAGAATGGCATGTTGACCGACGATGGACAGCATGTAGCCGATGCTTTCGTTTCTATTCAGACAGAAGTGCGTCAGCCAGTCCTGGTGGGCCCGTGCCGTTCCCGCTTCTCCATATGCCACAAGCTGAAAGAAGCTGGGTGGAAGGAGGCTGTGGATAGCAAGACGGAGCGTTTGCGTGCGTCGCTCCCGGACAAAGTCTTCAATCCAACAGCACCGTTGGAGTATTTTCTTTTGCTGGACTCCTGCTTCCCACAGCTGCTGCGGTACGATGAAGCTTTCCAGCTGCGCCATGCTCAGCCGAAGGCGTACTTTGAAGCACTTCTTGCGTACTTTGAGAAGCATGACCAGGAGCACTTGCAATTTGCAAGATGGCTAGACAGGTGGAGTCGGTAAACGTAGGTGAATAGGAGTCGATCGTTGCAGGACTGTGAGCTGCAATATGTGGCTCCCGGCCAGAAGGCGGATTTCTGGAAGCAGTTGCGCGATTATTTCAAAGGCGGGCTTGTGTGTCACTTTTTGTGGGAATGGTTGGGGGTGTATCGGCGTGTGAGTGTTCGTACCTGTTGTCAGGAGATGCAGCCACCGACCCGCGTGTCGCTTTGGATCTACTGGCGCCTAAGAGGCGACAGAGGAGAACAAGGTCAGCCCCTGCAGCGGCAGCAGGACGGGATGAGGACGAGGGTGACGGCGACGGCGGCGGTGAGGACCGGGTTGCTCCAGAAGCTGCGCAACCCCCAGCTCCTGCTCCAGCAGTCCCAGCAGCAGTGGATCGTTTGGATATGTACGCCCAGCTGAACAGGGAGCTTCCCTTGCTGGGGGACCCTAGGCCAGGATTTGAGATGGAGCAGGGGCATGCAGACGACGATGCAGAGCAGGTCGAGCCACCAGCGCCACCAAACATGGGGCAAGAACCGGACCTTGATGACCGTGCTGTCGCGCTTGGCCGTCTTTGGTCTGCAAATTGCTCCTTGGCAGCGGGGTCTTGATAGCAGGGGAGCGGCCGGCCGTAGCGCAGGGCCTGGGGTAGGGGGGCCCTCTCAACCCCAAACCCTAAAATCCTAAACTGTCCCGAACCCCAGTCGGGAGTCGGGGTCGGGACGTAGTAGCTCCAATGCTTTTTGCTTTTGCTGTGTGGTTGATGTGGGTGCCTTGGAAGGTGAACGTGCCGTCGATGCTTGCATAAGCGTGGCCCGCACGTACCACAGAACGGACACTGCATCTCGCGTAGCGGCAATTCGCACGTTGCTGAAGCAGTTGGGTGAAGTCATGACGAATGTTCGGTTTTCAAACGCAGACCCTGCAAAGCAAATCAATGAGGCCAGGAATGGGTTCGGCAGTGTTCGGAGTTGTTTTGCAGCTACAGCCATCAGAGTAGACTGTCGTTGCAGGCTCTGGACAGACTGGATCGAGCTGGCGAGAGATGTGTCTTGTTTCAGCAGGTAGGCATTCATGTTGTGCTGTTTTCCGTTTGGATTGTTGTGTTCGACAAGGTTGGGGCAGAAACCAAACCTGGACTCGGCGGCGAACTGTTTTCGACTTGCTCATGATTACCTACTATGAGCTCTTCAAAGAAGAGCTCTACCGAGCGTAGTTGATTACCTAGTATGAACTCTTCAAAGAAGAGCTCCACGGAACGTAGTTCACGTGCAAACCTCACTGGGGTTAACTGGTGGTGTGGCTACGGTGATCGCGAAGTTTCTGCTATGCGCCGCTGTGCAACAGTGCCAACATGAACCAGCTGTTGTTGGATTGCTGCTGTTTCAAAGCTGTCGCTATGTTTGCTTGCCGGCTGAGGCTTTGGAACCCTAAGATCCCGACCACCCGTAGAAGTAGGGCGCCGCTGGGTTGCGATATGTAGAGTTGAGATTGAGATGTTCATCGGGGACCAGGTCCATGTAGCTTCACACACGAGTACTCATTAGATGGAGCACAGCACCCATGATGCCATGGTGCCAGCTGCGATTGATGTAGACCCAGATGATGTTAGCTGCTACGGTGTTCAACGTGTTCCTCCTACTCAGTTCTCCAGCAGCACCACAAACAGTGGATTTCACCGGAGTCCGCGACAGGTGCGCAAAACAATCTGCAAGGGCAAACGGAGGCTTTCCGTGCTGGCGAAGAATCGAAGCTGCAGTCGGGGTCGAAGTTCACCCCGGCTCCAGACACGACGGTGCATCAAAGGCACTGGCAGCGGAGACAGTGCGGTGTCAGCAAGTGTGCGCTCCTTGCGCAGCACACCGCCAAAGCTGTCTGCAGCTTTCAACTTCATGCAGACATACGTAGATGCAGCGGGCACTTTGCTGGATGATGCTGAACACCAGACAGGTGCGGTATGGAAGGACTGGTCAATGCTGCTGATGCTGCTACACCATGGAACCCTCCCTAGTACTCGTACTATCGTACCCTTGACAACAGTAGTACCGTGACCAGAGTGAGCTACTCCAGCCCGTGTGCCGTTGCAGGAGCTGAGCATGTGGTCGGAGTTCTCAGGGTACCGCACGGCGGAGCTGGCAGCTAGGTCGCTGGCCAACCATCTTGGGGGCAGTGCTTCCACGGGTCGTGGCAAGATTGACATTGGGCATTTGTCCTCAGCCGATATCTCAAAATCCTGCGAGAAGATCATGCAAGCTTCAGCTGCTGCCGAATGCCGTTTCGGGAATATCGAAAACGTCGTTCCAACTGATGTTTTAGCTGAGATGAAAGCCCCCGTTCATGAGTATATTGAGATAACGGCTTCGGAAGTCCAGAAAGCGTTGGGCCAGGGCAAGGAGATGCAAGATTTGTTCAAGGGCCAAGTGTTGCGAAAACGTTTGGGAGCAGCTGAGAAAGGCCATCGTTTGGTAAGCATTGCGTACCCGGACTGGAAAGGTGTGCTCAAACTGCCAGCAGACCAGCAGCATCAGAGATTCGAAGCGGCAGTGAGTGCTATGAAGGCCATACATAACCATGTACAAAACAAAACAATTGCTAAACTATCCCTGGCCCATCGCACCCTTATGCGCCCCGAATCCAAACCGCAAGGCTATGAAGCACAAGGAGATGTTCCTGTGGGAGCGCAGGCCCTATCTGCATTTCGGTGCATGGTTCATGGGTCCTTTGGGTTGGGGAGCCTTAGGACACACCCTAGATTCCGCGTCACAGGTAGTTTAAAGGGTTTAGGGTTTAGGGGTTTAGGGGTTAGGGGTTTAGGGTTTAGGGGTTTAGCGGTTTAGGGTTTGGGGCTTAGGTTTTGCATCCACTGTTGGTTCGTGTATGTTTGGGATTTTTAGTCTATTTCGGCGACTTAGAGGCATAGGGTTCAACATATAGGTGTGTGGATGGTGCTAGCTTGGATTGAAAGACCCAAATATTTCTGAAGTCGCGGACTCAAGCTCGCTATCGGTAGGATGGTGCATAGTACTTTGCCAGCACATGCTACGGATACTACAGCAACTGCTGTGAGTGCCACTATGGCCATCGCTATTACTATCACACTACTACTACTACTACTACTACTACTACTGCTGCTACTACTACTACTGCTACTACTGCTACTACTGCTACTACCACTACTACTACTCCTGCTGTTAGTACTACGACTACTACTGCTGCTGCTGCTGCTGCTGCTGCTCTACTACTACTGCTGCTGCTGCTACTACTACTACTACTACTACTACTACTACTATTACTGCTACTATGACTACTACTATACTATTGTTAATGGCAGTCCCAGCACACTTGCTTGTACCTTGATCACAGTACGGCGCATATTATCGGGGGCAAGTGGAAGTACTTCGGGCTTCCGGCGCTAGGGAAATCAGCAGTGTGGTTTCACAACCACAACATTCGGTAGACAGGTGGAGCGAGGGGTTTAACGGGGCTCTGGCGTCTCGCTGTATGGTCCTGTTTGTCTGGTCGTGTCATGTGAGAAGTGAGAAGTCATGGCCCAGAAAAAAATCCCTGACAGAGGTTATGGCAGAGGCTATGGTATACCACAGTTTGTGGTATACCATGTGGTCGAGGTTACGTGCCAGGCTATGGTATACCATAGTCGTTTTTTGCTCTTGAAACCTCGACCATATGGTATACCATATATGGTATACCATGGTTTGTGGTATACCACAGCCTATGGTATACCATGGGGCGGGTTTGCAACCCACCGTCACCCACCCCCCCCCACCCCACCCCACCCCACCCCACCCCAACCCCCACCCCGCCACCACCCCCACAGCAAGCTACAAGATCCAAAACAACCATTGCCCCCCACCGCCACCCACACCCCAGCCCACCCCACCCCATCCCACACCAAAAAGGCCCCACAAATCGAAGAGCGTAAGCAACCTGCCCCCACCAGGCGCGAGCATCATGAGCATCAGCCGGGTTTGGGGCCAAATAAAGGCGAGCATCATGAGCATCAGCCGGTTCTTGGGGCCTAGGAAAAGGGGCCCGGACACCGGGGAACAAAGGCCGGGTGGAGTTGAAGGAAGTGACCCAAGAGGCTTTTGCAAACACAGTCTTGGGTCACTTGTGTTTCACATCAGAGCGAGCATCACCCAACCCCAAAAGGCCCCACAGCTTCCGAATCCCAGCCGGCCCAGCCCCCAGCCCAGCCAGCCAGCAGGGATCGTGAAGTTGCTAAGCAGGGTTTTGCATCTCATTCCAACAAACCCGTTCGGACAAGGCTCTTTAGGGCCCTTAGGGTCACCCATATGCTCTGTATGTATGTATGTATGTACGTATGTATGTATGTATGTATGTATGTGTGCATGTATATGTGTGTATGTGCAGGCAAGTTCATATGTATGTAGGTAGCTACATATGTAAACGTGGCGCAGGAAGAACTTCGAGGAGCTAATCGGCATTCTGATGCGGGATGACGTGAAGCTAGAGGAGTTCGACCATTGTTCGGCGCACAACAGACGCTGCAGACGGCTGCCATGGACAAGAAGCTCAAACGAGATCTCTATCCTGTGCGCAGGTAGCCCCTGTCCTGATTGGAGTCCATATGGTGACCGTGGTCCGGGTGATGCAGGGCCGCGTGCGCATTTGTTCATCATTCTGACGCTTACGCTCTGAGGCTATAAGGTGTCGGTCGATGTTACGTGTTTGCTCTTGTTGGGGTCATGTTCCACGGTCTGGTGTGATTCGGCAACCGAGGATGAAGATGGTTGTGCAGGGGAAGCCAACTATCTTCGTACACGAGAACGTGCCAAGTTTTCCAATACACACGTTAGCTGCCATTGCAGGCAACCGTCGTGTGTGGGTGTCCTCCGGGGGAAAGGGGCTGTGAAAGTTTTGCAAGATGCACGTTGGAGGCGACGGCTATCAGGTGGATTGGCAAATCCTGGACCCCCGTGAAGTCGGATTTCCTGTGGCACGTCGTCGACAATACGCCGTGTGCGTTCGTTCATCGGCCGCCAGGCGACATGGATGCAAGGCCACGAAAGACACAGACCGTCGTTCTGATTCTGAGTGTTCGCTTCAGTGTAGATGTCGCAAACCGAGGATGTTGGTGCCCTTCGCAGACTTGCAACGAAGAGTGGTTCAACAGATGTCAACCGACGAGTCAGAGGCACTGTCGGTCGATGATTTTATTCTTGCAGAGTCTCTGACTGAGACCCAGCTCAAGAACCACTTGACAGAAGAGATTTTTCGCAGGGCAGAGGAGTATCGCCGGCTTTGTCCAGAGGCCATCGTGGCAGACTTAGGACAAAATCCCGGCGAGAGGGCACGATGCGGAAGAGTTTTTTTCCCCACTTTGACCACCACGTGCACGAAGTTGATGCATCTGCCCACCAAGCACATATACAGTTCGGTTCTCAGTGCCACTTGCATCTGCCTTTGCATGTAGTAAGGGGCAAGGAATCACTTTAGCGGGTGGTGGTGGGGTGGGGTGGGGCACCACAAGAGCGAGTATCACGGGTGCATGATTGTGAGAAGCTTCTCAAGGGTACGGGTCTGTGCTCAGGTGGCTGGGAGTTGGCAGCTTTGCATGGGATGCCAGCCACATGCGAGCTGGCCAATGCATTGAAACTAGAGTCTCCGATGAAGGCGCCTATTTCTAATACTGCTCTTTGCTCATGCGCCCCTTGGACACGTGTAGTCGTTGTGGATCTGCGCAGGGGCTTTGTGTATGTGGAGCAGTGGTTTGAAGATGTTTTCGAGTGCTGCGTGTTGATAAGGTCGGCAACAGCATGCACATGGCGTGTATTGCTCTGGCTTTGGTGGCGGCTGTCATGCTCACGATGCCGGTCGACAGAGCCGGTTGAGGGCATGTTGAGTTGGGCGTGAGACAAAGGGGTGTCGGATTGTGCGTTTGTCGTGTGTTTCTGCTTACCACTCTTGCCCTTCTGGCGCAAATTTCTGCAAGTGTTGTGGTTGTGGGTTTGCATGCTCGCGCAGATCTCGGCTTTTTGAAAGCTAGTTCTCCTTTTCAGGTGTGCTGTGGTGTAGGGATGTCTGCAAGCTTGTCGGGTGAGTCCGGGTCAAGCTCGAGCCACGGCGACGAGAGCGAGGTATCCGATCCGGAGCCCAGCGCACCCAAGCCTGCGAAGCAGTGCCGGCAGCAGAAGCCTGCCAAGCAAAAAGTCGCGAGTGAGTTGCAGACGCAGATCTGCGCGACCCCGAGCACCAAAAGGACTCCGATACGTTCGACCCCAAGATCCAATCGTCGCACCCCGCCGAGTTCAAAGGGAAGGAGCGCCAAGGCCAAACAGTTGGAGCGGGAGGCAAAGCAGCCGAAGAACAACGGGGTGGTGAAGGTGAAGTGAGGGTCTTGGCACACGGTTGTTCAGCATGTTGGCAGTGCTTTGCGTGCCCTTGGTAGGATTCATATACTTATCCGATGTACGATGTGGCATGCCGGTGCTTAGGTGCTTGCATTGCTCGGAAGAGGTCGACATCACGACGGCATGCATGCGTGGCAACAAGTATTCATGCAAAAAATGCAACAGTGCGCGGATCGCATTGCAGAACCATCATCGTGAGACGGGCCAGTGGAAAAAATGGTCAGCTATGCCCAAGGTGGAGAAAGATAACCTCATTGCTAACAACAAGCACAGGAGTTTGGGGAAGGGGAAGAAGTTTCCCGTCCAGTGCGAAGAGAAGGCCGATCACCCCACGCCCCTGCCCCTAAACCCTTCACCTTCCGAAACCTTTCTGCTCCACAGGCGACTGTGGAAGACAGTGCTGCGCTCAGCAAAACGAGGAAGTTCGTAAACTTCAGGGAGTACCGTCACGAATGCAAGAAGCGCTGGGGCATGAAGAAGTCAGAGTGCAAAGAGCGTTGGTTGAGCATGTTGGGCGACAAGTCCATCGCAAGAGTGAAGGACCGGTTTGCTTGATTGGTATGATCGATATCATGGATACTGCAGAACGGCGGATCGCAAACATTGTGTCGGCCAGGACCAAATGAACTGGACAGCTATGCCGGCTTTGTCAGTGTTCAAGCCGCTCGCTCGCTACGATGCCAGTGTCCGTACTAAAGTATTCCGCCCCCTCGCTGAACCCCCAAATCCTAAAGCTATATGAACCTTAAACCCGAGCCCTTTAGAAACTGCAAGTCTTCGTCAGTCTTAGTCTTGAGAAACACCTTGCGAAACTTAAGTGACGAACCCGTCCAAAAACCTGAAGCCTCGAAGCCGTGTGAGGCCCATTCACCCTACCCCATCCATGCCTGGTCTCAGGCAGACGGGAGAACGGAAGCTGTCGCACAGCAGGAGCACGACGAAGAAGAGCATTGAGATGACGGATTCATTGGGCTTGCACGATGTGGCACGCGAATGTAGGATCCCCAGTGTGTGGAGTGTGGAGACCCGTTCGCCGCAGTGTGTATGTGTGTGTGTGTGATAAGACTTGTGCGGGCTGCCTGGATTCATTATGAAAATGACCTAGTATAGTCTGTTACCATAGAGCATCAGAGCGGAGCCAGATGTGGTTTTGTGGTTTTGTAAACTTTACGGTAGGGTTTGAGGGTTTGGGATGTTGCTTGGATTGCAGGTTCAGGGTTTGGGGGGTTGGTGTTAGGTTTGGGCACTCTTCGAGCAGCGCTGGTGTATTCCACGTGTGTGTGTCTGTGTGGCACAGAGAGTGCATGTGACGCGATCGGTATTCTAACTGCCGTTCGTGAAAACATGCCGTGTGCCATCCATAGTATCGTTGCTGTCTGAAGTCAGTCAAACACTCTTGCAAATGTGATAGCTTCTGAATGTTGCAAGGCTTCACCGGCGGAACGATGCACCGTGACACAGGGCTGTTCCAAGATTCTTGACAGAGACTCAGCTGGGGCAGAAGTTAGCAGGAACACATTGTCGAGCAATCGCATCGCATCATGCTGGAGGCTTGGAAGATTTCTTTGCGTCGTCATGCGTGGAAGCAGAGGAGGCATCAGTCAGTCTATCTTCCGTCCCGACCCAGGCCCCTACATCCTACCCCAACTTTGCCAAAACACACAGGCTGTCGTGCTGAAGAGTTCCAAAGCGAAGGGGAAGGCCAATGCCAAACGCAAGGCGGTGGCAGGCGGTGATGCCTATGTGGTTTCATCATTTCAGCGGGTTCAGTGTTTTTGCCTGGAGTATATGAGTATAGGTCCGCGATTCTTAGCGGTTCCTGTGGCTGACTGATGTTGCGTATGGCTTGTCCTGCTAGCGCTGGCTAGAGGTGGTGGCCGTGAGCGAGCTTCACCGGAACGGCCGCCAAAGCGGCCACGTCATCGAGATGCCGAGCGAGATTGCGCCAGGATTGCCGCGCTTCGAGCGCGGCGACAAGCTGTGGACGGCATGGTAACTTGGTAACATACCCAGCTGGTGTCGCAATGTATGTATGATTTTGGGTTGCAGCTGGTTTACGCGGTACTTAGGTGAAGGACTGTGGTATATGCTGTGATGAAGCCGCCAAAGCCATGGCCATGACGAGCGACGAGAGGGCCTGCAAGGATTTGCAAGAGCAGTGGCCTAAGTCGCTTGAGGGACCCGTTTGCATTAGGTTGTGGGTTGCTGTCGTTCCTAAGTTTACTAAGTTGCCCTGCCGGCCCTGCCGTGGGCATTGAGATGCAGCAAGTGTAGTCCCACAATGCCAGCATCCCAGCAGCACGAATATGTCATAAGTTGTGCTCACATCAGGAATCGTGGCCTGGTGATGAAGTCTGTGGCTCGCCTGTGGCTTTCTTTGCCAACGGAGGCGACGGAGGCAATCAAGCAGGAAGAGCGGTCCGGCTCCGACAAGATTGCCTATGACCGCCTGATGGATCAGCTGAAGATTGCGCTGGATCAGCGTGCCAAGGAACAGAAGAGTCCTGTTCCCGCTCCGAGCCCGCAGACGGCTGGCCTGTTGAAGGAGGCCGATTCGTTTCATTTCGAAACACCGTTTGTGCAACTTGAAAACACCTCCCTAATACACGCCCCAGAGGCCTTCGACGATGACGACAACTTGACTGCCAAGAAGATTCAAGCTTGGCTGAAAAACACCCGCGCCCATATCGCGGCGGTTTCGGTAACCGTCGGTGCTCTGGAAGACGAGTTCCGCGAGGGTCTTAATCCAGCTACAGTGCAGAGGCAAATCGTGGCGAGTGACCATATTTCCGTGCTGAGGTCGGCTTCAAGAAGCTGGCAACGATGCTACAGGCCAGCTGAGCTGGGGCTCCGGGGGAACAGGGTGCAGAGTAGAGAGGCCATCAAAAAACCCAAACCACTCCCATGCTGTGATGCTGGTCTTAGGTTGCTCCCGACCCAATTCAACCACCGTTCAATAACCAACCCCGTGAGCTATCCCTGGCCCTGGCCCGGTCTCAGGTGATGGTGCGCCCGAGGTGCAGGAGGGCGAAGAGGAGGGATGCTCCAAAATCCTATGTAGCCAACCCCGTAGGCCTTGAGCTCTAGAACCGCAAACTTCCCAAGGTTTGGGAGTGCTGCCAACCCCCAACCCCAACTCCCGTGAAGGAGGAAACTGTGGAAAAGGATCCAGAGATGTTTCCATCGCCGCATACTTGGCCTCTCCTCGAGGTGCTGAGCAACAAGGTGCCAAACAACGTGCGGGTGGTGCCAGCCGCTCCGACTGCTGACACGCAGGAGTTGGTGCCAAGAGGCACCGATGGCCGCGGAGCTCTTTTGTATGACGGATGGGACGTGGCTGCTCTCACTCCAGAATGCAAGGAGGAATTCACTAAATTCGCGACAACGGACAGCTACCTGCCGCCTGCTCATCGCACAAAGGTCCAAGCACGCGGCTACCCATTGATGACGGACGCTTTGTCTTCTACTTCCAGTTGTACGAGGGCCCCCGACGACGCAGATGTGGCATTGCTGACAAGCTCTTTCTGGGGCGCGAAGAGGATGCTCGAATCCGGGAACGACTTCTACAGAAGTCTCGGCAAACAACGAGGTGATGAGCTCGCAAAGTGCCGTGTCTTTGCGCAGCGGTGGCAGGCTTGCAAACCCGAGTTCGAGCTCGTTGGCTGCTTGCTTGAGTTGAGTTGGTGTTCGTCTTGGCTTTGGAGAAGGGATGCTGAGTTCCGAGTTTGGGCTTGAAGCCTCTTTGATTACACAATTTGAGAAGGTTTCGAGCTAGAGCTTCGGGATGTGGGGTTGTCGCTTTAGGGGTTGATTCGATGGGTGTTTCCTGTTGTTGACATGGGGTTTATGTGTTGGTTCGTTGGTTGGATTGGCCCAGGTGTCAACGAGATGCTTCTCCCGAAGATGGTGGTCTGTCATGAAGGAATCAGATTTGTGGCCGGTGTCAGGGCAGTAAGTCTTCTGGATTATGTGGAATCCAAGGATGCAGTAAACCGGGCAGAGGATGATCCGTGGCAGTGCTCGTTTCTTCAGCTGTTGTCCAGGCTTCCCACGTTGACGGCAGAAGAATTGAATGAGCTGGGTGGTTTCTTTGTCATGCTGAAGCCAAGTCAGGTTTTGGAAGTTCCGGGGGGGTACATCATGGCAGAGACGTGCCTCTCCACTTCTTGCGTGGTGAGTACTTGGTCTTGTGTGCGACAAGAAGATGTGCAAGAGGGCGCTACGTGGACAGATTCATTGGGACGCCTGCGGCGTCTGATCTGGGAGGACATGAATGACAAGAGCGACTACGACGCCAACCTGAAGGCCCAGAACGACCGGTTCCTCGCGCGCACAGCTTTGTTGCTGGACGCTGTGGAGGACTTCGTGAAGTGGTTGCGTCTGCCGCCGCCGCCGCCGGCGGCACTGCCTGAGCCTGAGGCCGTGCCTTGATTGCCTTCATCAAACATTTTGGGCATTTTGGGTTGTCTGGTTTCATCTGCTGCTTCGCTCGTGACTCGCAATGCCACATAAGGTGCCAGAAGTGCCAGTAGTGGAGCTTGAGCAGAAAGAGATTGCCGAGGCAGGCCTCTGCCAAAACAACCGGAAGGGCGCTTTGGGCCTTGGGCTTTATTGTTTTGTTAGTGGGTTGATCGGCTTGATGGTTTGATGCACCGACGCCGACGCCAGGCCGCATCATCGGAGCATTCGTTGCCGCCTGGGTCTGTGCCTGCAGCACAGCATGTTGTGAAGCCGGTGGATGTCGCTGCTGCGCTCAGCGAAATCCACGAGCATCTGGACTCATCCCCGCCGTTAACTCCGACCAGGACCGTGAGGTGGGGGAGCTGATGACCGTGCTTGGAGTTTCTAACACCCTCATGGAGGAGCTGTTGCTGGGCTTGCGTTTGGCAGGTGTGCAGTGTGCAGTTTTGTTGGGTTGTAGGTAGATAGGCGTGCGGTTATATGTTGTAGGCGGCGTGGGTGGGCTGGTTTGTGACGCATGGTTGCCAGCCTACGCTAAAGGTCCGAGACGCTGCAAGATGCAATGCACGAGGACGAGGACGAGGTGTGGCACTTGAACTGTGTTGCCGCGATGAAGATCATCACTGACTACGGCGACGGAGTTGGTGGTGACGGTGAAGGTGATGGTGAGCAGGAGCAGACAGCTCCTACCGTTGAGATCACGGCAACTCAGCCGGGACTGAGTCCCAGTGCCGCCGCCGCAGTTGTGCCATTGGACATGCAGCCGTCATTGCAGCCCGTGAAACCGGAGCCTGCAGTGCAGCCCACACTCAGCGAGAAGGAATCTACTCCAGTTCAGGTGGACAGCTCGCCATCGCCTTCCCCGCAACGCTCCGTTCACCCGCCGCGGCCTCCAACCGCTGCCAATCTGACGAAGCGCTTGAGTGGCAAGCAGAGCCCGGTAGTCCCAACTGCACTTGGAAGCAGACCCAGCGAGGCAGAGACTGTGCTCGCCGAACTCGGGCCCAGCGAGTCTGAGAAAGCACTCGCGGAGCTGCGTTCATCAATCGCTGCCAAATCGGCCCAGAAGGTATATGAGGGTGCAATCACCGCCAGCGAAGGCGGCGGTGTGGAAAAGTCGAAGTCGAAGGGCGGTGTGGACTCGGGCAAGCCGAAGCCGGACAAGCAGCAACCGAAGAGTGCTTCGGCGACAAAGTTGCCACATGATTCACGCGCCCGAGTGTCAGTCATACGCCCCGACCAACTCCCCCAAGTTCGGCTGTACTATGCTTTGCCCCAAGAGCCCAACCCTAACCACCCTAACCCTAGAACTGAACCGCTAGGACGCCTTACAACCTTCTCCGGGAACTCGAAACTTGAGGCCCGAATCCTCCGTTTGCCCAGGCAAGAGCCAGGCACCTCCTGGTCAATGTGCCCGTGGTGGCGGGCGTGGTGGGCGAGGTCGTGGTGCAGGTGCAGTTGCAAAGAAGCAGGCGCAGCCCCGCAAGGCAAAGGCAAAAGCAAATTCGAAGATCCAGATCGCGAACGACGACGACACAGATGAAGAGTTTGACAAGCATGCCACCCCGCCCAGGAAGTGCAAGCGAGTGTAAGTAGTAGTTGTAGTTGTTAGGAAGTTTTGACGCACAGGATGATCTGATGATCGGTGGAGTCGCCTAGACTCGGACAGACCGTTAGATGCGATGGCGATGTCATGCGAGAAAATGACCGAGTCCAAACTGCTCCCGAAGCCGGAGTTCCCAGCTCCTTGCCATAACACGCATCATAACCCTAACCACGTTGCAAGTTGTACTACCAATAACCACCGCCACCGCCCCCACCACCACCGCCCCCGCACCACCGCCACCACCACCACCACCACCACCACCGCCACCGCCACCGCCACCGCCACCGCCACCGCCACCGCCACCGCCACCGCCACCGCCACCGCCACCGCCACCACCACCGCCACCGCCACCGCCACCGCCACCGCCACCGCCACGGCCACCACCACCACCACCACCACCACCACCACCACCACCACCACCACCACCACCACCACCACCACCACCACCATCACCACGAAAGTGAGTGCAGGAGCCACAGCAGCCAATTTGTATGGACGTTTCGGTTTCCGAGTTACGGAGTTGAAGCTCTTCATCCCACGTCCCAAGACCCTATAATACTATAAGCCGTATCAAGTTGCATCCCTAGACCCAAGACGTCGATCGCACAGCCCCAGCACCACACGTCCACCACAACATATGATCGTGGCTGATCAGGGCAAAACAGCTACTTCTACTTTGCCAAATCCGGCGAATGAAGCCTCAACAGCCCCACGCGCGGTCATCATGGTTTTTCCTACAGCCCAAACCCTCCCTTTTGCCCGACACCATTTTTGGCAATACCATATCGCACGCTGGCTGCTTTTAACACCCCTCGCGCACTTGCATAGTTATGACCCCTGAGTTAGAGGGTATAAACCCTAAACCCTAAACCCTAAAGCCTAAACCCTAAACCCTACCTAAACCCTAAACCCTAAACCCTATAACCATTAAAACAATAGGGTTTTTGGATCCCCAGGTTTCTGTCGAACCTCAAGGCCGGGTTTCTTTCTACCCAGGTGGCTTCGGCGCAGTGGCTTCAGGGTGCCGGGTTGAAGGGTTATTCGGTTTAGGGCTTTAGGGTTTTAGGGTTTAGGGTTTAGGGTTTTAGGGTTTAGGGTTTAGGGTTTAGGTAGGGTTTAGGCTTTAGGGTTTAGGGTTTAGGGTTTAGGGTTTAACCCTAAGGATCCAACCAGGAGCCCCCAAAGGCCCTTTCATAGAGCCCTTATGGCACTTAATAGTGGGTATTTGGGGTATATTAGAGGGTAGTTGGGGGGTCTAGGAAAGGACCCAATAGTTATGTACTCGGGTTTAGGATAGTAGTAGGTTCGTATTTTCGAGAGTGTATGATGAATTACCAAGTACTTGGAAGGTTAAGGGTTAAGGGCCTAGGATTTGTGGTCCGTTTACATCGTTAAGAAACGAAACGTCAAAGCGTACATCCAAAACACCTCTAAACCCTAAATATCCTGTGCCTAAACCCTAGCAGCTAGCACAATACGGAACCCTAATGCAGGAACCTGATTAAGCAACCTTGGGCCTTTATTCGGGTTCCTTATGTGGATCCCACTATTTTGGGGTTATAATACAGGCCCAGGGCTTCTTCATCAGGTTCCTATGTTAACACCGACCGACCCTGCAGGATCGTTCTGATCAGGGCCCGTGAACGACAATCAACCCTTGACCGTCATAAATGACCCAAAACTCTCTCCAGCTCTGCTGCTCTGCCTTGAAGCCCTTGTTGCGCAAGTCTTCGTTCGGGTCCAGCTTCCGCCCCTTCTTCTTGTCGACGTCACTGGCCTCAGGCAGGCAGTAACTTACTCCCCCAATAAGCCACAGAAATAAAAGGTTACACTTTCAGATTACCACTAAACTATAAGAACCCCAAAAGTTTAAAAGTTGAGTATTGGAGAACTAAGGTAATAGCGGAAAGCATGCATCCCAAAACCGTGAAACGTTTCGTCGGATCGGAGCAAAGGTCCCTCCCACATAAAAACCACAAAATGCATGGGCTGCAGACACCTCGCCTCCCCTAGCTTGCGGCTACCCAGCAGTGCTGCTTCGACTGAGCCTTATGCTCCACGAAATCATCGCAATCCCAGACCCTACAAAGCCCACACTTTCCCAAAGGGTCCTAATCAGCTTGATGTTGAATGCTTACCGGAACCATGATAGTGTGATTCGTGCTATAGAAATCCTACACTCGCATGCGAAAAGGACCACCCTCTGATTGCTCAGAACTCTCAAGACGCGGAGGCATCTGGGGACCCCCAGCCGAGCAGATCCAATCTGCAGGCTTCTGAAGCACCTGAGGCTACTGTAGGGGCCTTATGATAACTAGAATAGGGTTCCGGGGCCATTATACGGTAAGTATAATATGGAACCCCTAAAAAAGTAGTGGTAACAGGCCACTATACGGTATCCGAGTCGCAATGCTTGTGCTGCAGGGTTGGGTTGTGGTAATTTGGGATTCAGGGCTTAGGGGTTTAGGCTTTTGCGTTTGGGACTGGGTTTTCAGCTTTAGGGCCTGCCCATTAGGGGCGCTTAGGCTGTCGGGTTCAGGGAGGGGCCCTAACCCCAAACCCGAAGGCTCAACATGTCCTCCAGGACAGGGAACTTGGGCGCGAGTGCCCTTACGAAAATAACAAGTTGCTCCTAGACGCCCTTTCAAGAATCATTCGCCTTGGCCCCAAACTTCCGAGTTTCCTGTTGGGATCCCCTTTTGCCACTCCTCTGAAGAATCCGCGTTCTGCATGTATGCAGCTTAGCGGTCGTTGGGACCGCTTGCGGCCGGGTCGAGGCAGACGATGATTTTGCTCCTCCTTGAATGCCTGTTCGGCACAAAATGAACTAGGCTGCCCGGAGCGATAACGTATTGACTGAGTATAGAAAACTCTAGCGCATAGTAGTCCATAAATCTGAACCAACGCTACCAACGGACACTGACCCAGAAGTCCTCAAGCCCGAATGAAGTGCCCGGGCCATCTCATCCCATGACTGTGGGATAAGAACTCCTCCCAAATGCCGGCAACCTGAAAACTAAAATTCTGCGGTTGAAAGCAAGTTTTTTTGGCCTCAATATCCTTGACCCTACGTAAACCATAAAACCCCAAACCAAAGGCCTACGGTTGAAAGGAAGCAGTCCTGCAGAGAATGAGTTCAGCCCCAGCAGGGAACCAAAGCCCGCAATGTGTAGTTCTGGAAGCCCAGTTTCATTCAACCACAGGTGACTGAACAAATCATTTAAGGGTTTATAAATAGTTTAAGGTTGCTTAGGGTATATAGGGTTGATAAGGTTTGGGTTCCTGAACTTATCATCTTGAGGTTTCAGGGCTCGCATGAAATTCTGCCCAAGCACGCAGATGTCGTCACCCTTCCAGATCATCTGTGGGTACTCGACCACAAGCGGCTTGCGGCCCTCGGGCGCGGTTCCGTCATGCCCGCTTAAGTAATGTTGCCTAAACCCTAAACCGTTATGCCCTATTACGCTGGGTTTGGTTTGGGCTGATAGGTCTCAGGGATTGGAAAGGGCTTTGGGTTTACCGTTTGCCCGTCATCCCGAAACTTGCAACCGAACCTTCCTTGGCCAAGTCCTGAAAGATTTCTACAGAGTCATGGAGTTCGATAAGATTACAGAAGGCTTAAGTAGGCTTCCTTAGGAAATGGGTTTCGGGTTCCTTAATGATTGGATTCGATTCTTTTATGGATCCTGTTGCAGGAATGTGATTGAGAAACCCTTTCCGTATTACAAAACCGTATATCAAAATCAAACAATGTACAGTGTCTAGTATCATCTATAACAGGCCTAAGGGTCCATGGACCCAAGTAGTATAAATGTTGGCCTTGAAGTACCGAGTCCCTATGTGCAGATTCTGGGGCCAAAGTCCATACTATGTGGATACGTGGACCCTTAGGGAGCATAAATTTTAGACTCTAGGGTTTACGGGAACCCCGGGGGCAAAATATTCAGAAGTAGGTAAAGTCATAGCCCAACACCTGTAAAGGGCTACTCCAGGTAGGGTTTACCCAGACCCCCGGGAGGATCTAGAAAGTAGATACCCTAATTTGGGGCTTTTCGGTGTTAAGGTAAGGTTTATAGGGGCTAATGGTTTAGGGTGTAATACAACTATAGTACTTGGACCCTTTGGGTTCTTGAACTGAAGGACAGCTCAGACCGCCAAGCGCCCTTTTACAAAGCCCTTACTGTCCTCGGAGGGTATTTGGGGTATGATAGAGCGTAGTTGGGGGGTTTGGGAAGGGAATTGCAGAGAGAGAAAGACAGAGAGAGAGAGAGAGAGAGAGAGAGAGAGAGAGAGAGAGGGAGAGAGGGAGAGAGGGAGGGAGGGAGAGAGGGAGACACAGAGCGAGAGGGAGGGAGAGAGAGAGAGAGACCTCAGAAGAAAGAATCACCGCGTTCCGCAGATGAGGCCATTGATGCGAGCTGCTCTTCCTAACTTAAATAGCACATCTTCAGCCATATGTCGCAAAAAGCCAACTACTTGCAGGGGCAACACCACTCAAAGCATCTATGCACGAAAGTAGGCCCCCCACGCGATCGCGAGGCTTTTCCTGACAAGAGGACTGGGACACATGTCAAGGGGAGAAGGGCTGCACGCAAAACCAGCGCATTTCAAAGGTTGGACCGATGCGGGTCCTCCGAATGAAGAGAGCCTCCCATGACCATCGCCGTCAGCAAGCCTCGTGCAAGCAGCCCACGTGTGAGATCGAACACTAACATAACAGGCAAGCTAAACATGACACAATCGAATCGACACAGGACACGAGGTGCCCTGTGTCTACTTACCTGTTCAGTGTGGTCGTGTCTGTGCGCAGGCCTATTTCTACATGCGTATATGTCCAAATGTTCACATACTCAGACATGAAAACATTGATAGGTGGTTGTATGTTCACATGCTCAGGTATATATAACAATGTAACCATGTACGTATACATCTGCGCACGTCTTATGTGTATGTGTACATGTGTCTATTTTGCATAGTTTAGGTAGG